TATATTTGTGAACGTCCTTTGGGCCTGCCGGAAGCCTGTGATGTTGGGTTGGAATCCCTGTTCGCATTGCTTGTGCTTCTAAGCTATCAGCACCATATCCGTGTTCGTGAGTTTCACCAAAGCGGTAAACGCCTAAGACCTGCATCACCTCAAGTAGCATCAACTTGTAAGTTAATAGTATATTATCATATGCAAGTTAAGTGACTATATGTGTACGGTTGATACTTACAATAAATTCCCAAATGGTTCGCCTTATAGCTGTTGCAATGTAGCTGTCACTGTAAAATAAACTGGTAATATGTCGTTTTGGTCGACTTCTCTGTGGAAATAAATGGGGATGAATGAGTGAGTGATTACATGGCGGTTCTGAGACGCCAACTCACTGAGTTGAGTGTTGAGTTGCGTGCTATAGTCATGCCAGGATCTGGGGCGGTCGGGTAGCCTAGTGGTTAAAGCGTTCGCTCGTCACGCCGAAGACCCGGGTTCGATTCCCGACATGGGTACAATGTGTGAAGCCCATTTCTGGTGTCCCCCGCCATGATATTGCTGGAATATTGCTAAAAGCGGCGTAAAACCATACTCACTCACTTACTCACTCAAGCCAGGATCTGCTGATCTAGAATGAAAAGATTTCGTCGTGATTAGGATCATTTTCTGTAAGCACCATACCAGTGCTCGTCTGTTTCACCTAGCGGGTTAACATATACTCTTTGTCACATAAAGCTTCCTACAACGTGAAGCTGACACCACATGACATTAATGCTCAGAGAGGATTTAAAGGGGCACTAATCTCTAGCTTCTTCCGAGCTGTCTAACACAGCCCACAAGGAGGGCTCACTAGCTGCCGTGAGTTGATTTGTTCATTTGTTCAACGCAACTGAGCGTCACAAGAGACTGGGCTACCGTCTGTTAGTACAGCGTAAATAAACCTTAAAGCAATATCGATACGCATTTCTGAAGACTGATTGATCTGTGAAAATTTCGATATTACAAAGGGCGCATGTTTATTAATTTCTTCAACCTAAACAAACAGACAAAAAGAACGGTGTAAGCCAATCGGATGTCGTTATTTGGTAATACCCCTGATGGTTATAGTTCAATGTCAAAATGTATCCTTACAGTGAAAGCATTTTCGGATTTCGGATCGTGGTTGATAATACGATTACTGGGTTTTTGAAAGGCATTTAGAAGTGATACACATAAGGAAGAGAATATATGGATATCAACTTCTTTATTATGAGGAACACAGCGTTTCGGAGTATATGCTTACACCTTCATCACCCGATGAAGGAGTAAGCATATACTCCGAAACGTTGTGTTCCTCATAACACTGAATGGTTACCCGTGATCTATGAAAATTTCGGGGGCGGTCGGGTAGCCTAGTGGTTAAAGCGTTCGCTCGCCACGCCGAAGATCCGGGTTCGATTCCCGACATGGGTACAATGTGTGAAGCCCATTTCAGGTGTCCCCCGCCGTGATATTGCTGGAATATTGCTAAAAGCGGCGTAAAACCAAACCCACTCACTCACTATGAAAAGTTCGATTTAACAAAGGGCGCATGTCGTTGCCTTTTCGTTTGGATGCGTGTATACGTTACAGTCAATGTGTAAAATCTGATTTGCTCGGGCAATTTATAGAATGTCCAAATAAGATTGACTTACAATTATTACGACGTTCAAAAGGACATTAAAACATAACAATAGACTAAACATGCTAGAGTTAGAGGCCAAAATATATAAAAAAGTACTTTCAATTTTGACTTTCGTTTTCTTTTTATCCTATCATTTTCAGTCAAAAATACATTTTTTCAGTTAATTTGTTAAATAACTAAATACTTAGACGTTTTATAAATTGCCTAAGTGAAAATTATAGTAATTTTACACATTGACTATAACATGTACACACGATAAAATAAGCATTGTTCAGGTGAAATATTTAGTTGGTGTTACAAGTCAAAATTGTCTAAACGGAAATCGCACAATACCAAGCAAGTGACTTATCAAAACGTCGTCATCATTACCGATGCTGCCACATAAGATACCCAAACTTCCTTACTATTTACATGACAAAAGTGTATTTCATTTTGTTGATCAATGTGACGATACGCCCTTATTCAACACACTCTTTCACACACCTCTCATTTTGAACCAACCACCATCCACACTGGCCATGTGATCCAAGATAGCATGCCACGATATCGCTTTACAGATACAATGGCGCGTTGTAGTCTCAACGCCTGTGTTGTACACACGCACTAGGGCTGTCTACATGGCACACGTGTACAGTGTGTATAAAGTCACATGGGTGCAGTGTTTAACAGGCACACGTGTACAATGTGTATAAAGTCACATGGGTACAGTGTGTATAAAGTCACATGGGTGCAGTGTTTATAAAGTCACATGGGTACAGTGTTTATAAAGTCACATGGGTACAGTGTGTATAAAGTCACATGGGTGCAGTGTTTATAAAGTCACATGGGTACAGTGTTTAACAGTCACACGTGTACAATGTGTATAAAGTCACACGTGTACAGTGTTTATAAAGTCACACGTGTACAGTGTTTATAAAGTCACACGTGTACAGTGTTGATAAAGTCACACGTGTACAGTGTTTATAAAGTCACACGTGTACAGTGTTGATAAAGTCACACGTGTACAGTGTTTATAAAGTCACATGGGTACAGTGTTTAACAGTCACACGTGTACAATGTGTATAAAGTCACACGTGTACAGTGTTTATAAAGTCACACGTGTACAGTGTTTATAAAGTCACACGTGTACAGTGTTGATAAAGTCACACGTGTACAGTGTTTATAAAGTCACACGTGTACAGTGTTGATAAAGTCACACGTGTACAGTGTTTATAAAGTCACACGTGTACAGTGTTTATAAAGTCACACGTGTACAGTGTTGATAAAGTCACACGTGTACAGTGTTTATAAAGTCACATGGGTACAGTGTTTAACAGTCACACGTGTACAATGTGTATAAAGTCACACGTGTACAGTGTTTATAAAGTCACACGTGTACAGTGTTTATAAAGTCACACGTGTACAGTGTTGATAAAGTCACACGTGTACAGTGTTTATAAAGTCACATGTGTACAGTGTGTATAAAGTCACATGGTGCAGTGTTTATAAAGTCACATGGGTACAGTGTGTATAAAGTCACATGGTGCAGTGTTTATAAAGTCACACGTGTACAGTGTGTATAAAGTCACATGGTGCAGTGTTTATAAAGTCACACGTGTACAATGTTTATAAAGTCACATGGGTACAGTGTGTATAAAGTCACATGGTGCAGTGTTTATAAAGTCACATGGGTACAGTGTGTATAAAGTCACATGGTGCAGTGTTTATAAAGTCACATGGGTACAGTGTGTATAAAGTCACATGGTGCAGTGTTTATAAAGTCACATGGGTGCAGTGTTTATAAAGTCACATGGGTACAGTGTTTATAAAGTCACATGGTGCAGTGTTTATAAAGGCACATGGGTGCAGTGTTTATAAAGTCACACGTGTACAGTGTTTATAAAGTCACATGGGTACAATGTTTATAAAGTCACATGGGTACAGTGTTTATAAAGTCACACGTGTACAGTGTTTATAAAGTCACATGGGTACAGTGTTTATAAAGTCACATGGGTGCAGTGTTTAACAGTCACACGTGTACAATGTTTGACAATCACATGCAAGATGTTTATCAGTCACATTGTGCAATGTTTGACAGTCACACATGTTCAATGTTTGGCAGCCACGTGTGTACATTGTTTGACATTCACACGTGTACAATGTATGATACACATGCATGTAAAGTTGAATAACCAACCAGTAGACCCCTGAAGATCCGGGGTAGAATAGGTCTTCAGAAACCCATGCTGCCTTAAGAGGCGATTATGCTTGTCGTAATAGGCGACTAACGGGATCGGGTGGTCAGGCTCGCTAACTTGGTTAATGCATGTCAATTGCGTGGATCAATGCTCATGATATCAATAACTGGATTGTCTGGTCCCGACTCGATTATTTACAGACCGTCGTCATTTAACTGGAATATTGCTGAGTGCAGCGTTAAACAAGCAAACCAGTAATCCGCATGCTTCATAAGGAAAGAACAAAACACGCTGGAGAGTACTTAGCCCAGTCAGGTTCTTCAAATGCACACCGCAAAGTAGGTCTCCCGCGCATTAGTTATGCGCTATTGCCGTCTTAACTAACAGCCTTGACGTGTATTTTACAACAGTCCCGGGCCATGTAATGATTACAGTCACACCACGCACCTTTGTTCGGGACGGTTTGAAATACAGGTCTCCATTTTTAAGAGACATTCCAGCCATGTTTATGCCTATGTATGTTTTTCTTTTATTTTGACATGTCACGACCCAAAAACGAAAAGAAAGCTAAACCCTTTTGATATTTTCTTAGGTATATAAAACCATATGGCAATGCATGACGAATTAATATTTTTAAGTAAGGATAAGATATATGGATGAACATAATCTTTATTACAATTAGGAGTGACGTTTCGGTGTAGGTTCTAACATTGTTATCAAGAAAGTGGTGTACAGTGTATGGTTGACAAGCATATATATAGGTATGGGGCAGTGTTTATACAGTAGAGTAGATTTGGATGTAGTTACATTGGAGTGGAGAGTGACCATATAATAGATAATAATAATAATCTATTATATGGTCTCTGGTACGATGAACGAAACATTCCGACAATGAATTTCTCCAGAAAACAAAGTTAATCAATGACTTCCGACTGCCTAACTCAGAGACCATATAATATTTCTGCTCATTCACCCAGAGAACAATAATTGACTGGAATCAAATTAAACAAATAACACCGTAGAGGTTTAATAGAGTTTGGGGACAGCTACTGTCTTTATAAACTACACCCCCTCCCCCTCTTCAAGAAAAAAAAAGAAGAACAAAAAGGACAAATCCTTAATGACTACTGTATCGATGCATGAAATAGACTATATTCCCCGGGCGCTGTCGAACAAGGGAGATAATCCGCGGGAAAAGTCAATAAACAAAATGGCCGAAGAGAGGGTCTCGTTTATAGAGGAAGATCTTCCTGTGGCTGCTTTTCCAAAGATTGCGGACATCAGGCGACAGGGAAAATTATGCGACGTAACACTGAAGGTAGACAGTCTGGTGTTCACATATTGCTGGAAATCACAACGAAACTACATTAATACCCATATGTTTTGTTCTTGACGGCATCGAGATTGACTGACCCAGTTGTCACCCTGTCACTTGTTTGTTTATATGTGTTCTGTTTATTCTGTGAATAAATACAAAACATATAAATTAAAAATATTTGTATTATGGTAACTGCGGCCAAATTGCTGGAACATGAAGAATATATTACCATGGTAACTGGAGTATTCCCATCTGATTTAGGCCTAGTGACATGATAAACATGACCTAAACAGAACCATTTTATGGAAATTTGTGTTGAAGATTATTGTGCCGTTTTCCCCCTTCAAACAAGACTGAGCAGAAATGCAGTTTACCTGGCTCATCTTTCATAGCACTAATTGGCTCAGGCTGCGGTCTGTTGCTCCTGCTTCACAGATCTCACATGCTTGTTAGATCCTTAGGGTTAACCCGTGAAGATTCCGGGGTAGAATAGGTCTTCAGCAACCCATGCTTGCCGTAAAAAGGTGACTATGCTTGTCGTAAAAGGCGACTAACGAGATCGGGTGGTCAGGCTCGCTGACTTGGTTGATGCATGTCATCGTATCCCAATTGCGTGGATCGATGCTCATGATATTAATCACTGGATTGTCTGGTCCAGACTTGATTATTTACAGACCGCCGTCAAATAGCTGGAATATTGCTGAGTGAGGCGTTAAACAACAAACCAAACCAATCCTTAGGGTTAGTTGTGTTAGGCTTAGGGTAGGTTACCCCCAACACTATCCTTACCCCTAGGGTCCCCTTTCCGATCATACACCCCTTTATGATCATTAGAGTTAGGTATCCCTTAATGATCAAACATCACTTCATGATCCTTAGGGGTTGACAGGCTCGCTGACTTGGTTGATGCATGTCATCGATCCCAATTGCGTGGATCAATGCTCATGATATCAATCACTGGATTGTCTGGCCCAGACTCGATTATTTACAGACCGCCGTCATATAGCTGGAATATTGCTGAGTGCGGCGTAAAACAACAACCAACCTCAACCTCCTTAGGGGTTGAGCACCACTTGTCTATCAGACACCACTTTACGGTCCATAGGGTTAGTCGTGACGTAGGGTTAGTCGTGACGTAGGGTTAGTTGTGACGTAGGGTTAGCCGTGACGTAGGGTTAGCCGTGACGTAGGGTTAGTCGTGACGTAGGGTTACTCGTGACGTAGGGTTAGTCGTGACGTAGGGTTAGTCGTGACGTAGGGTTAGTCGTGACATAGGGTTAGTCGTGACGTAGGGTATCGGTTGGCTGTCTCTATTCAACAACTTATTCTTATGTTATTTGAGGAAAATCTGTACAATTTTTATCAAGTTTTGCAGAGAAAATGGCAATTGCACATGGGCATTAGGGTAAACAAATTGGGTGCAGATCACTTAGTAAACAAGCACTTGTTATTTCTGATAGTGTGTGTGGTCCTGTAGTCATGGTAGTTATGTGTTGACTAATTAGATTAACTTATTAGTCTCGCTTAGCTTCAAGCTGGCAACATTAGTTGAAATTCAAAAATTGGGCCCAGTCAAGTGCATTACTCCATAAGTCTCTGAGTCCAGTCAACATGGTCAACTTTCTAAAATAGCAATATACCCTGTAAGTTGTTATGAGCTTCATTATGTCAATGATTGTCTTGGTCGTGATGGTGCATTGTGCCCCTGACCCGGTATAATTTGGTAACATCTCCACATGTGCCCCCTCACCCTGTATAAAAAACATCTTCACACGTGCCCCCTGACTCTGTATAAGTAGCATCTTCACATGTACCCCCTGACTCTGTATAAGTAACATCTTCACATGTACCCCCTGACTCTGTATAAGTAACATCTTCACTTGTGCCCCCTGACTCTGTATAAGTAACATCTTCACATGTACCCCCTGACTCTGTATAAGTAACATCTTCACATGTACCCCCTGACTCTGTATAAGTAACATCTTCACTTGTGCCCCCTGACACTGTATAAGTAACATCTTCATGTGTGCCCCCTGACTCTGTATAAGTAACATCTTCACGTGTTCCCCCTGACTCTGTATAAGTAACATCTTCACGTTTGCCCAGGTGGGAGATCAAAAGTTCTCCGCTCACCGCATCATCCTGGCGGCAACCATTCCCTACTTCCACGCAATGTTCACGCACGACATGGTGGAATCCAAGCAGGATGAGATCGGCATGCAAGGCATTGATGCCAGGTGGGTACCTCTAGCTTTTTGGATCCCTTTATTTAATAACTATGGCAACAACCTGTACATGCTCAAGGACACCAGGACATGCAATCTCAGAAGCAGTAAACTCAGATCGTTCAGTACCACTCTCCATCAAGATCTGACACGCTTCCATAGATCTTGTCAGGCGAACCCTGAGCAAAATTTGACTGCAAGTGAAACTCTGTAAAAATATCCGTGATATGGTATAGACATTATTGTTCTCCATTTGGTACTGACTGTTTACATTCATTTTACAAGATATTGAGATTAGATGTGATGCTTTGAAACCTCAACATTGACTGGCAGATAAGGCACTAGAAAGATTGAGGGGTTGAGAAGTGTTAGGTGCATGATGTGATATAATCTGTTTCAAATGAAGCATGAAAATCAAGTTATAGGTAAGAACGATAGTAGTCTAGATTCAAACTCGGCAACAGCCGACCTGGTTACCATGGTTACATGTGCTGTCTTGTTGCTGGCAGTGCCCTGGAGTCCCTGGTGAACTACGCCTACAATGGCCGTGTGGAGATCAACCTGAACAACGTGCAGTCTCTGCTCATTGCCGCCAGCTTCCTGCACCTGCAGAGTGTGAAGGAGGCATGCTGTGACTTCCTCAAGGACAGGTGAGGAGAAGTGAATGGACGTGCTGAGACATTTACTGTAATGGTGAACGAACGGTTGCTTAGAGTTTAGAGTTTGGGGCGAGAGTTACGTACGTTGTAGAAAGACCATTGAGAACGGCGAATAAGAAAGGTGAGTGTAATTGCGAGAGGTGTCTTTGAATAGTTTCCTTGTGTAATGTTGCACCCTGGGTGCTCCATGATGTTTTATGAACATGTGACTTGGAAAGTTTAATTTGACCATGTGGAACCCCGGAAATGCGATAAGATCGGTTAGAAAGAACATTGTTTTGAACTTTTGATCCCTTGGTTTTCGTTTGTTGTTTGAAAACCCTTGGGAATAACTACCCTTACCGCCATGATAACTTCGCGGGAATGTCCAGTGTCTCTATAGGGGGCAAGGGTGACCCAGTCGTCCAAGGCGCCATTATTTGTTGTGCAGAGTTGCATCACTTGGGCATGTCAGTAACGGTTGATTGGGAGTTCAGATCCCGCTTCGCCCCAAATAATGTTTCTAGTTTTGTCAGCACCATGCTCGGGGGTTTCACCAAAGTGGTCAACATCTGATACCTGTGTCACTTCAGGCTTTTAAGGTGACACGCTGTGACATGACTAGAATACTGTTCTCACTGGCGGTAAACCTAACTCACTCACTCACTCACTCACTCACTCATAACCATGATGACAAGTGGAAATAGTCACTCAGTCACCAAATAGAAACACATTGGTAACCATGGTAACAGGACGTTTTTAATATGTCTCAGATTACAATCGTGTTCACCAGAAGCTCTGACACTGTGATATGTTTGGTGTGTTGTAGACTGCACCCACAAAACTGCCTTGCAGTGCGAGCCTTTGCGGACCAGTACATGTGCTCCGGGCTGGTGGAGGCCGCCAACAAATACATCCAGAACAACTTCCGCCAGGTGTCCAGCACCGAGGAGTTCCTCAACCTGAGTCACACCGACATGGTTGACATCATCTCCAGGGACGAACTCAACGTCACCAACGAGGAGCAGGTAGAACTCGTCACCATCAACAAATACACGATGGGGACATGAATGGCCCAGTTGTCTTAAGTGCTACACATATGTACAGAGTTATGTCCCTTAGCAATACCAGGAACTGCAGGTTGTAGGTTTGAATCCGATTATGATCATTAGTCTGTTGGATGTTTCCCCCCAGTTGCTATGATTGACCTATATTACTGCTGTATTACTTGTAAGCCTGTAAGAAATTATGGCGAACGGTCAAATTTATCAAAGTAGACACAATTTATGGATAACAACTCGTTCTTGTTTTACTGTAATGGCAATGTTTTCGTATGGATCCTTATACTGTTGTCAAGAAAGGACAACGGTGTGAGGATCTATTCCGAAACGTCACCATTACGGTAAAATAAAGAAGTTGTTATACATAAATTGTGTCCACTTTCTCATCCATCAACTTCTAAGAAATGCCTGTCAAATAAGTCAAGTCTGTCAATCAGTGGTTGATAGCAGCACGAATCACCACACCACTTGGGTGCTGTGGCAATCAGAAATGTCTCAGTTTTCCATCATCAACGAATATATTACAGATGTACCAGTGAAACTAGGCTTGACTGACTTATGTGAGCTTGTTGCCAGGTATTTGAGTCGGCCCTGAAGTGGGTGAAGCACTTGATGGAGAACAGGAAGGAGGCGTTGCCGGAGTTGATGGTGAAGGTGCGGTTGCCGCTGCTCACCCCGCAGTATCTGTCGGACAAGGTGGCCACGGAGGAGCTGATCAAGAGCTCGCTGCAGTGCAGGTGATTACCATACTGGAACATGAGGGACACATGTCTCTCTCTCTGTTTTTGTTGTAGTGTTTTTGATGATGGAAATCGTCATTCTATCAGTCCATTTTTGACACTTGATCACCATGATCATGATGCAGTCTGCAACTTTTCCCTCTAGTTTGAAGCCAGAGTCCAGTAAAAGTCTGTATGGTCTAGTAAGCTAAACTATATTATAATGAAAATAATGTTAAGAGCCATGTTTGGGCAAGTAGACTTGGACACATTTGGCACAGACTGATGATGATGTATGTATATTGTTATGGAAATCAGTTTTGAGATTCAGTGAAGGCAGAAGTAGTCTTGGTTATCTCATGAATCTTAGGCTAAAAAAATTAATAGTCTTGGTTCTCATGCACTGCCCGCATCATCATAAGATCTGCCGCACGTTTTGTTTTTATTTCCATTTTCAAAAAAAATATAAAATCCTTAAATATTCTGTACATGCTGTATCTTGAACACAGGACCCCGGCAGTTAAATGCTACAATACTTTAGTACAATATAATTTCACCGAAATTATTGTGAACAAAATTTGGTTACATACTACTATGAACAACAAAAAAACAAAACAAAACATACTACCTGCCCTCGCAATAATTGCCTGTGAACTAATTCTATTATTTACCGGGGTATTTAAGCCTCAGACAGAACTGGAGTCTTTGGTCCTTCATTAGTTAGTTGTGGGTAATTATTTTTATGTCAGACAGATGTTGTATGTCTTCAACCAAAGTGAAATGAGTACTTCATTCTGTGAAACTTTGCAATGATTAGCTATTGCTTGTGTTGTTTCTCAGAGATTTATTGGATGAGGCTCGAGATTACCACCTGATGCCAGAGAGGCGGACGTTGTTACAGACTTTCAAAACACGACCACGGTGTTGTACAGATGTACCCGGCATCATCTATGCTGTGGGAGGCCTCACGTCGTCAGGTAAGTCAGTTCATGTCTTCATCTCACGTTGTCAGGTGTGTCAGTACACATCGTTAGGTATGTTTGGTATGTAAGCTCCACTCATCAGGTATGTGACCGTACATCTGTTCACATCGTTAGGTATGCTAGCTCTACTGATCAGGTATGTGACTGTACATCAGTTCACATCCTGAGGTATGTAAGCTCACTTGATCAGGTACATGACCGTACATCAGTTCATATTGTTAGGTATGTTAGCTAACCTGATCAGGTACGTGACCGTACATTTGTTCACATCGTTAGGTATGTTAGCTCACCTGATAAGGTACGTGACTGTACATCAGTTCACATCCTGAGGTATGTTAACTCACCTGATCAGGTATGTGACCGTACATCAGTTCACATTGTTAGATATGTTAGCTCTACTGATCAGGTATGTGACTGTACATCAGTTCACATCCTGAGCTATGTAAGCTCACCTGATCATGTACATGACAGTACATCAGTTCATATCGTTAGGTATGTTAGCTCATCTGATAAGGTATGTGACCGTACATCAGTTCACATTGTTAGGTATGTTGGCTCACCTGATCAGGTACGAGACCGTACGTCAGTTCACTTTGTTAGGTATGTTAGCTCACCTGATCAGGTATGTGACCGTACATCAGTTCACATCGTCAGGTTTTGTTAGCTCACCTGATCAGGTACGAGACCGTACATCAGTTCACATCATTGGGTATGTTAGCTCACCTGATCAGGTATGTGACCGTACATCAGTTCCCATCGTTAGGTTTTGTTAGCTCACATGATCAGGTACTGTAGTTCACATCATCAGGTTTATCACTTCACATCTTGAGGTACAGTAGTCAACATAGTCAATGATACGTCAGTTCACAACATCAGGTACATCCAACTCATATCGTGAACCCACATTGTTGCAGGTATGTCAATTCACACAAAGTACACATGTTTAATGGTGTTGTAGGTGACTCTCTGAGCACGGTGGAGTGTTTTGACCCAGTGGTGGGGCGATGGAAGGTGGCCGAGGCTATGAGCACCATGAGAAGCCGAGTGGGCGTCGCCGTCCTCAACGGTAAGTCCAACACATCTAGGTTCAAGGCTTTAATCCAACCACATCTTTCAGTGTAAAGGTTTGTGAAACGCAAATAATAAGATGCTGCCCTATCCATAGTTTTAATCTACTCTAATAACATTTACTGGGTATATACATACCTACTATTTGTGTATAATAACTAGCCTCTAGTTGCGATGTAGGATAAGAATATTGGTCTCCAGCACCTATCTGGATTGGATGGTCGGTCTTGCTGACCAGGCTGATTGGTTGTCATCAAAACCCATATACATGGATCAATGTTTATGATGTCAATCACTGGATTGTCTGGTCCTGACACACTTATTTACAGACTCTCATCATATTGCTGGAATATTGAGTGTGTCTTTAGACAACAAACAAACAGCAAACAAACAAACAATTATAACTGATGTTCTGTCTTCATGAGGTGTTGTTTTTTTTAGCTTAGCCTTGCTACTCATGTAAATATCAATTTGATGATGTAAACATCTTATGATATTTTAAAGTTTGGCCAATTGTCATATGCTCCGAGAATGCTTCGTTTCTTAGAAGTTTTCCACCACAAATTGCTATGGATCTTATGATCATGAGGACCGCCTCTGTGATGCATTGGATAGAGCGTCTTCCTGGAGAACGGAAGGTCGGTGGTTCAATCCCCGGACTCCAGTGTCTGAAACTCAGCAGAGTAAATCTGAGAGCCTTAACATGCTTAAGGGCCTGGTGAAATTTAAAACTATCAGCCCGAAAACAAATCTGTCGGCCTCTGGCCTATGGGCTATTTCAAACACTGCTGGCCTCATCATACCAAAAGGCATTGTCCCAACTGCGTGGATCGATGCTCATGATGTCAATCACTGGATTGTCTGGCCCAGACTTGATTATCTACAGACCGCTGTCATATAGCTGGAATATTGCTGATTGTCGCTTTAGGCGAAACCCACAGTACCAGTAAATTGCGGCATGGTATCTCAGTGGGCTAGCATTATACAACCGGCATTAGTCTGGACAAGTGAAAACAGCTAGACACACACGCATATATGCTCGTCGCTTTATATGTACAATAATCTTGAATATGATGTTAAACCCCATTTTGCCTCACCTAAGATCATGATAGTATGATCTGTAGTATTCATTCAATCTCATACAAAGGTATGTCGTACCAATTGTCACTGTGTACACAGCATGTGTGTGAATGACATCATCAAGTATTGAGGAAAGTTTCTGTTGTGCATTGAATCTTTGAGTAATAACAAAAATCTCATATGCTACTAAAAAATAGTTAAGGACCACCTGATTACTTCCTATTCCCATCCTGACCATAGTTAATCTGTCATGCCAGGGTTGACTATAGTAATAGAAAAGAATCGGGTGGTCCACAACTACTTTTTGTGGTATATCTGCTCCTGTTGTGGCTGCCATGTATCTTTGTGTCGTCACCTGTGAAGACTATCACGTCTGTAGTCCACCTTTACCTGGTCAACTGTATGTTTGCCCAGGCTACCTGTACGCCATCGGCGGCTACAACGGCATGGACAGGCTGAACACAGTGGAGGTGTTCGAGCAGGAGAGCAAACGGTGGAAGAAAGTCTCTGCCATGAACTGCAAGAGGAGGTAGGGGAGACAACTCTGTATGACTAGCTCTTGGGTTCTTCAAAGTTTTACCATTGGATGTTAATTTTCACCTTAGTTTACAACAGAGCACTCTACCGTATTCGACGTAATAAGCGCCCAGGGGGCTCTCAAAATTAGAAATAGGGGGCTCTTAGAATATAATTTTGGTGAAAGGGTTGAAAGATCGTAAATTTTATGGTTTCTGCTGACAGCCTGAAATGATACAAAGGAAAAGTCTGTGCGTATTATACACGACAGATATATTTTTCCAGAATTTAATTGCCCGTAATTAAGGATGCATATAACACACGAGTGCGTATTATACACGAATAAATGTACACGAATTGTGTACATTGATCAGTCGGAAGGGTGTCGGATTGGGATTGTTCCGAGCCAATATATTGGAAAATATCGCCGTGGGCACTTATTAGAGCGGGGCGCTTATTACGTTGAATACGGTATATTAAAGACAGTATGGACTAAACTAATACAACATTTAGGTGGAGGGGGGGAGGTGGGGGATAATTGCAAAGTAAGAAATATAGACTGTTTTTGCTTGTCTGTAACTATACTAAGCTTCTGTTTGTGTGTTCTGTGCCTAGTGCCCTGGGAGCAGCCGCACTGAACAGCAAGCTGTTTGTCTGTGGAGGGTATGATGGAGTCTCCTCCCTCAAGTCCGTGGAGTGCTTCGATCCCAAGTCAAATATGTAAGTGGTAGGGCTGGGACGGGTAACTCAGGTACTCGGGTCGGGTGGGTCCTGAGTACCCACATGGACTACCCGGACCCGTGGTCAGTCACCTGACATATTGTTTAATGACAAAAACTCACTATAGCTCAGTTACACTACAAGTTGCTAATGTTGATGATGCCAGTGCTACAGTTAAACTATTCTGAATTAGACTTTGAGTAAGTGAGTGAGTGAGTGAGCAGTATTTCAGCAATATCACTGCAGGGGACACCAGAAATTGGCTTCACACATTGTATCCATGCGGGTTGTCATTTCAGTCAATATGTGTCCTCTGTCAGTTAGACTAACATGTGGTCTATGAAGTATTTCATTTCACTAAATAGATCAGAAGGTCTGGCTTGATGACTTTGTTAATAGAATGTCATTGTACGCTGATTGATGACGTGGATTGTTGCTTGCAATATCAGTGACTGCATGTACCCTGTACATGTACATTAACTAAAAATAGATCCTTTCCACAAGCATTAGTTCAACATGGTGTTGAAAGCTACATCATGTTCATAGTTTATCGATGTATAGATATATATCCATGTGCGCTGAAGTAATAAAGTTCTTTGCTGTTGAAACAGGTCATGTAAAACATGTTTGAGTGAATTCAATGATGTTGTAGGTGGTCGATGATGACAAGTATGCAGAAGTACCGAAGTGCCGCCGGTGTTGCCGTACTGCATGGGGACATCTACGCCTGTGGCGGCCATGATGGATTATCAATATTTGATTCTGTAAGTTCTGTTCTCATTCTTTCATGAATTCGGCTGGGTGATCCAACTATTCTGGTTTCTCTGTCCCTATCATAGGAGGCTGAGCATTCTGGGAGAAATGAAGGTCATGGTCATGTGTTACTTGATTCTCATCTCTGACCAAGCTTACCAGCTTCCGTGTATCATGTTATGTTTATACGTTGACACTTTGGGGCATTGTGGACATATGTGAGAACAAGTTTGAAACGCTTTTAGAACCCGACATGTGTTGCCACCACATGGGGATTCTGGGTTCGAGGGGGCACGGTGGCCCAGTCGTCTAAGGCGCCGCAATTTGCTGTGCAGAGTTGCGTCCCTTGGGCATGCCAGAAACCTATGATTGTGGGTTCGAATCCCGGTTCGGCCCGATAATGTTTCTAGGTTTGTCAGCACCATACCCATGCTCGTGGGTTTCACCGAAGTGGTTAACGTCTGAGACCTGCATCACTTCGGGCTTTCCTCCCACATTAAGCTATGTGATATGACTGGAATACTGTTAAAAGCGGCGTTAACCCCAACTCACTCACTCTTCGAGTGAAGATCCGGGTTGGAACTGGTCTTCAGCAACCCATGCTTGCCTTTAAAGGCGACTACGCTTGTCGTAAGAAGCGATTGGGTGGTCATGCTTGCTGACTTGGTTTATGCATGTCATCGTATCCCAATTGAGTGGATTGATGCTCATTATGTCAATCACTGGATTGTCTCATCCAGACTTGAGTATTTACAGACCCCTGTCATATAGCTGGACTGTTGCTGAGTGTGGCGTTAAAAAACAAACAAATCGGGGTTGGAATAGGATCTAAGCAACTAATGTTGGTTCAGATTACTTCATCATGTTCATGGTATGACTGGTCTAGTTAAGCATGGTATGTGACTTGGTTTATTGTATATAAGCGTACCCCAGCGATGTGGTTCACTGCTCATGATATTGACTTGATTATGTACAGGCTGCCGTCAAACAGCTGGAATACAACTGAGTGTTGTGTTGAAAAAACGAAACAAAATGTGTAGCCATAACCATGATAACTATTCCATATTTTTCAGCCACACATCTTTTGAATTAACTATCTCGATTGCTTGGTTGTAGGTGGAATGTTACAACACAACAACTGGGCAGTGGAGAACAATAGCCAACATGAACTCCAAGCGATGCCGTCTGGGCGTGGCTGCTCTCAATGGTAAACTGTATGCCGTGGGAGGCTACGACGGTGCCGTGTTTCTCAAGACTGTTGAGCGCTATGACCCAGGCAGCAATACATGGGAGTATGTTTTGCCTATGAAGATGAAGAGGAGCCGAGTTGCCGTGGCAGCAACGTATGGAAAGTTATATGCAATAGGAGGCTACGATGGTCAGGCCAACTTGAATTCTGTGGAGATGTATGATCCAGAGTCAAGCACATGGACGTTTGTCGCCTCCATGAGTGCCCATGAGGGAGGAGTTGGGGTCGGCGTGGTCCCCATGGAGGAAGCTGCCGTGTGATGTGGAGTTAGTCATGACTGTGGATGTGAATCTGTGAAACACTTATACGGAACTGGCAATGGTTGGTGCTGTGGAGTCTGGAGCAGGTTCTGATTGATTTTGAGGGATGTTGCCAGAAGGATGCTGAGTGATGTTGCTAGCAGAATGCTGCAGGCCATTTGGTGAATGGTCCTGAATGGAATGTTGCAATGTTGATTCTTGGCTCTGAATGTCATCAAAATGGGTTTGATTGATGCTGAGTAATATTGCAAAGGCTGTTGCTTGCCAGTTATGCTGATGGTCTTGACCAGCTAACTCTACATTAGCTGGTGCTGAGTGGTCTTGATTGGACAGTTGCTAGTCCAGAGTCTTGCTGATACCAAGTTGAGCGGACCACCAGAGACTGAAGCTCACATGTGAACTAGTCACCTTTATACAGCTGTAACCTGTAGTCAAGTTCCCTTGATGAGCCATAAGTTACATATGACATCATGGGACCTTGTTTGATGTTTAGTAAGATACCTCTGCTAATACATGATGATGATGATGATGATGATGATGATGATGGGACCTTGTTTGATGTTTAGTAAGATACCTCTGCTAATACATGATGATGATGATGATGACGACGACGACGGTGACATCTTGTGGACTAGTCAAAACTATGGATATGATTAACAACTGTGTGTAATTTACTCCCAAAATGAATTTAGAACCAAAATAATATATGTTGTTAGTCTATAGCCTGCATTTGCCCTGAGCTTCAGATTGAATTGAATTCTCAAGGGTTACATCACCGATTACAGTTGTAAAAGACGGACCTTGTCTCACATATATAGGGCATGGGGCCCATGTTATTCCTTCGGTCATTTATTTGTAATGGGTCAATGACATGGGCCCTCTGACAATCTGAAGCACTCACTACCTATCTCCTTGTAGGTCTAGATCATAGTAGATTGTATTTTCTGTGTAACATTACACCAAGACGAGATAGTCAGCTGCTTTTTTATGACAACCTACTTTCTTACATAATCATCCAATGACAGCGTGTGCACTGATCAATTCTTTTACTTTTTTGTATGTGGAAATGCCAGGACCATACAAATAGTATGTATGATTGTATGTGATCTTGTCAACACTGTGATTGCTATCTGTGATAGTGTGTTAGCATGTCACTCCTTTCTCTGTTCAGGGTAGGGCATCAGGTACACACAGGGTCTCATAAAATTAGTGCTTCTGTGTCATATACAGAATATAGCATGAAAGTCCTTTCTCTGTATAGATCTTGGGAACAGGTATGATAATATACAGGTTGTTACACACTCAAGGCAAGTGTTATATACAGTATATAGCAAGTCACTTCTTCTCTGTACAGAGCTTGGGAACAGGTATATAGAGGGTGTTACACACTCAGTGCTTCTGTGTTATATACACCATGTCACTCCTTTCTCTGTACAGGGTAGGGGAACAGGTATATACAGAGTGTTACACACTCAGTGCTTCTGTGTTATATACAGCAGGTCACTCCTTTCTCTGTACAGACCCGGGGAACAGGTATATACAGGGTGTTACACACTCAATGCTTCTGTGTTATATACAGCATGTCACTCCTTTCTCTGTACAGGGTAGGGGTACAGGTATATACAGAGTGTTACACACTCAGTGCTTCTGTGTTATATACAGCATGTCACTCCTTCCTCTGTACAGGGTAGGGGAACAGGTATATACAGGGTGTTACACACTCAGTGCTATTGTGTTATATACAGCATGTCACTCCTTTCTCTGTACAGGGTAGAGGAACAGGTATTGACCTTTTTCACACTTTCGCCATCTTGGATCGAAAACGAGGCTTGGAGAGCATAGCTCTATGCAGTGAGAGTCGCATCAGCTCATTGGGAATAGACAGCATGTTGTGCATTTCACTGATGGACATTTCAAACTAACAAAAAATGGTATCCTCTGTATATAATACAGAAGATATTTCACATTAAATCATGAGGTCCAACTAAAATATGCCTGTTATACACTGGAATTAGCATTTTGCTGTCAGGATCCCGGAAGTGAATCGAAAGGTGCATTTCGAGATACGTATTTCAGAAATGGATTGTTTTATCATAACCTCGTCGGCATATAGGTACAATGTAACAGTACATTCAATGACAGAAGTTTTCTATTGTAAATAAACCACATAACATGAAACACGTCAGTGTACTTTTGCAAAATTGCTCAGTCAATGCGTGGCTTGGCGAACTCTAGATCAAGATTGAGATCATGTTTATTTCATGTTTCATAGTGGTGTTTGCTGCACAACGCACTATCGTTTTGCCATGAGTCCAGTTGACAAAAGACACTTTTTCTGCTATGATTTTCATTTTAACATATTACAATGTTAATTATGAAAATAATTCGTGTGTCAAAATAAATATTCAGAAGGGGCGATAACCCTATTCAGCGTGTACAATGACAGATGATACTTTACTTGTTCTTCAAACATCACTTACTTAACTGATTATTGCCGATTGAGATTGCACCGTGCACTACAAAAGTAATAATGTGTGAACTGTTTAAAATAAGTTAAAAGGAAACTAAAAATTGATAAATATAAATAATGCATGAAATTGAAGAAATATAAGAATTGATACAACTACCAACTTCTTGAACACCCTCACCTAATCCTGTATGATGAAAGGTAATTGTACATCAAAAGGAAGCTACTAATACATTTATCCTGAATAGTTTGAAAATGTCTTGATCAGATATGAGTACAGATAAAATAACAAGATAAAAAGAATCAACTTCAATTGGTAATCAAGCCAAGATAAAATATATGTATTGGTACAAATTATGTTGATGGAACAATCTGGATTTCTCATATTTGACAAAGAAAAACAAACCAAATTTTCATATCTTTATTTCTCACAATATAAGTTTTCAAAACTTAACATGGACTGGGTGTCTTTGTCAGTCAAAAGCACCTAATTAAATTCCAGGAGAAAATAATGTTCTTGCTTGTAAACAAATGGTACAATGTGCTTTTTCAGTGTCCGATAAATATTGGCCATGTTGATTTGTGAGTGAATAAGGCTTTTCAGTTCCTCGTCCTTTGACAGGACGCACATTGTAACCATTGTGTTACTGTCAGCAGAAAGCTCCTCCAGACATCCGTCACCGGATACTAGTACTTCATTGTGTTTACTCGCTGGCCTGAAATGAATAATTCTATTATATTGTAATAATATTCCTACTTCAATAACCTTTTTTATAAACCTTTTATATTAACTTTGTCAGATCACAAGATGAAATATTATTAAACATATTTTATTGTCCAAAAAGACAAAGGGCAGCACTTATTACCGCCTTCTCCCTATATACAGTTATACATAATATTGCATAATGAAAATGAACAATTTACAGTTGAAGCTTCACATTGTGGAAACATAGTGCGCAATATATATACAGTGCTCATATGAAGGATATGTACCATGTGCTGGAAAGTGAAGACAGTGTGCATCTCATACATATCCTAATATTATACATTTTAGTGTTGAATATAGATTTAACAATATTAATGATTAACAGTTTGGAAACAATAATATGCTAGCTACTGAATCTGTTAGTCGTTTCTATAAATTTGTGTACAGACAAGAATATTTTTGTATTCAGGAAAACATCTAAGTTTGAATCACCAAAAAGAATACTATGTAGAGTATTTTGTCCTCCAAGATTATCGATAGCTGTCAGTAATGTCTCCCTAAAATCATCATATAAGGTACATTCGAAGAAGACATGGAATGAATTTTCACAAGGAGCATGCTATACAAGGAGCATGAGATAAATTCATGCTATCATCTTTATTTGACAAGGAAAACAAATTTCTTCTATGTATTTATATTTTTTTATTTTTCTCGTTTTGATTGAATTATAAAAAAATATCAAAATGATCACACCACTTGACGTGATTGAAATAAACTAAAGTTCTAAAGATTGTTAACAATAGTAAAATATTACATCATAACAATATAATTATTGCAAAATGACACAGTAAGCACAACTATATTCTTATGTATAAATTGATATGATTAATAATCAATAATACATGGCAATTGCTTGCACCCAAAAATATCTTTTTGTTTTAAAAGTTTCAAAACATGTTTGTGGACATAAAACCAGTAGGTTTCACAATTAAACAAAGGGAATAAATGAGTTATGATTGCAATACGCATGGGAATTAAAAATAATTATTTTTATACTTTAAGTTTTTAGTAATGTCAATATCAGTTTATGCATTTGAAATATTTGAATACAAACTGTTAAAGAGTTATCTGTTTCTGTAAATTATATAAAGATCACATGTAGATTGAACATTTACTGGACATTATTAGTTGGGTTTTTGTCCATTTCATGACATGATTAAATTGGTACAGTAAAGTAAATATCATTTTGGTAGAAATATTAATTTTTACCAAAATTGCAGATCAAACTGTACTTTACTTTAAATATTAACACACCCTTTATGTAATAAGTCAGTTGAAATATTACACCTCATGCTATCTAATCTGTCAACATTGACAATCAAAATAACAACTGTTCACAATCCCAACAGCACAAGTAGATCTAGAGGTCTAATATTTTATTGGAATGCATTTGAGTCCATTAAAATTTACATCAAATACACAACTGATGCAAACTTCTGATTTGTTACGATTGTAAATTCTCAGTAGGTTACAATTTGATACATTATATCAACATATCAATTTAGTTAGTTTCTGACATATATCTAGATATGGTCAAAAGGTCAATATTTCGACTTCAAATACAACCCGCAAAGTTATTTAAACTCACAATAAATAGTTTGGCTTAATGGTGTGTAAACAATGAATTATTTTTTAAAAGATTTCAGTAGAATTTGTTTTAAGTCTGTTCAGCTACCATAAACTGCACTGGGAGTTACCAGGTGGTCATGGATATTTTAAATTTAAATCACAACAGAACGGCCAGACTCAAATTTATATCGGTAAGGAGACCAGATAACAGTAAAATAGTTTGTCAATAAGAATAATGTTCAATACTTACGATAAATGTACCGGGATGGTTAAATTGTCACAGTTTGTCCCGATTGCATGCCTTGTTGACATCTCCATGTGTTTCATGTGCTATCCAGCCTTCACCTTCTGCTCTCCAAGCCTCGCTTTCAAACCGGAAGTAGCGAAGTGTGAAAAAGGTCAATATACAGGGTGTTACACACTCAGTGCTTCTGTGTTATATACAGCATGTCACTCCTTTCTCTGTACAGGGTAGGGGAACAGGTATATACAGGGTGTTACACACTCAGTGCTTCTGTGTTATATACAGCATATAGCATGTCACTCCTTTCTCTGTACAGGGTAGGGGAACAGGTATATACAGGGTGTTACACACTCAGTGCTTCTGTGTTATATACAGCAAGTCACTCCTCTGTACAGGGTAGGGGAACAGATATATACAGAGTGTTACACACTCAGTGCTTCTGTGTTATATACAGCATGTCACTCCTTTCTCTGTTCAGGGTAGGGGAACAGATATATACAGGGTGTTACACACTCAGTGCTTCTGTGTTATATACAGCACGTCACTCCTTTCTCTGTACAGGGTAGGGGAACAGGTATATACAGGGTGTTACACACTCAATGCTTCTGTGTTATATACAGCATGTCACTCCTTTCTCTGTACAGACCCGGGGAACAGGTATATACAGAGTGTTACACACTCAGTGCTTCTGTGTTATATACAGCATGTCACTCCTTTCTCTGTACAGGGTAGGGGAACAGGTATATACAGAGTGTTACACACTCAGTGCGTCTGTGTTATATACAGCATGTCACTCCTTTCTCTGTACAGAGCCGTGGAACAGGTATATACAGAGTGTTATACACTCAATGCTTCTGTGTTATATACAGCAGGTCACTCCTTTCTCTGTACAGACCCGGGGAACAGGTATATACAGAGTGTTACACACTCAATGCTTCTGTGTTATATACAGCATGTCACTCCTTTCTCTGTACAGGGTAGGGGAACAGGTATATACAGAGTGTTACACACTCAGTGCTTCTGTGTTATATACAGCATGTCACTCCTTTCTCTGTACAGGGTAGGGGAAAGGTATATACAGGGTGTTACGCACTCAGTGCTTCTGTGTTATATACAGCATGTCACTCCTTTCTCTGTACAGGGTAGGGGAAAGGTATATACAGGGTGTTACGCACTCAGTGCTTCTGTGTTATATACAGCATGTCACTCCTTTCTCTGTACAGAGCCGGGGAACAGGTATATACAGAGTGTTATACACTCAGTGCTTCTGTGTTATATACAGCATGTCACTCCTTTCTCTGTACAGGGTAGGGGAACAGGTATATACAGGGTGTTACACACTCAGTGTCACTCCTTCCTCTGTACAGGGTAGGGGAACAGGTATATACAGGGTGTTACACACTCAGTGCTTTTTGTGTTATATACAGCATGTCACTCCTTTCTCTGTACAGGGTAGGGGAACAGGTATATACAGGGTGTTACACACTCAGTGCTTTTGTCTTATATACAGCATGTCACCCCTTTCTCTGTACAGGGTAGGGGAACAGGTATATACAGGGTGTTACACACTCAGTGCTTCTGTGTTATATACAGCATGTCACTCCTTTCTCTGTACAGAGCCATGGATCAGGTATATACAGGGTGTTACACACTCAGTGTGTCTGTGTTATATACAGCAAGTCACTCCTCTGTACAGGGTAGGGGAACAGGTATATACAGGGTGTTACACACTCAGTGCTTCTGTGTTATATACAGCATGTCACTCCTTTCTCTGTACAGGGTAGGGGAACAGGTATATACAGGGTGTTACACACTCAGTGCTTGTGTGTTATATACAGCATGTCACTCCTCTGTACAGGGTAGGGGAACAGGTATATACAGGGTGTTACACACTCAGTGCTTCTGTGTTATATACAGCATGTCACTCCTTTCTCTGTACAGGGTAGGGGAAAGGTATATACAGGGTGTTACACACTCAGTGCTTGTGTTATATACAGCATATAGCATGTCACACCTGTCTCTGTACAGGGTAGGGGAAAGGTATATACATGTATATGAGTGTTACACACTCAGTGCTTGTGTTATGGACAATCCCCCCCAACACACTGATTGTATCTTGGACATTATAGTACTTGTTTTAACAGCTATCCAACCAGCACTATTCATTATATATAGAGCACAGTGAGCCTTCATCATGCTTATGCCTCTATACATTATGTTTAGTGGATCTTTGTACCAACGGAACAAACGCTGGTGTTTGAGAAACATGGCCATCTCCCGAGAAATGGCTGTCTCGTAACAAATTTAACTGTTTGATCACTGGAGTTCTTTCTCAACTAAACCTCTTTTTGTAAGCCTTTATCTTCTAAGCGTGTACAGATAGAAGTAGAGATCGTGACAAATCACTTAAGCCATGTTACAAAAAACATCATGACATATTGGTACATTCTCCTTACCAGAGGGGGCACGGGTGGCCCAGTCGTCTAAGGCGCCGCGATTCGCTGTGCAGAGTTGCATCCCTTGGGCACGCCAGAAACCTATGATTGTGGGTTCCAATCCCGATTCGCCCCGATTATGTTTCTAGGTTTGTCAGCACCATACCCGTGCTCGTGGGTTTCACCGAAGTGGTTAACGTCTGAGACCTGCATCACTTCGGGCTTTCCTCCCACATTAAGCTGACACGCCGCGATATAACTGGAATACTGTTAAAAGTAGCGTTAAACCCCACTCACTCACTCACTCACTCTAAGCATGTACAGATAGAAGAAGAGATCGTGTCAAATCCTTTAAGCCATGTTACAAAAACCATCATGACATATTGCTACATTGTCCTAGTCAGACCTTGGTGGTAGCTATTGGATGCAATGGTTAGTACTAGAACTTTAGTGCTTGTCCCCATCAGTGTATTTAGTCAACATGGATATGTAGTGGTCTCACTCTTTTTCATGCAGTACCGGGGTGGCCCAGGGATCAAAGTTTTTTTCTCAATCAGCTGATCAGAGTTCTCATCCCCATTTATCCTGGATTATGAACTTGGTTTGTTGACGGCACAATATATATGTTGGTGTAGTTAGCGTCTTTGACCTGCATCACTTTGGGCTTTCATCCCACATTAAGCAGATATGCTGTGATATAGATTGAATACTGTTTGTCCTCCCTGCCTGTCTGCCTGCCTCCCACCATCCATCCCTCCCTCCCTCCCTCCTTCCATCCCTCCCTCCCTCCCTCCCTCCTTCGAACCCTCCCTCCCTCCCTCCATCCCTCCCTCACTCCCTCCCTCCTTCCATCCCTCCCTCCCTCCTTCCATCCCTCCATCCCTCCCTCCCTCCTTCCATCACTCCCTCCCTCCTTCCCTCCCTCCTTCCCTCCCTCCCTCCCTCCCTCCTTCCATCCATCCCTCCCTCCCTCCTTCCATCCCTCCCTCCTTCCCTCCCTCCTTCCATCCCTCCCTCCCTCCCTCCTTCCATCCCTCCCTCCTTCCCTCCCTCCTTCCATCCCTCCCTCCCTCCCTCCTTCCATCCTTCCATCCCTCCCTCCCTCCCTCCATCCCTCCCTCCCTCCCTCCTTCCATCCTTCCATCCCTCCCTCCCTCCATCCCTCCCTCCTTCCATCCCTCCCTCCCTCCCTCCCTCCCTCCCTCCTTCCATCCCTCCCTCCCTCCCTCCATCCCTCCCTCCTTCCATCCCTCCCTCCCTCCCTCCCTCCCTCCCTCCCTCCTTCCATCCCTCCCTCCATCCCTCCCTCCCTCCCTCCCTCCCTCCATCCTTCCATCCCTCCCTCCATCCCTCAAACTCACACTCTCATAACCACGGAAGACTTAGATTTGTGGTCATACTGGGATTTTTAAGAAATAGGATCAACTGTTCCAATGTAATGGGATGCATGATTTGGAATATTGCTGGGTGAGGCGTTAAACAACAAAACTTAAAAAAACAAAACCTTACCTTGTTTGAGAGCTGATATGTTTGTGTGGCATATGGTATGGCATATCAACAACATGATTCATAGGCATCAGAGAAAGTGTACATATTGTTAGTGGAAATTGAATATTACAAAGCTTGCTTGTGAATTGTTCCACTTCAACAAGGAACATCAAGATGATGCTGGTCCTTAACTTCGTGAGTGTTGTTAAGTGGTACTATGTAAGGGGACGTCCTGTTTACATCATGTTAGGGAGGGGCGGTCGGGTAGCCTGGTGGTTAAAGCGTTCGCTCGTCATGCCGAAGACCCAGGTTCGATTCCCGACATGGGTACATGTGTGAAGCCCATTTCTGGTGTCCCCCCGCTGTGATATTGCAGGAATATATTGCTAAAAGCGGCGTAAAACCATACTTACTCACTCACTCACTCATGTTAGGGATGTTTCAAGTCAGCTGGTGCATGTTAAGCTCGTCCTGTTGCTAATTCCTCTCCTTCAGCATCATGTCATGTTTTGGAAACAAAGCTTTACCCCAATCTGAAGCTGAGCTGAACAAGCTGTGTGATAATGGGAGGTATGTCAGCCTCTCACATGTAGGGCTTTCAGCATGCTTTAGGATGTATATTTACACATTATAGACATGCTCATTATTAAAATGACTGCCACCTCATTTCATGAGGTCATGTCACTCCTCAGATCCTCGGAATAATATGAATGTCATGATTTTAAGATGTGATTTTTTAGAATCCCAGTCCAATCGTATCCCAATTGAGTAGATTGAGGCTTGTGATGTCAATCACTGGACTGTCTTGTTATTTACAGATCGCCATCATCTAGGTGTGCGTTAAACGACAACAAACAAACAAATATTTAATAAGGCCAGTTGGGACCATAGTTTTGAGACACTGGTACGGAGACTGGTACATTGGTGGAAGAGGACAAGATACAGGGGTTAGTCTTATACTGGGGTTAGTCTTATACTGGGGAGTGGAATAAGTGGGTTTTGTATTTGGATTAATACCGAACATATGATAATATTTAATAATCATGTGTATCTCTGTCAGTAGGTTAGAAGAGAATGTTGAAGCATGTCAAACAAGATCAGTGGATGTGTCTTGAGTACCTAATACACAAATACTGCCGAGGCGGGGCGGTCGGGTAGCCTGGTGGTTAAAGCGTTCGCTCGTCACGCCGAAAACCCGGGTTCGATTCCCGACATGGGTACAATGTGCGGTTCCCCCGCCGTGATATTGCTGGAATATTGCTAAAAGCGGCGTAAAAGCACACACACACACACACACACACACACACACACTCTCTCTCTCTCTCTCTCTCTCTCTCTCTCTCTCTCTCTCTCTCTCTCTCTCTCTCACTCACTCACTCACTCACTCACTCACTCACTCACTCACTCACTCACTCACTCACTCACTCACTCACTCACTCACTCACTGCCGAGGCAGGAACTTGGTCAGTGTGTTGTAGGGCAGCACCTCATGGGTACAAGGCGAATGTTAGTATTTCATTACTATGGTTACGTTTGTACATAATTTGTGATGAGACGTAAGAAAGTAAATAAAAAAATATGATTTCATTCAAGTGGGACTTAGAGTGGTTTGAGATGTGTTTTGATATCAGAATCACTGTGATTTCTGTAAATGAAGGTGGTGGTATATTCATGAATTTGAGCATGTTGTATTATTTGTCTACACCTGAAATCCAGTATTGAGTATTTTACATTACACTGTACCAAAAAAATGAGATTGTCAAACCTTGCTTTTTACAAATGTTTAATGTAATAGACATTATACCTGTGATGAAATTGTTGCACCATTGATAAATATATATGCATGTGTGAGATTAATGGAATTGTTTTATTCATAAGCAAAAAATATAATTATGAATATGTATTATGATTGATGATAATACCCCTTATAACTGTCAGGACTATGAGTCGTGATCGATGATGTACTATCACTCTGTAGCCAGTGGGTTGTTTTTATACATGATAAGCAAAAAATATTACAATGAATATGTAATATAATACTACCCCTTATGACTGTCAGAGCCATGACGACTGTGATAGATGATGAACTATCACTCTGTGGCCAGTGGCCCATGTTGTGGGGTGTGTCTACATGTGCAGGGTGTATGGACGAGTGAGAAACATTTCTATCTCTGTACTTTCTCAACTTAAATGTGCTTGTTTTTTTGTGTGTGATACATGCAACATTGTCATGTGATGTTTTTAGTTGTTTTTGTATATATGTAAATATACTGATGTCAACACAATTCTGTCTCTGTTGTTGATATATGTTACAAGGCTGCAGTGATGACAGGTGCTGACAAGCTCTGCTACAGTGGTGTTATTGTTGCTCTCCTTAACCAGATGTTCATACATGTTGGTGGTTGGTTGGTTGGTTGATTTGTTGTTTAACGCCGCACTCAGCAATATTACAGCTATATGATGGCGGTCTGTAAATAATCGAGTCTGGACCAGACAATCCAGTGATTAATATCATGAGCATCAATCCACGCAATTGGGATCGATGACATGCATCAACCAAGTCAGCGAGCCTGACCACCCGATCCTGTTAGTCGCCTTTTACGACAAGCATAGTCACCTTTTACGGCAAGCATGGGTTGCTGAAGACCTATTCTACCCCGGAATCTTCATGGGTCAATCCTGAATGTGGCACCAGATATTGTTATACAGACAAGGTAAATATGCAAAATATGCTACTCAAAAGAAGTTAAAGAACACCCATGTCTTCATATGACTATAAACTATTAACTATATGAAACATTGGGTGTTCTTAACTTCCTTTGTGTAGTATATATTGTACAAATAGGCATGGGACTAATCCATGCTGACATTTCCGATATTTGGGATTTCATTTAATATGATTAATGCAATCTGGCAATCAGTTTATGGATTGTTGTTCATGCTATCAACCACTGTTTGTACTGTAGTTGTGTATGTACAACATCCACTCACATGTCAGTGTGTGGTCAGGCTAGCCCAGTCATGTGAAGAACTACAAGCTGGAATACAAGCTACATATAGCTGGGATTTTGTTGACTGCAGCATTAAACAACAAACAAACAAACAAAACAAACGAATGTCAGATTTTCACTCACTATGAGCATGGGTTTGTCAACAAAGACATGTGCTCATGGGCTGCCCTAAAGTGGTCAACGTCTAAGACCTGCATCTTCTCGGGCTTTCCTTGGGGCGGTCGGGTAGCCTAGTGGTTAAAGCCTTCGCTCGTCACGCCGAAGACCCGGGTTCGATTCCCGACATGGGTACAATGTGTGAAGCCCATTTCTGGTGTCCCCCGCCGCAATATTGCTGGAATATTGCTAAAAGCGGCGTAAAACCATAGTTACTCACTCACTCACTCACTCGGGATTTCCTCCGACATCAAGCTGACAGGCCATGATATAACTGAAATACTGTCCACAGCAGCCTTAAACACACTCAGCCACTCATTTACTCATTGGAATGTTTTCAAGTTATTTCAATATTTTTCATAGTTTGAAATCCGACAACTAGGGAATCATCTTGAAAACAATAATTAGGATGACTTCAAAACAAGTGCATTTAGTTTATTGTTCTCACTATTTTTAGGGTCACAGAAGAAATTAATATGACAGACGAGTGTCAAATTTGGATTTGGATCAGATGTGGTTTACAAACATTAATTTTATCTCACAATCGTCTTAAAAATTGTGAGCTACATTAGCTATACTCCGTTTCGCTAAGTTTTTGTTCTAAAATAAACTTAGGAAAACAATTTGCCATATTGAAATGACATTGAAATCAAATCCCTTTGATCAAAACACCTGACGCTAAAATTCATTACATGAGGGATGTTAAACCGAATGGATTGATCACATTAAAAAAAAAATTGTTTTGAGACATGTTTATTTCTGAAAAACAATGAACCATGACATTTTATTCCCTCAAATATATATAGCATCACGATTATTCTGTCCTGTTTCCCACGTTGTAAAAGCCCCTGCTATTTCGTCCCACAGAACAGCGTACCGGCTTGTCTTTGTTTGGCCTAGCCAACATCCGCGGAGCGAAGCTTGTACCCAGTTGACCTTTACGTGAAGCATAGACTGCGCTGAACCTCGTTTCAATTAGCTGTATCACTCAAAAGATTATTTATAATTCCATTTCACACATTAATATTTTGTTATACTGATATATTCAATGAGATAACAGAAAATTTGAACACATTTCATACTTTTATAGATGTTTCTATTTATAACAACCAATCAAAAGACTCGTTGATTCACAATTCAGTGTGGACGAGGAACCAGTCTAGACTGCTGTGATTCACATGGCATTCCCGTTTTGATAAGCATTGCTCCGAGATATAAATGGTTGACTTTATCCGAAGTTTATTTGAGAGTGAAATTGACAACACATGTACACAAGCGAAGTAAGTGGTAGAGGACACGTATATTTGCTGGGGATCACATGGATTCCAAACGTAACGTTGTTGCCATGTGGGGATTTCTAGTCGCGTGCTTGTTGTTTCCCGCTAGCTCAACCAGTGCACATTTGCACGGACCAAACACACCTGGATCCGACACTAACTCTTCTACGCGTGCAGCGGAAGACATGCATTACCACGGTAACAGGACCGATACACTTTCCAGGCGGAATATGGGATTACATTTTTCGTCATTACTGATGTCACTGTATTCGAATTCCGGTATACTGAAAGTGAACGACGTAATACGCATGTTGAGAGATGTCGGGGTACATTTAGGCGTTGATGACAATCATCAACATCAGCCCGATCATAATCATCATCATGATCAACGGCACAGACGAAAACGTGGCCCTGGACACATCAGCCGCCATGCGAGAGATGTATCAAAGACTGAACACATATCACATGGCTTTGAAACAAGTGAAGCGACACATTTTACGGAAAACAACGAGAGCAACGACGATATGGTAATTAACCACGCTTTTATATTTATTCTATACTTAGACAGTTAAACTGCTTCCTTTTCTATTTCGAGACTGTTTATATATATTTTTACGTTTTCTACAAATGGTTTTTTTCATGTCTAATGGATACATGTGATAATGGGTAAAGGAGTACCACTTATTGTAAGTATATAATATTCTACCAGGAAATTGAAGAATGCTAAAGCGCTCGGTTCAAGTTTAAATAAAGGGGTATCTACTCTACAGTGGGACTACATCTAGGGTTTATCTCCTAAATCATACGCGGATATAAAGGTGTGCCGGGGTACGCACACCCTCCCCATTTTTGAAGCATCTAAACATGTACTAAAAAGACATATTAAAAATATCATAAATATTATATTATTTGGTGAAAAGTTAAAAAAAACAAAAACTTGTTTCGCGAGTGATTTTCATTCTGCTTCTTTCCTGTTTGAAGCTTAATACAAGCTCTGGTCTGACGGGTTGATGTTCAGGAAACACAGGTATATAAGCGGCTTCATTCTTTTTTTCCAGGAGGAAGTTTAAGGAAGTGTTTTTTACGGATTTGACGCTTTAAGTATCGCGGAGCTAGTGAAGGCAAATATCGACATGCCTGTGGGATCAACGCGGTTTAGCTGGGTTATATCACAAGTCGCCATGCAAGAACACAGCCGAACAATATTCTGTTTCCATAATAATTTCTCAGATATATACTACTCAAAAGAAGTTGAAGAACACCTCATTCTTTCACATCACGATATGGTTAATGTGTCATGACAGATTAACTTTGGTAATATGAAAGCACTGGGCGTTCTTTCACTTTTTATTAGCAACATACTTTATTACTCTATCATCGGTGCCTTTAACTCCAGCATAAGGCATCATTAGTATCATTATTATTATTATTACTATTATTATTATTATTATTATTAATAACAGAGACTACTCATGTCTAATGAACGTGATGGTTTATGATTTAAGAGAAAGAATGTTCTAAATCGCTTTTCCCCTATTGAAATTGTACACGCCACATTCATGTAGTATGACCTGCAAGTGGTTTTATCGCTAAATCAACCCGTGAAGATCCGGGGTAGAATAGGTCTTCAGCAACCCATGCTTGCCGTAAAAGGTGACTATGCTTGTCGTAAAAGGCGGGATCGGGTGGTCAGACTCGCTGACTTGGTTGAAGCATGTCGTCGCATGCCAATTGCTAAGATCGATGTTCATGACGTCAATCGATGGATTGTCTAGACCAGATTAGATTTTTTACAGACCGCCCTCATATAGCTGGGATATTACTGAGTGCGGCGCTAAACACACCTGTCTCTAAATCGCTCATTAAAGAGAGTGAGTGCAGTGCCTGGGTTTTACGATGCTTTAGCAATATTCCATATATACCAACACTGGGAATCGAACCCTGTTCTTTTGTCGTGACGAGCCGACGGGCTAACCGCTGATCTACCTCATCGCATGTATATGAATACGTATTCTGATGAATATCTACGTAAAGATCAAAATCGAATGGGGATGGGAGCTAACGGGCTGAATCAACTCTGTCCGGGTAATGCTGTGCAGAGTTGAGTTCCTTATGCTGCCATCACAACAAAGTAGTTCTACCCCGCTCTACCCCGTTCTAAACAAAATACTAGAACGGGCTGTGATCACGGTAGAACGCGTAGTTTGGCGTAAAATACGATGCTAGTTCGTTCATAAGCAGTCCTCAATACGTCTATCTCGTTCTTAGCCAGTCTGCAGTCAGTTTGTATCCAGTTCAGATCGTGTGAAAGTGTCCGTTCACCTCATCCCGACAACGTTTCGAAGTAGTTCGAGTACGTCCGTGGCCGTTCTGAATCCGTTCTTTACCAGTTCAAACTCGTTCTACCTCGTTCACAATACGTCGAATCCAGTTCTAACTAATTCTTAACCCGACCAACTCGTTCGCTGTACGTCCTCATCTCGTCCCAAGTGCGTGTGTATTCGCCTCCTGGCTCCGTCCTGGCCCGACTCCTTTGGATACCGAGCGCGTTGTTTTGAAATTTATGTCCGACTGCACCACGTCGTAACACGTCCCTAGTAGGTTCGAAGTACGGCAATTCCGTTCGTAATACGTCTTTCTCGTTTTAAGTACGTTGTCAATCCGACTAATTGCAGAACGGGATGGACGGGATAAAATTTTGAGCAAAGTCAAAGTTCAAGAGCACCCTCCCGTCCGAGCCCGTTCATGAAGTTCGTAAACAGACTGTCAATAGTTGCTACTACGTCCACTACGTTCATACACAGTTTGAGCCGGCTCGACAACATTTTCACGAACGTATTGAGAACTAGTTTGGTGTGATGGGGGTATTAGGCGAGCCATATACGTATCTTTGATCGTGGTTCGAATCCAAGATTCGCCCTGATATATGTTCCAAGGTTTGTCAGTACCATCCCCGTGCTTGTTTCACGAGAGTGGTAAACGTCTAAGACCAAAATCATTTCGAGCTTTCCCCTCGAAACAATATGACACACTGTGGCATAACTGAAATAATGTTGGAAGTGGCGTCACTCCCTGCATTGTCTAATATTTGATCTGAAAGTGATAAGGACGGGTCTGTATATGCATGGGACATTCAGCCAGTCTCTAAAGAGACCCTGTGTGGATTCTGTGTTAGAATAGGTCCCCTGTACTGGTTGTAAGAGGTGACTTAAGAGAACGGGTGGTCAGGCTCGGTGACTTGGTTGATTGCATGTCCTCGTACCCCGACGGTATCAATCACTTGATTTTACTGGGCATATACCTGGAATGTTGCTGAGTGCAGCGTTAAAAAACAAACACACAGAAATTGTATACAATGTTGCTGAGTGCAGCGATAAACAACAAACGAGCACATATAAACTGCATACATCGGTAAGTTGTATGTATGTGTACATATACACACATTCCGTTACTTATTCATTATATTTTTATTTTTATTGAATAATTAACCTGACGAGTATGTAGTGACCTTTCGAACTGACGTGTCAAATACAAGTGCTTGTCAGAGCGATAGTTGCATTTATTGGGAAAAAATAAAATTTTCCATTTGTTATGACAGTCATTTGACGTTTATAATATATTTTACGAACGCTTCGGCTTATATTAAGACTGATAAATTGCTGTGACGGTCAGGTCAGACCGACCTTGCGCGAATTTTGATTGACCAATGGAATGACCAATCAGAAGGCAGCTTTCTCGTCCTTTACGGCACTTATTTCAAATTGGCGTCTACGCTTCGAGACATATTTTGACATATTCTCGATTACAAATTTGAAACCTGAACAAAAGAACATTTTTGAATGGCTAATAGATGGTTTAGATTGTATGGATTCAGTCGTTAAACCCGTAACTATCGTTCGGAGTTAAAGTTTTCGAGGTTGTATGATTAGAAATCACATTCCGACTGTCACTTTCATAATCTGGTAAGCGATGCTCTGATTAGTCGGATGAAAGGTCGTGACCCCTAATGGGATGTCCTCAGATCTTTGTTTAGCGGTAGCGAGAACTCTAGATCTGATTTTAATGAGATTGCTGTGAATGTAACCAGATAGCGGCACTGTTTCGATACCGGAATAAGCACTATTAAATATGGAATACATTAAGGGACAATTTCGCAATCTCGATCTTTGGACGAAAAAATGTCCCTTACAATATTCCATAATTAAATATCAGACTGAAAGTATATTAGGTAGAGGTATAGGAGTCGATCGCTGTGCTGTGACCGTGTGTTGTATTTATTTCAGTGCCTCGGTCTGGACAATGTGGCGATGTTACATGGAGGGGGCATTCGTGACCCGCAGGACATGATGTATCTAGCCCCAGTAATACTGTACCAGCTGACCCATATCTGTGACGACCGTTTGCCCGATAGCGCCGACCACCCTTCACCTGACCAGCATCAGCATCATCATCATCACCACCACCACCGCCACCTCCAGAGGCAGCATGAAACTATAAAGACCAACAGAAACGAAAGCGGAGGAGTTGGGAGTAAACTGCATATTGAGAAAGGTGACCGTAGCCATGGTGATCAGATCCATGAACACCTTAACGTGGGCCGTAGCCATAGCAACATGGATCATGACCAACGTCATCTAAACCATCCTTCAAAGAAAGTGGAAGAGAAGGGTAACCATAACGACAGACATCCAGGGTTAGATGAACAAAATGGTTACCATGACGACCATGGTGACGACAAACATCATAATTCTAAAGGAAAGGATACAAAGCACAGCGTTGAACATATAAATTATGATTCTGAAGAAAAGGACACGGGTCACCATGGTGACCACGAGCACAATAATCAGTCGGAAATCAAAGGTTATCATAGTGGCCATGTGCACCATGTTCATAAAGAAATGGAGACCAATAGAAGCCACATACACCATGTTTCTACAGACAAGGGCAAGCGTCTCCATGGTGACCACATACACCATGTCTCTACAGACAAGGTCAAGCGTCTCCATGGTGACCACATACACCATGTCTCTACAGACAAGGACAAGCGTCTCCATGGTGACCACATACACCATGTCTCTACAGACAAGGGCAAGCGTCTCCATGGTGACCACATACACCATGTCTCTACAGACAAGGGCAAGCGTCTCCATGGTGACCACATACACCATGTCTCTACAGACAAGGACAAGCGTCTCCATGGTGACCACATACACCATGTTTCTAAAGACAAGGACAAGCGTCTCCATGGTGACCATGTCCATGAATTGCCTGGCCATCTTGATCTTGACCACCACGAAGACAACACACATCACCACTTCTATCAAACACCAATAAAAGGTACGTGTCTGAAACAAGGTTCAAGTCACATTCTTAATCATGCTCTTGGTAAAGTTGAAGTGAAATGTGGTTCAAGATTATTGCATGTACGTATACGCGCGCGCGTGCGTGCGTGCGTGTGTGTGTGTGTGTGCGTGCGTGACTGCTTGTACTAATACGGACTAATGCTGGTTTTATAGTGCTAGCCCACAGAGATACCATGTCGCAGTTTAACATGAATACACCACTCAGACACAGTATACTGTCCCCAAGCCGACCAGTCCTTGTTTTAGACGAGCGCCAGGCAGGGTAACAACAAGTGCCATCAATGCACGTCTTTTGGCCGGGCATCAAACCCCCCGATATTCCGCTCTTCGGGCAGACGCCCTTCCACTAGACAGGGAGGCGGTCCCCTGGGTAAAGAGAAACTGTTTCTTTCTCTAGTCTATTGATGTCCGTCATCATCTGTGTGTTTCAGTGTGGGGATTCAGCATCCTTGCTGTTCTCCTCATCAGTCTCGTGGGCCTCGGGAGCGTCGTCATCATCCCAATCATGAGGAGCGTCTTCTACAACTACGTTCTGCAGTTCCTGGTTGCCGTTGCTGTCGGTGCACTCACTGGGGACGCCCTGCTCCACCTCTTGCCACATGTAAGTCAGTTCGTAACGCGCGATTAGGAGTCATGATACATGTCTGCAATGAACTTGAACATTTTGAAAACGTTGTTCAATAACTTTGCACTGGCGCCGTTTCCAATCTGCACAGTTATATTCTACCACAGGCAATGTCAGGAGATGTCCATGACAACCACGAAGAAACAGACGAGGACGATCACCATAGCGACCATGTCGATTACCATAGCAACGCTGTGTGGATGGGACTGTGTGGAATGGGTGGAGTGATAACTTTCTTCACCATGGAAAGGCTGCTCAGGATATTCATGGAGAGAAAAGCGAAGATGAAGGTTAGTGTACGATCTGCTGTTGTTCATAAACATTCCTGGCGGTTTGGTAACGTGGTGGTGCGTTCGCTCAGCACACAGCGAACCCGGTTTGATTCTCATGTTGTATTACGTTCATGTCAACTTCTGATCGAAAGATTAGAATGTACCTATACCTTAAAACTATTTTCTCTGATATGGTGAGGTGAGTTGAGGTGAGGTGAGGTGAAATGGGGTTTAACGTCGCGTCCAAGATTATTGCACTTATATAAGCGACGTGCATGTACGTGTGTGTGTTTGTGTGGCTGCTTGTACTAGTCCGGCATGATGCCGATTTATAGTGCTAGCTCACTGAGCTATCATGCCGCAGTTAAACATGAATACCCCACTCAGACACAGTATACTGACTCCGAGCCGACCAGTCCTTGTTTTAGCTCCTTATTCAAACCCCGGACCTTTCGCTCTCCGGGTGGACGCTCTACCACTAGACCACGGAGGCGGTCTTCTCTGATATGGATCAAATATGCACATATTACTTTGTTTGATCTTGTCAAGAGGTCCCGAAACCAATTGTCCTATACCTAAATTGTAGTGTGTGTGTGTGTGTGTGTGTGTGTGTGTGTGTGTGTGTGTGTGTGTGTTTGTGTGTTTGTGTGTTTGTGTGTGTGTGTGGTTAACTGCATAAGTAACGAGTCTCGAATATCCGCCGAAAAAGGTTTCTCTTGGCGTAAAGGACCCGCACAGAGGGGGGTGATGGGGGGGGGGGGGGGGGGGGGGGGGCGGTGAACTGCACACTAGGTGTGGTGAGCATCAGTATAGGTGAGCATCAGACCTGCACAGACTGCGCCCCTTTACTGCGACTGCAGGTCATGTCACCAGCATACCGACGTGCTTAAACTACCACGCGGGCCCTAGGTATGTCATTATAGCAGTCTTCATGAGAAAGTTTATTTTGATTTTTAAGCAACCTTTGCAATTCCATGTAATTTCTAGGAAAGGAAGGCCAAGTCTGTTCCGTACCCGCAGAGTCCTGACAACGCCGCGGTCGACTGCGTGGTGGGCGTCAAGCTGTCAGCTCACGAGGACCCTGACTACCAGGAATGCGAGGAAATGATGTTTAACGTGTACAGGGAGCGCAGTGAGTAACTCTAAAACACGTGTACAGGGAGCGCAGTGAGTACCTCTAAAACACGTGTACAGGGAGCGCAGTGAGTAACTCTAAAACACGTGTACAGGGAGCGCAGTGAGTAACTCTAAAACACGTATACAGTGAGCGCAGTGACGACGAATAAAGACCTGAAGGACACGTCTTTTAAACCTCTAAGTCAACCGTCCCCCTAAGGAACCCCAAATGACTCGTCAAAAGGTCCACAACATTATATATACTTATATACAGTTGAATTGCGAACCGTGTGTACTTTCCAGCTATAACTTCACAATGCTCAATTCATTTTTCATTTTTCCTTCTACAGGATTACCACTTGGAGCATGCGCAAGCAGCCTTCTGTCAATTGCGGCAGTCTCCCATCCCAACATCAGTGCATCGCGATGTGAGGCTCAGCCTCTTTCTGAGGCTCAATCTGACAAAGGTCACGGTCACTCTCATTTAACCAATGAGCTCCCGTCGTCAGTAGCAACGATTGCATGGATGGTGATTCTTGGAGATGGTATCCATAACTTCAGCGACGGCCTCGCACTCGGTGCAGCCTTCGCCAACAGCATCACAGGCGGTATCAGCACCACCATCGCCATCTTCTGCCACGAACTGCCACACGAGATAGGTAGGACTTAGAAGAGACTAGTTGTACAAATCTAAACGTAGGACTGTCATGTGCAGTAAAACCGCCATTTCTTGAAGTCATCGTGATTATCAGATATTTGTGAGTAATCCGTCGTTCGAGACAGTGTGTCGATATAAAACCACACTGCCCAGTATGTTTCTACCTGGACCAATCGTCGTACACAACATATCAACTTAATTGACTTCCAGTGCTGCATTTGTATGATGGTGGTTAATGAAAAAAATGTGAATGTGGGTGCAAAAAGTTGTTATTAATATTGTAATTTGTTGTGAAAGGCTGTTTCTGTTTGAAACCAAAATACGCCATATAATTAATCCATTTTATTAGTAGTCTGCAGTAGATTAGCCCAAGGTCCTTAACGGCTCTGTCCAGCCGATGTTACCGGAAGTTACCGATGTCCCCTGAAGTTCTATTCCGCGCGATGTGATTCCTCATTCTGAGATACTACGTATTGCAGGTTTACACGAAGTCATTACTTGGTGTAGGCGCAGGACCAAATGTTGTTTCGCTGCTAAGCTTTCCTGTTTCCCGATTCTTCCCGATGTTTCCCGATTCTCTATTTTGTCGTTGTTGTTGCTGTTCGCAGGAGACTTTGCCGTGCTGCTGCAGGCGGGGATGTCGGTGAAGCAGGCCCTCGTCTACAACTGTGTCTCCTCTGTGCTCTGCTTCCTGGGGATGATCTTTGGTGTTGCCCTTGGTAACGTGGGCGAAGCCTCTCTTTGGATCTTTGCCTGTATTGCTGGAACCTTCCTCTACATCGCTCTGGTTGATATGGTGAGGGTGGCATATTACAGCGTTTGCACTAACAACATGTTGTTAAAGACGAAATACGTATAGCATTGAGACTACGGTAAAATCTATATCGATAATATGGACGTATACCATATCAAAAGAAGTTTAAGAACACCCGGCCTTTTCATATGACTATACTTATAACTATTTGAATACACGAAATTTTGTTTATGGATAACAGCTTCCTTTATCCTTTATCAAGACGTTTCAGAGCTACTTCTTGCTTCTTCGCCATGTTCATTCATCTGATGAATGAGCAAGAAGTGGTTCGGAAACGTCTTGACAAAGAATGAAAGAAGTTGCTATCCATAAAAAGTGTCATGTATTCAAGTTCTTCTAACTTCTTAATACCTATCAAAGAGTTCATCAGATTAACTATAGTCATATGAAAAGCGCGGGTGTTCTTTAACTTCTTTTGAGTAGTATATATCAAGGGATAAGTCCAGAAAACCGAACACTAATGGGGTTTCACTGCTGTAGGTATATGGTAATATTTGACAATTAGCCTTGATGTTTAATCCTTATAATTATATAGTAATGGATAAAACATTGCAGGGAAGTCGTATTTAGCGTCAAAGCTTCATCAATTATGTAAAAAAGTTATAACGAAATACTGATTTTATTTCAGCTCCCCGAATTGTGTGTTCAACCAACGAAGGGAGACAATCCTTACTCTATACTGGGCATACAGCTGTTGGGTATTTTGGTAGGGACGAGTATCATGGCTTTAATTGCAGTGTATGAACACAGCTTGATGAAGCTGCTGGACATGTGACGTGTACAGCTGTATTATAGTCATTCCACTCGAGGTTACCATGACAACCGAGTACAAATTGTGTTACCAGGTGATGTCTTTATTGGAACGGAGAGGTTAACCCTGAAATCGGTCGTACAAAACTAAATTGGTTAATAAGTAAATAACCACACGATATCAAAGAATAACCAGCAAAAATATGGAAAAATACAGTTTTATGTTTACGATAGAAAAGGTCATAAACTTGGTAAATGAGTGAGTTTGGTTTTATGCCGCTTTCAGCAATATTCCAGCAATAACACGGCGGGGGACACCAGAAATGGGCTTCACACATTGTACCCATGTCGGTAATCGAACCTAGGTCTTCGACTAGACGAGCTAACGCTATAATCGTTAGGCTACCCCACCGCCCCTAAAGGTGGTGAAAAAAAGTGATAGCAACAAGAAGTAGCAGTCCTAAACTGAATGAAAGTGCTCTGACGAATGTCCAGATTTATGTCACTGTAGAATGTCTTGGAACAGGATGTCTCAGTTCTTGAATCAAGAACAGTGTTGGAATCTGGCAGGAATTCAGTGTTTTCAGATAGGTATGCAATCCCCACTTGGCAAGCCCAGGTAAAAAAAAGGCTTAAAATCCCCCCTTTCTATTTAGATACCGTCTCATCCCGAAATATCCCGAACGATCAAGCAACCAGGTTGTTCGCGAACCAAGGGTAGATAACTCTAAATTCCACTCCCTTCTGCCGAAAGCCCTTGACATTTTACTGGCACTTCAATCATTTGCTGCCCCGACAATTACTGCAAATACATCGACAACAGTCTCTACTACCACATCACGATTGCTTTTTGCTTTAACCAACAAGTTTGGAGGGATTCGATGTTAAGAGAACCAGCTGTAATTCATATTTGCTATTAGAGAAACTTTTGTAACTTAACATAACTTTGACAATGGCAGACTATTGAACATGCAATGTTTATTTACATAATCTAACAGATATTGTGAATCGTGGTTGTTAAGATTAGATATAGGAAGAATATTCCACATTGTACCTGCATTCCTCATCATGGGTTCATGATTCGCCTGAATATATGGTGAAGCTGAAATACTTCAACTATACTTTAATAAAAACATTCCAATTTAGCGTTTTGGTGTTCTGGAGTATATACTGCATGCAAAAGGTTGTCGCTCGTGTGTGTCCACATTGTGGGCATGAACTTCTTAACAACACCCATCTTCTTCAATGAAACTTAATTCGACAGAAATACACATGCTACAGTTTCAGATGGAAACGCCAAGATCTAACATGAGTGGGTGAGTATGGATTTAGCGTTATTCCAGACATGTTTCGGTGAAGGACCCAAAAATAGGATTCACACCTTGTACCCCATTCGTCACCACTCGCTCCTTTCCGTAACCTGCAAGAAGACTCGTCCCCCTATCGATGAATGTTATGTGCGAAAATACGACAAACCAATCAGAATGCGCGTATGATTTCAGGTTCTTCGTCAAAGAATCCCTCAGAAATAATTTTTGATTTTACATATGCCTTGCATCTAAAAATATACTCAAGACACAGTTAAATGTGTTCAATCATACTGTATAATTTCGCATGTCCCGATGTGCTTTAAATTGTATCTGAAATATATATAAAATATGGGGAAAGATGCGTGAACCATTACGCAACGAGTTGACAAATGTTTTAGGTATGCCCGTTTGCGCTAAGACGGAGCCAGGTCACAAAAATAGCCATGAGAGGGGCACTAGTCGCTGTTCGGCTTGTCCCGGAATAACACGAGTTGGTCACGAATGCTTGTACCCTGGCCACAGCGTGACGAGCCAGTACCTTACCAATTAGGCCACCCTCAGTTTGTGTATATTCTCCTCTTCAGTCAGGGTGTGTGTGTGTGTGTGTGTGTGTGTGTGTGTTAAAGCGCTCTGTCGTCACGCTGAATGCGAGGTTCAATTCCCCAATGGGTACAATATGTGAAGCCCATTTCTGGTGTCCCTAGCCAAGATATTGCTGGAATGTTGCTAATAGCAGCGTAAAACCATACTCACTCACTCACTCTTCAATCACAATCTTCACTCTTCAATCACATAGTCCACATATCCATCTAAGCCTGATCTGCATCTGGTGAGAAAGAATCTTTTCTTTGCCAACACACGAAGCAACTTAAGCCTTTATATCGTGGCAAGCCTATGTATGCTGTTTTACGCCACAGTAAGAAATATTCCAGTTATCTCACGTCAGCCTATAAACAATCGGGTCTGGCCCAGACACACTGGTGACTGATGTCATAAGCAAGTGGTGTAGCAATATTCCAGTTATCTCACGTCAGCTTATAAACAATCGGGTCTGGCCCAGACACACTGGTGACTGATGTCATAAGCAAGTGGTGTAGCAATATTCCAGTTATCTCACGTCAGCCTATAAACAATCGGGTCTGGCCCAGACACACTGGTGACTGATGTCATAAGCAAGTGGTGTAGCAATATTCCAGTTATCTCACGTCAGCCTATAAACAATCGGGTCTGGCCCAGACACACTGGTGACTGATGTCATAAGTATTTTGGTGTACGAAGACACGCTATCAACCAAGTCCCACCGCGCCTGACCACGCGATCCTCTCACGTCAAGGTTGATGTGGAGCGTATTTTAACGCGGCATCAACAGAAGGGGAAGTCTATGTGTATGTGACCATTTGATATTCTTGGGGGCAGGGGAAGACTGTATGGAGTCTAGATTTTGTTTTAGTTTGGGCAACGTATTTGTTTGTGGCTGTGAATTTCTTTCTTTTCATCAGTCTGAAGCATAATTATTATTTTCCGGGTTGTCTGGGACAACTGATTTTTTTCATATTGTGAATGTGTCTATTGTTCCATGGACCCAATAGCCAGTTTCTATGTGTTACTTTTGGGCGTATACTTAATGTTACTTTACTAGTATAGTGAAAAAACCCTTTTAGTATTGAGTACCAGGTGTTTATGTGTGATTGGTGAATCTTCAGATATTAGTGATGCAATCTTTATCAATAAACAGCCACAGTAGACATCATAGACATCATATCGATTAAAAAACAATAGAACCATACTTTGAAAACAAATTTAATTCCTAAATAGAGCCTCTAAGGGTAACAATCATAAAAAGGTTCATAAATACAACAGAAGCATTTGCATGAGACGCGAAAACACGTTCAGTTTTGTTTCAGTGTAGCTAAATATCTTTGCAGTGTCAATTGTTTGTTTACCAAAGCTGTGGTAAGCTAGCATTTGGAACAGTTTTTGTCACATTGACCATTATACACGTGTAGGTAATGTATTAAGTTATTCGTTCCCAAATGAAAACTGTTTTATTTTGGCTATACTAAACAACTTTCATCGTCATTCCGTGTGTTTATTTGTAATTGTGTCTCCGTGTCACGACGCTCCTTTAGTTCTGGTAATAGTAAAAAGTTGTCAAAAATCAAACCGGAGGTCAACCTTGGACGACACACGTGTGACGTACTGAGTTAGTATCACACTACCAGTAGGTCCACTACATGGGTAATAAAAAAGATAACAATCAGCTGTGGTGCCGTCTACACGATGAGAGTCATGTCAAAAATGATGCCACATGAGTAGAACAATGACTTCAACTATGCTTTATACAAATGTTAGGGTAAATATTGTTTATGGGTGTCTGATATCAGAAATATTCTTTGTATGTCTGGTTTTTCTCTTGCATGGATATCTCAAGATGTTGGAAATGATAAACTATTTATCTTCATGCTTAAGGAAAGATTAGTTGATATATTTTCACAAGATTGGCACTGTCAAATATCATCCTCAAGGTTTTTATGCCATTATACGAATATAAAATCTTTACTTGTTCCCGAAAAATATGTATCTGTACTTCAGGATAGAACTTTGAGAAGATCTTTGTGTAAATTACGTATATCATTACATAATTTTAATGTTAACAATCTCAGAAAGAAAAATGTACAAGATAAAGAAAGTAGTTTATGCCGTTATTGTAATGAAGGCTATGTTGAGGATGAGTTTCATGTACTTCTCATTTGTAAATATTATCAGTTTCTTAGAAATAGATACCTCCCTATGATTTCAACTATGTACAAAGATGAACAACTGATGAGAAATTTGTTGAACTCCTGCAATGCAAATACAATATCATCTCTGTCAATATTCCTGAGGAAGATTTTTGAAATTAGACGTTAATATTTTTATGTAAACTTATTATTACCTACACGTGACTGTACAATGTTGATACAAAAAACAAACACTACTGTACTATAGGTCATATGGCCTAAAATATTGAATAAACTTCTGTCTGTCTGTATACAAATGTTATCAAGGCGTGTAAGTTTGATGTGGTAGGAAAGCCCAACATGACGATACGGCTACGGTGCTGCCAAACCAGGGGTTACATTCAGGGCGAATCTGAGATTCGAACCTACGAACATGGCAGCGGATCATGACATGGCTAGGGGAGGCAACTCACAATGCATTGCGGGGCCTTGGACATGTTGCCAACCCTTAACCCGAAATTAGAACTAGAGAGTACAAGTACAAACACATTGAAACATATACACTCTCATAATTAAAAAATAATGTAGGTTTGTAAAAGCATATATGGTCATGATTTTTTTGGGTTGTGTAAGTAAAAAAAACACAACCATATGCACATGGAGATGGGGCGATACGATGTATGCAGTGCGCAATGGGTTATCTCAGTCTAACGTTGCTGAATAGAATATACAGGTCAACGGCGAAATACACAGACACAGTAACCCGTAGTCCGTACAGAAACTGCTGAGTCACAATGAATAAGCATTTGCTTCAGATGAATACACAACTAGGTCCCGTCTTTCACGGCCTCTTCGGCGGCTGTCACGTGTCACAGATCTCGCCCTAGTCGGTCTATCTCTGACACGACGAAGTCCATGTCGTGGAGTGTGGAGCTGGTGTTCGACACAACCATCCGGAAGAAGTTAACCCTGTGTCCGTCAGGTTGGTAGCCAATCAAAAGCGTTCCTTCTTCTGTCATGCGCTGTTTGATACGAGGCGCCACCTGAAAGAAAGGTTTTAATTTTCTGTGTTATTATAATAATGATAATAAAACACCCGCGCGCGCGCACACGCACGCGCGCACACGCACGCACGCACGCACGCACATACACATACACACACACATTGCGCCCTATCCTGTTCATGTTCATGGTGGACACTATTGGTACCCATTCGCTGCTGAGTGTACATAGGACAATTTCGAACAAAGTCACTCTTGCTTCAATTTGGTAAGGGCTTTATCCTTTCTCAAGCCTCACCCGAGTCGACCTTGCTGAGCGCTTTAACCAGGCCCCGACAACTCCCCCCCTCCCCCCCCCCCCCTCCTCTACATTACCTGCTATTTGTTCTTGCTGACATGCATGTTTGTTGTGTCATGGCGCCTGCACGCTGCACGCAGGGTCACGGTAAGCGATCATGGTATTGATCATATGATTTTCGCAATTATTAACAAATATAAGTTTACACTTGATTCTATCAATTCTATTAATTAGTTGATTCTCGTGATTCTCGCAGTTATTAACACATATAAGTTTACACTTTGTTGATTCTCACGTGATTCTCCCAATTATTCACACATATACGTTTACACTTTGATTCTCACCGTTATTCACACATATAAGTTTACACTTTGTTAGTTCTCACGTGATTCTCGCAATTATTCTCAGATTAATTATTCACGCATATAAGTTTACATTTAGTGAAGTCTGATATGTTTCTCGAAAATTATTTACAAATAAAGTTAGTCTTAGTTGATTCGTTGAACAGAATACAACGCTGCCCTCTGAAATATCCTATCAATGATGTGGGACACCGAGACAAAGTTTCATACATTGTACACATCTTGTTGAATCCAGGCTGTGTCTTGGGCATCACTCGTCTAACCCTACCATATATGTATGCATACCAGTATGGAAAATGTTTCATACATATTCATGTCACGTGATATAATTTAATTACCTTCGCAAGTGCCTCCCACCAGTCTCTGTCTTCCGTTTTATTGCGCATGCTCGGGGGGATGTACCAGAAGCAGATGTTGGTGCATTCCGGCTGCAATACAGAACACACACACACATATATATACACTATGCATATACACAATACGCATATGAGGGTAGGCGGAGGTCACCACTGGTGTCCAACCAACAAGCATGGGTATGGTACTGACAAACCCAGAAACATTTAAAATAATGAAGGCAAACCGGGATTCGAACCATTAATCATAAGACTCTGCCAATCCCGAGGGACGCAACACTGTACAACGAATTCCGGCGCCTTAGCGACTGGTCGACCCGCGCCCCCTATACTTCGAGAAGAGTCGACAGGTCGCAATGAATAAATAAAATATATATACAAATATATATATCGAACACGCTTATAACGAGCTGACGGATATAATGAACAAATTTAGAATCCCGGCCATTTCATGTATAGATGTTGTATATATATATGCTTCTGTCCTACAGGGGGCGGTGGGGTAGCCTGGTGGCTCGGCGTTCGTCCGTCACGCCCATGCCCCGGGTTCGATTCCCCATATGGGTAAATTGTGTGAAGCCCATTTCTCGTTCCCCAGCCGTGATATTGCTGAAATATTGCATAAACCGGCATAAATACTCACTCACTGACCTACAACCAGGTTTTTTCAGTTTACGCATTGTGTGTTTCTGTTTCAGCTATGTTACGTGGTATTTCAGTGAGCCACAGTACCTCCTCCAGGACAAGCCGGAACCCTTCTGTTGACTGAAGCTTCTTAGTTAAATACCTGCAATGACAATACAAACAAGAGTCATCGGAAAGATGACATATCGCCCCGGCAGCTGTCTGTAAAGTAACCACTAGTAAATGTGCAATTCTGTATGTAATGAGTCAAGAGATGAATGTTCTTGAAGAAGCATACATTGTTTACCCACAAAAGATCCACCATGGTCGCATCCATATGAAATGGAAAGTAAAATAAGGGTGTTTCTGTGGGTTTTTTTATGCAATCAAAAGACAAATTACAAGAAACAATAACTAAACAAGCGTATAGTCAACAAAGCCATCTATATCCCCCGCCCATTTTAACACGTTATGGTCCCAAACCAGGTAACTGACCAAACATTTCTCCTAGCCCATGTCAAAATAGCTGCAATGGAAATTCTAAAATAAACATTTCTAAAACTCCTTACTATCAAATGGCACCAGTTCAGTATGTGCTTTATAAATAGACATGCAATGTTTGGGAAGGAAATATTAAACAGTTTATTTTTTATACTCCATAAGTGAACCCACCCTTAAATTCAACCTGCTACCATGGACACGTAAAAAATGACAAAAATAAATATTCCTAAATAGCAAAAGGTACCAGTTCAGTATGTGCCTGGTAGACATGCAAAGTTTGTAAGAAAGTTTTGAATGGGTTTTGAGTTATGCTCCGGAAACGAACTCTACCCTTTAGAACCAGTCCAACTTGTTGCCATGGAAACGTAAAAAATAATTTTTTAAATAAAATTCCTAAATAGCAAAAGGCACAACTTCAGTATGTGACTGATAGATTTGTAAAGTTTCGATCAAACACACTGAATTGTTTTCGAGTTCTGCCTCGGAAAAGGAAATGATTACGGGCGGACAGACGGGCGGACAGACAGACTGGCTGATCGCTATACCCCCCCCCCCCCCCCCCCCCAACACACACACACACACACCACCACCACCACCACCACCATATTAAATACAATCGATGATAAGGCAAACGTGAATCTGATAAATGTTTGTGAATATTACCAATTTCCATACATGGTGGATGATGAACACTTTGAATCAATTATAACATCTCATTACTCTAAACGGACGTACGCAGACTTGATCGTCAACAAAGAGCTTTATTACCTTGCTTGATTTGCTCATATCTAACACTGGATCAAATAACTGAATATAATTAGGCCTGCTGGATTGATATTTAACAAAACAATAGGGCCGATATTCGCACGTTGAAAACATATATTTGTATACAAACATGTCAGAACTAGTCAGAACAATACTCATCGCGAAAAGAAGGTTTAGCACACGAGTAACACTTCATTGCCTTTACAAAATGGTTTACATACAGATGAGTTCGGTTCGTGACTCACCTTGAACAAGCAAATATATTGTCGATATCTCTCTCGAACTGGTTGTCTCCCTTGGCCTTCCACATCATCCAGAGCTTAAGGACGTCGACCTTGCGGCCACACTGGACTGACTTGTCCCCGGTGTCGTAGCTGACGTCGTAGAACTTGTCCTGCTGGAACAGGTACTTGGCCTTGGCAGAGTGGCACTCAGAGAGCAGGTTCTGAAACAAGGTTCGAGTCACAGTGACTGATTTTGACACAGGGTCAAAAATTACGGTCACACACAGACAGACATAGGTTCTGAAGTGAGTGAGTGAAAGTTGTTTTACACCGCAGTCAGTGGTCGATTTTAAATATAGGTGAGGTGAAGGTCAGGTGAAATCTTCGCGGCCAAGATTATTGCACTTATATAGCGATGTGCACGTGTGTGTGTGTGTGTGTGTGTGTGTGTGCTTCTGTTTGTACTAGTCTGTACTGATGCCGATTTATAGTGCTAGCCCATGAGCCCATTGAGCAACCATGCCGCAGTTTAACATGATTACCCCACTCAGACAAAGTGTACTGACTCCGTGCCGACCAGTCCTTGTTTAGCCCCTTAATGCCGGCAGACAGGGTAACTACAAGTACCATCTTTTAACGTCTTTTGGTATGACGCGGCCGGGGATCGAACCCCGGACCTTCCGCTCTCCGGCGGACGCTCTACCACTAGACCACGGAGGAAGTCGTTAACTACAGTGCGTGATCAAGAATAGCTCACCTTGTGACGCGTGAGGAAGGCAGAGGTCTGCAGCGCTGCTCCCATCATCTTGTGCGGATTCCACGTCAAAGAATCAGCTCTGGAAAAAGACGAAAAATATAAAAGAGACCAAGCCCTATCCATAACCATCAGAAATCTCTGCTACAAGCAAAGTTCCCTTGTAAGAAATGCATCGGACACCATGTTTGTCAATGAAGCGTCAAATTTAGAAATGTCATTCGCATGTCTACCTTAACAAGTTTTGAGACCTCTACTTTGGCCTTGAATGTTGTAAACAACCTTTGAGCATCAGTCGTACATAGAATGGGGTTATAACTGCTGCTTATATTTAAGCAAGAAAGTCTTACCTCTCTATTCCAGTCATGAGGTGTCTTAGACTTCCAGACAGAAGTACCCCAGCGCCCCACGCGCCGTCCACGTGCATCCATATACCGTACTTCTCACATACGTCGGCGATGTCGACTAGCGGGTCGTATGCCCCGAGAACTGTCGTGCCCGCCGTCGCATTAACCATCACCGGATCCATGCCCTGCAGGTATCAGATCCGACATTTTGACCTCTTTCGTTACTATGGGGTCACCGTGTCTTTAGAATCCATCTTACGAAATACTAGTATGCATTCTATGACCCCAATGGACAATTTACATTCGTTATTTTACATGATGTCTACTTAATCTGTGACACAAACTCTTCGTTTGTGTGTGCGTGCATGCATGCATGTGTTTGCGGTATCTAAAACACGTAATAGATAAAAATAGAGCCTCATATAGTATTCCATATCAATATATACTAGTATTCAGTTCACCTGTCTTTCAAACATCATAAAGGATCCATATTTTATTTGTTTGTTGTTTAACGCTGAACTCAACAATATTCCAGCTATATGACGGCGGTTTGTAAAGTATCGAGATCGATAAAAAAAAAGATCGAGTATGGACCAGACAATCCAGTGATAGATATGAGCATCGATCCACGCAATTGGGATACGATGACATGCATCAACCAAGTCAGCGAGCCTGACCACCCGATCCCGTTAGTCGCCTCTTACCACAAGCATAGTCGCCTTTTATGGTAAGCATGGGTTGCTGAAGACCCATTTTTTCACGGACCATCACGGGTCGATCCATGTTTTTTTAACACGTTTAAAACAGTTTTTTACTTATTGTCGCATATATTTCCATTCAACAACCGTCGCAGCTTCCAGTACAACAGCGAGCGTATATCGTGATGCTCACGTGGCGATTCCTGGACACAGTACACCATGCGTGACGTAGGAACCGACCAACATGAAATGGGGGTTGTCGAAATGCTGGCTGACCCTACCCCGCTGCTCATAGCAACAATCGGGGCGGTCGGGTAGCCTAGTGGTTAAAGCGATTGCTCGTCACGCCGAAGACCCGGGTTCGATTCCCGACATAGGTACAATGTGTGAAGCCCATTTCTGGTGTCTCCCGCCGTGATATTGCTGGAATATTGCTAAAAGCGGCGTAAAACCATACTCACTCACTCATAGCATCAATCACTGGTCAAGACTAGATTTTTTAATAGTCACTTTGAAATAGTTGGAATATTGCTGCCGTGGCGTAAGAAACTCACTCAGTCACTTCATTGGTGACGTCCGCTTGAGACAGAAGGCTTAGTGCATTGAAGGCTTTGTGCATTGACTATTGTTTGTCATCAATAATTGACTTCGATTTTGACTGGTTATAGTGATTAGTTTCGTTACTTCGTACACAGTCACTATCGGAAAGTGACAAACCCTAAATACTGTGGATGTATTTTCAAGAAATCGAAAACTTTGGTTCATGTATACGAACATTTCCTTTCGCCTTCAAAATGGCGTCCTCAAGAGCAGACGACAGCATCCTGCCCTTGTCGTCACACTTGACGGCGATGACATTGTCCATACCGAGACCGAGGAACGACGCCCCCTTCTTCATGGAGTAGTGGCCCTGCAAAGTTGGCGGTGGGGAGAGTCAATGGCATGACGAAATATAGGCCCAATCACACAGTACAACTAGTCGGTACGACAAATTGCATACGATAAGTCGCACCGCGTGACAATGATCGTAAGGGTTTACACAGAAGGACGAGTCCATAGGCTCTTTGTACAAAGCGCTAATAAAACTGGCTCTCGCACAAACAGATTTCATAGCATATTCCGATGGAAGGGAATAGCGGAACATATCTCATTACTGCAGAATATTAATGTCGACAAATTTGTGACCAAGTGACCTGCAAAGGTGTGAGGTCACCACATTTTCCAACAACGTCTGGTAATCTTCGAGGAACATAACACAAATCCACCTGCTCATAGCTGTTCCATTATTTCTTCCCATCGGTATACTTTGATGTTCACATCATGAAGTAAGTACGGGCATTTCATCCATTCTAAGGGGCGGTCGGGTAGGCTAGTGGTTAAAGCGTTCGCTCGTCACGCCGAAAACCCGGGTTCGATTCCCGACATGGGTACAATGTGTGAAGCCCATTTCTGGTGTCCCCCGCCGTGATATTGCTGGAATATTGCTAAAAGCGGCGTAAAACCATTCTCACTCACTCACTCACTCACTCATCCATTCTAAGAGAATCTTTTCTTTTCATGACTATTATATACACATTCAGCAATAGCAATAATAACACTTACAAAAAAAAAGATATTAGAGGTTGATTATAGAATACATATATGATCATTTAGTTAAGGTTTTGAAGGACCACGTCGATTGCGTCTTTACTAAAGGGACAACAAATGACACTGTAAGGATAACAACTTTTAATGGCATCTTAGACAAAAACCACTCGGATATCACCCGATATAAACTGCAGGTCAAAAGAGAGTATAAACCCATGTGTGATGGTTGCTAAACATGAAACAAACAAAAGATCTTTTGAACCTTAAGTTTGCAGTGTTTGGACAACTGTTTTCAGCCTAGAAACGTTTTGATAACGTTTGTAATTATTTTGGTCAAATACAATAATCAAGCGTATACCTCCTGTTGCATTGTAGTTTAGATATTGCTACAACTAGTACTGCAACTACCACCATGTACTGTATAAAGCGCAGATATCCCTGCGTATAGTTGTTTTGACTGTGAGAACAACGATGTCTGAAGGTGACCTTACCGTCTCTGACGTCATGATACACAAGGGAGGTAATCCCCCCATTCCTGCTGTCTTGACAGAAGGGTATTTCTTGTAGCGTGCTAGGTTGATTCCATACATGTTAGACACAGAGCCTCCTGCAAGATGACGTAGACGAGAATGTAATGACGACATTGTCGCGACTACCAGAAGTCAAAGCAAAGCATGTTTGTGTTCGCTTGTCTATTTTGAAGCATTCAAAACAGAAAGCAAGCCGTGTGTAAAATACGTTACTTACCAGGACAGAAGATTGCATCACCATCTTGAAAACCAGCCAGACGACACATCTTGGCGAGGACGGTTTTCTCCATCAGGGTGAACACAGGTGCCACCTCGTATGTGTACCTGGACAGACAGGTAAACAGATAATGCAGGTGTACAGAAGTAATTACAGGTGTAATGTAATAAATACAGGTAAGTTGAACTCGAGACAGGTATACAGAGGTTACTAATGAAATGAATGAAGCATAAATTATCACACGTATACAGGACATGCGCACAACAAGACCAGGCAATTGTTGTGGCTTACATAAGTAAATAAGGAAAATCGTTTGTATGTTGTTGGGTAGTCATCACAACCATCTTGAGTATGAGTCCGATTGTCATTTGGAATGTAATTTAGGAAATATCCCCAGCTAGAAGGGGATGAGGGGCATGGGTGGCGCAGTCGTCTAAGGCGCCGCAATTCGCTGTGTAGAGTTGTGTCCCTTGGGCACACCAGAAACCAGTGATTGTGGGTTCGAATCCCGGTTCGCCCCGATTATGTTTCTAGGTCTGTCAGCACCCGTGCTCGTGGGTTTCACCGAAGTGGTAAACGTCTCAGACCTGTATGACTTAGGGCTTTCTTCCCACATTATGATGACACGCCGCGATAAAACTGCACTATTGTTAAAAGCGGCGTGAAACCCAACTCACTAACTCACTGGGGGCACGGGTGGCCCAGTCGTCTAAGGCGCCGCGATTCGCTGTGCAGAGTTGCAGAAACCTTTGATTGTGGGTTCGAATCCCGGTTCGCCCCGGTTATGTTTCTAGGTTTGTCAGCACCATACCCGTGCTCGTTGGTTTTACCGAAGTGGTAAACGCATCACTTTGGGCTTTCCTCCCACATTAAGCTGACACGCCGTGATATAACTGGAATACTGTTAAAGCGGCGTTAAACCCAACTCACTCACTCACTAGAAGCAGATGATGATCATTATATTGGTAAAGAATACAATCTATATATTGTGCTAAACGTGTAATTCCGTCAGTTTCCACAGAATTATAAATTGGTGAATTTTCAGGAAATCTGAATCCTTATACTGAAAAATACGAGTAACAATACCCTGTTGAACAAGGCGATACTTCACAAATACCGTAACTCCTCCACTATGACGACCTAACTTCTTTGCACAAGTGCGAACACTATTAAGACACTATTGTTTGATCATAGCTCACTGGCTGGTGTTGAGGGATTCAGTAAGCCACGCCCCTGCCAGGGTGTATGGGTCGAATCCGCCATATAACTGATTGAAAAAATGGGGATGTCCTGAAAGGAAACAACATTAAGGTTGTGAATATTACATACAAGTAAAGGTGATATTACATACAGGTATAGGTGATACTACATATAGGTATAGGTGATATTACATACAAGTAAAGGTGATATTACATACAGGTATAGGTGATATTACATACAGGTATAGGTGATATTACATACAGGTATAGGTGATACTACATATAGGTATAGGTGATATTACATACAAGTAAAGGTGATATTACATACAGGTATAGGTGATACTACATATAGGTATAGGTGATATTACATACAAGTAAAGGTGATATTACATACAGGTATAGGTGATATTACATACAGGTATAGGTGATACTACATATAGGTATAGGTGATATTACATACAGGTATAGGTGATATTACATACAGGTATAGGTGATATTACATACAGGTATAGGTGATATTACATACAAGTAAAGGTGATATTACATACGGGTATAGGTGATATTACATACAGGTAAAGGTGATATTACATACAGGTATAGGTGATACTACATATAGGTATAGGTGATATTACATACAAGTAAAGGTGATATTACATACAGGTATAGGTGATATTACATACAGGTATAGGTGATATTACATACAGGTATAGGTGATACTACATATAGGTATAGGTGATATTACATACAAGTAAAGGTGATATTACATACAGGTATAGGTGATACTACATATAGGTATAGGTGATATTACATACAAGTAAAGGTGATATTACATACAGGTATAGGTGATATTACATACAGGTATAGGTGATATTACATACAGGTATAGGTGATACTACATATAGGTATAGGTGATATTACATACAGGTATAGGTGATATTACATACAGGTATAAGTGATATTACATACAGGTATAGGTGATATTACATACAGGTATAGGTGATACTACATATAGGTATAAGTGATATTACATATAGGTATAAGTGATATTACATATAGGTAAAGGTGATATTACATATAAGTTTAGGGGATATTACATACAGGTATAGGTGATATCACATACAGGTATAGGTGATATTACATATAGGTATAGGTGATGTTACTTATAGGGATAGGTGATATTACATACAGGTATTGGTGATATTACATATAAGTATAGGGGATATTACATATAGGTATAGGTGATATTACATACAGGTATAGGTGATTTTACGTACTGATCTGGGTCATTTTACATACAGATTTAGGTGATATTACATACAGATTTAGGGGATATTACATTCAGATTTTGGTTACATTAAAAACAATAATACACATGTATGTGAACTTAATTTGCGCAAGGAGGCACTTTCTTCAACACATAGAAATTTAGAATTAATTCATTAGGTGTGTTATGAAGCGTCGCATCGTTGACAAGAACGACTCGAACTTGAGACAATGTTGGCCCCGTCGTCTAAGGCGCCACAATTCAGTGTGCAGAGTTACGTCCTATAGTTTCTAGATTTGGTAGCAAGTGGTGAGGTGAGGTGATACTGTGTTTAGCGTCGCGTCCAAGATTATTGCACTTATATAGCGTGGCTGCTTGTACTAGTCCGGACTGATGCCGATTTATAGCTCTAGCTCACTGAGATACCATGCCGCAGTTTAACCTGAATACCCCACTCAGACACTGTATATTGACTCCGAGCCGACAAGTCCTTGTTTTAGCCCCTTAATGCCAAACCCCAGACAGGGTAACAACAAGTACCATCTTTCAACGTCTTTTGTATGACGCGGCCGGGGATCGAACCCCGGACCTTCCGCGCTCCGGGCGGACGGTCTACCTCAAGACCACGGAGGCGGTCGGTAGCAAGTGGTAAACGTTTAACATCTACATAACGTTTGGCAATCAAGCTGACACGCCGTTATATAACTAAAATATTGTTAAATGCGGCGTAAAAGCTGACTCACTTAAAACAGTGCTGCCGAGAAGACGAACCTGACTTGACGCTGTATTTGACGATCTGTTTGGTCATGCTGATGAGAGTCTGGTCAGGAGTCCCAGCTTGACCGATGTCCAGATCCATGATGGACTCCAAATCTTTGGGGTGCTTAAACTCCACCACCTTGCTTCAACATAGGGAATAACGCTTTGCATAACAAATTCTGACGTCACATACGTCCTACAAGCCCCATGCCTATCGTCTATTCCTGATAACATCCATCCCTACACGTAACCCCCTATATTACTCTACCTATTAATTATTCATGCCCAGCCCTTCCCAATCAACCCCCTTCTTACTCTACCTATTAACGCCCAGCCCTTCCTCTTTGCGCCCCCCTCCCCCAACACACACACACTGACATCTTACTCTACCCGTTAACGTCCAGCCCTTTCTTCAAACCCCCTATCTTACCCTACCTGTTAACGTCCAGCCCTTCCTGTAAGGCCTCCTTGACCATCACGTCAAACATGGCTGACAAGAAATCCGTGTTCAGAGCAGTTCTGGGTTCTGAAAGCAGAGTTATCGAAATTAGTAGAAATTCTGAAGTTTATGTATCAGATGTCAGTGGACCTGGGGGTGACGTCCACATGACGCCTCTTAATGGTCGAAGGTTGGCATCGATGAACATTTAAAGCTCAACATTGGCGATAAAAATATTTCTTGCCTTTGCATGTGTTTGTGACGGATGCCACCGATGGAGCAGGATACGCTCACCTTTCCGCGAACACCTGGTATTTTGTACAATGGATTTTGTACCATGGAGATTTTATGGAAAGGATTTGTCCTTTTATTTTCATCTTTAAAATGAACATAGTATTATTTGTAAAGTAATGAGCGGTTGATTGTATTTCGCTGACGTTACTATGCATGGTTTCGTAATAGTAGAAACCACTTACTTTTTGCAGGACTTCCATCTCCCCGCCGGACACCATTCGTCACACCGTTCTGAGCTGACCCGTCCGCCATGTTGACAGGGAGAGTGACGCCATTTCGTGCCATTTTGGTCTCAAGCAACTTAAAAGTGTGGAATACCTTAAATAAGATTAAAACAAGATCTCAAACATCCTGATGACCACCCTAGCGATGCTACGTATACGCCATGGCCACCTGCATGTGTTCTATCTACATGTATGGCCGGTGCATGGCGTCTTGTTGTCAATACTGTTGTCTCTCATGATACCCGTGAGTCGTTTATACTGATTCATGTTCGCACAAGCAATGACGTTTAAACATCTGTCACGTGTTCAAATTAATATGAAAATTACTTGGAAGCAGCGCATTCAAACCCACATGCCCATGCAATAATTGATCACACCATATGTTTGCAACATGTCTGAGGTAGGCCGACATCAAAGCCTTAAGTTTATACCAGCCAACATCAAAGCCTTAAGTTTATACTATTATATATAAAAACCTTAAGTTTATACCAGCCTATATCAAAGCCTTAAGTTAATACTAGCCTATATCAAAGCCATAATATTATACTAGCCTATATCAAAGCCTTAAGTTTATACTAGCCTATATCAAAGCCTTAATATTATACTAGCCTATATCAAAGCCTTACGTTTATACTAGCCTATATCAAAGCCTTAAGTTTATACTATTACATGTCAAAGCCTTAAGTTTATACTAGCCTATATCAAAGCCCTAAGTTTATACTAGCCTATATCAAAGCCTTAAGTTTATACCAGCATATATCAAAACCTTAAGTTAATACTAGCCTATATCAAAGCCTTAAGATTATACCAGCCTATATCAAAGCCTACAGTTTCTACTAGCCTACATCAAAGCCTAGTTTGTACTAGCCTATATCAAAGCCTAAAGTTTCTACTAGCTTATATCATTTTGTGATTTGTCATTTTGTGTTTACCCGACTCAGCAATTTCGAGCTATATGACGGCGGTGACATCATGAGCATCTATCCACGCAATTGGGATACGATGACATGCATCAACCAAGTCAGCGAGCCTGACCACCCGATCCCGTTAATCGCCTCCAACGACAGTTTGAATGAATTCATAGGTTCTCTATTACGTTCTATCAAAACGTCTTAAGACTACTACAAATATACTCACGGGAGAGAATGGGAGAAAACAATAAACGGTTTGACAATTATGAATGGAAACAATATGTGTTTGTTGTTGAACGCCGCACTCAGCGATATACCCAAAACTTTATTATTATCATGACCACCGTAAAAAGCATAAGATTCCACGTCACAGGCAAGCGTGTCTGCTATGGTTTATAAAACGCCATCGACGTTATCAGGATGCTGGTGTAGTGGCGCATCATCGATTTGATAGTAGTTAAGTAAAGGCCTGTGGTGGCACAAGAGAAACTGCAAGGGCACAGTTGGTGTTGGGAATCTCATCACACAACCCTACAGCAATGAAATATTTGCCCCAATTGTGGAACCATTCATGAGGACTGCACGCCGCTATAGAGAGGAGCTATACAGGGCGACAATGCTCGCCCGACCGTGGACAATATTCGACAATATTGAATAAGCAAGCAGGATGTATATAGGCTACGTAAAACAGGTGTCAATGACTTATTCGACAGTAAGGCATACACAGGTCGATGTCTTTCACAAATACGTGTTCAAACAACATATGGTTGACACAGTCATAGATACCTTAAATCCTGATTCATTGCTGTTGTAATTGCAAGCTTATGACAAGTCATACTGCCACGCAAAATGGAAGCTACGCAGCTCATTAACATATAGAGGGCGTAAGGTGACCTCGGGTCGGGATGAAGTTACGGGATATGGTTTCAGCTGACATCAATACATATCATCACAACTGTAGGATTACTTGTTTCAACTGAAGAAAGATTTCACTCTCTGCTTCCCTGATCTGTGTGGCTGTGCAGAGTTGCGTCCCTTGGGCACGCCAGAAACCGGTGATTGTGGGTTCGAATCCCGGTTCGCCCCGATTATGATTCTAGGTTTGCCAGCACTTCACCGAAGTGGTAAACGTCCCAGACATACATCACTTCGGGCTTTCCTCCCACATTAAGCTGACACGCCGCGATATCACTGTAATACTGCTAAAAGCGGCGTTAAACCCAACTCACTCACTTACACATCTGGTCCGTATGATTATTTGTTGTAATAAGTTATCGGAGCGTGACAGTGAACGATTCTGACATACGCAGCGCTTATAACGTTCGGTCAACCAAGACAATATTTGTGATGAAACTGGTGACCGCCTTAGGTCTGGTTAACTGTCCTCCACAACACACTGTGATCAGATTAAAATACTGTTCAAAGCGTGTCTATATTTAAACAGATAAAGCGGATTTTCTTTTTTTTATCCACGGACCTGTAACTAATGTGGGTGCTACCAGCAGGGCAGGGCATGCTTACCCTGTTCATGTTTGTTTGTTTGTTTGTTTGTTTGTTTGTTTGTTGTGTAACGTCGCACTCAGCAATATTCCAGCTATATGAAGGAGGTCTGTAGATAATCGAGCCTGGACAAGACAATCCAGTGATTGACATCATTACCATCAATCCACGCAATTGGGATACGATGACATGCATTGACCAAGTCAGCGAGCCTCACCACCCGATCACGTTAGTCGCCTCTTACCACAAGCATGGGTTGCTAAAGACCTATTCTACCCCGGATCTTCACGGGTCTTACCCTTTTCAAGAACGCCTCGTGTCATTACTGATTTTCCAGTGTTCCAATCATATAACTTTCATCGCTATTCTGCCTTTCACGCCAGGTGGTAAATGTGTCGCTGGTTCCAGTAATCTGGACTGGTTATTCTCTGGTGTTGACTTTTTATCTTATCTTATTGCAAAAGAGTAAAACTTGGAAATAACGAACTCCAGAGGACCAAGAAAATCACTTTGTTATACATGTAGTTACTCGGAACGCGAGAATATGTCCACCATCTTGGATTGAAATATTAAATATTTAATAATACTTATTCAGTATGTTCAGTATGTTGCAGCTGAATAAGACGCGGTTACGCGGCATAGACACTGAGAAAATAATAACATGTTTGACCTAGCATGTCGAAGTATGTCGTTTAAAGCTGCAGTTTTACAGGATATGGCTGTGTTCCCTCAAGCGTTCAAGTATTTGTCAACTGATCGTAAATGGCTGCCTCTCATATTTGCAGGTTAAACGCTATTAACGATGTTAATGTCGGTGTATAGCAGTCATGCTAGGTTGCCGTTGGCATGTGACTGTTGATGTGTCTTTATTGTTGGCGTATTATTGTTTTGTGATGCAGTTGGTGTGTATGGGTTGGTGTTGTTATGCTGTTGCTTTCTTTTGATGAAGTTGGCTTTTGATGTGTCTTTTGAAGTGTAGCTGTTGGTGTTATATATAAATGATACCAAGATCAAACAATATGCTTTTTTATCAATACATATTATGATGAAAATAGTATTTTGGTATGAAAACGTTCCTGGGTCTTTAAGGCGCCGTGTTTTATTCAAGAAGAACTCAAAGAGAGGCTCCTTTTTCTAACTGACATTTTATGATTTATTAAAATAGTTAACTGACACGTCAGGCAGAATAACGCAAATTACAATTTACACAAAATACGCCTTGTGAATAGGACGATGAGATCAACTTTTGTACAACGAAAAATGGCAACGTGTTTTCTGCCAGGTCGACTTGTGCAGTACCATGTTGGAGAATAGCAGGACAAATCGCTCCAGACATAACCTCGGAAACATTGATGTGTAGTGTGAAGTAGAGCAAGACAATGTTCAAGGACATGTAAATAATGTACGCGCGTTCCTAGAGCACGCTATTGATTATCAGGACAACCCAATCGTGAAAGTGGAGTCATTGACCATTTTAATGTGAGATTACAGTGACGACATCACTTAACGTCGATGTCATGGAGGTCTGAGGCAGTAGTCCTCGCTGCCACGACGGATCTACCACTGACCCGCGTTCGAACCTAAGACTCCCCACAATTATTTGCAGGACGGCTGCAAGGACTACCGTATAGCAGGAGTGAGTGAGTTGGGTTTAACGCCGCTTTTAAACAGTATTCCAGTTATATCACGACGTGTTAGCTTAATGTGGGAGGAAAGCCCGAAGTGATTCAGGTCAAAGACGTTTACCACTTTGGCGAAACCAACGAGCACGGATACGGTGCTGACAAACCTAGAAACATAATCAGGGAACAGGCGAACAGGGATTCCAACACGCGAACATGTGGTTCTGATGTGCCCAAGGGACGCAACTCTGCACAGCGTCGTAAAGTACGATGAAACAGGGGAAGACATTTAAAAAGAAGTCACATACATATTGCCATGGCGCAGTTACAAAACATGTCGTTAGAGAATCGATTCCCCTTCTGGTAATTCAATACGAGTATGTCGCTTATATAAAAGTGAAATGTGTTTCGTCAGGCAAAAGCAGGATATGCTTTTACAAAAGTGTTATTTTAAATGGCAACATATAGTAAGCGGTGCTTATTCAATGTCAAGGTGTATATGAAGAAGACGTGTGTCCAGAGACCGTGTTCCAGTTACACAGCTCAGGCGACAGAGGTGAAGGCGGGGCTTTCCGCAGCTGTTGTCGTCGTGTACTCATGCGGTAGTGACACTAATGTATGACGTACCCAGGACATCCTAACTGAACTAGAACAAGACAAATAGTAAGCAGGGCTCAGTTATACACCCCCCCCCCCCCCCCCCCCCCCGAAAAAGCTGTATTTTTGCAGAAAAACCAAAAATTGAAATCAAACTTCTTCTATAGGTATAAAAGGTGTTCACCAAGTTTGAAAGGAATCTATATAGCAGTTATAGGTTACACAAGCACATGTTCTCGTAAGGACGAACGGGCGGACGGGCGGAATTCTTTGGTATTGCCCTTCCAGGTCGGGGTCAATAAAGTAGAATAAATTATACAACTGTATGACATTCAGCCGATGGGATATTGTGTCAGATCGTGATCGTGCGCAGAAACAAAAGTGTGAATGTAGCCATGTGTGACCGGCATTATGGACTGGCAGATTGTATCTATAAAAACCCTACAAATGATTTTCAACAACTAGTAAATAAACATCACACGATAAACGTTCTGAAGAAGCAGGGCAAAACATGAGCTTGAGTGACAAAGGGGGCCACTGAACACGGGAAACACGGGAATTCAACATTTTCAGAATTTATTTATTTATTTATTTATTTATTATTATTATTATTTTTTTATTTTTTTGGGGGTGGGGAAGTGGGGGGTGGGGGGGGGAAGTGGGGGGGGTGGGGTGTTGTCTCAAAACATAAGGAATCAGGTTTGTATCCGACATCGAACTTTTGAACTCGTCCCTTACTTAAGGAATTAGCATTGTACATAATTGAAGATCGATACTAGAGACACGCCATGCATGCCTGTTCAAGTATTAGAGTTATCCTTACTCTGTATAAACCTGTTTGGTGTTTCGGGACGAGCGCAGAGACTTGCAACGGTCGGATGCTTTACGTTGATAAATCACAACTGGTCCCATCCCCATCCCCATCCCATCCCTACACCAGCACGCACCGCCCGCCCCCCCCCCCCCCCCCCCCCCCCTCCCTACATCAGCACGCACCCCATTCCCCTACACCAGCACGCACCCCCTCCCCACCCACCCCTCCCTACATCAGCACGCACCCCATTCCCCCTACACCAGCACGCACCCCATTCCCCCTACACCAGCACGCACCCCATCCCCATCCCCCCCTACACCAGCACGCACCCCATCCCCATCCCACCCTACACCAGCACGCACCCCATCCCCATCCCCCCCTACACCAGCACGCACCCCATCCCCATCCCACCTCTACACCAGTATAGAGCTTAAATATATGCTAGATACTTTGAAGCAAGGTGAAATCCACTCACTCGACTCGCTGTACCTATATTACTGCTGACGCACTTAACACAAAGTCATTTACACATGACAAATGTCATTCCTAAAACCCTGTTACACAACACTGTTTTCAGCAACAAAACGTGTGCGTGTGTTTATTTCCAGAAAGCATCATTTAAAAAAAGTTGTTAACATTTCAGCTGACCACAACAATAACATAACTTGTTTTCAAAATACATATAAAAATCGAATCATATAAATTGTTACTTTACCTCACAGTGGGGCAGAACTCCGTTCAGTGCGTGCCGACAGTTCTAGAAGCTGTTATAGATTTTCCACGCGAACTTTTCCGCTGTCGTCCCACAGCTGTGGGTCAAGGCCGTCTTGCGCTTGCTATGAAGTTACCTTTGCATGACAAACTGCCTTGGGGTGAACACGACTGGGCCATGCAGAGTATATATTATAGACAATTGCATTGCTTTATCATCGCTCACTTGGATACAGTTGTGGACGAACGGTTACACCCTGATTGGTCGAATTCCTAGAATGCAGTTGAGCTGATTGGTAAAAAAAATGCTTGAGTGCATTCCATCCCCATAGATCGAATCGGTTACGTTAGCCAATAACAATTTTAACAAATCATAACACAATTCAGCACTTATATGAGAATTGGTTTCCCGTAGTATTAATGTTCGCTTAGGCTACCTTGACATCTTTTACAGGTTTGTTTTTAAAGGGGAATAGATATACTTCAATTTAATGTTTTCATGACATGAAATCTATAATTTTATGTTTCACTTTTTAAAATTATAACGATGCTGACATCCAAAAACCATTTGTTTTATTTTTAAAATCCCTACTTGACAAAGAGTGAAAAGTTCTGTTTTGAGATTTGTAATCTCCAGGTACTGATTCCTCTAATGTGCTTGAATACATGTATATACAGTGCTGATTGGTCGGCCACTATTATCTCGAACTCCTCGATAATCGTTTAAGCCGATGGTTCAGGCAGATTTATTATCGGGACAAATTTATATGGTCTCCCAGTCTGTCTCGAACTATGGATAAGTCGATTTTTGTTATCCTAACTCTGAGTTGTGGCCAATTTTTTTTATCTGTATATGATTACATGCTGCCAGTTTCGGTTCGGTTCGGTTCAATCGATTCTGTCCGGACCAGCGTTCAACAATACGAATACTAGCTACGTCCACACGCCGACAGTGTGTCACGTAATTGCTGCATGCACACACACTCGATGACAGACTGAAAACACTTACAATGTATGGTGGTCGAGAGGGGACATCATTTTCTCGCCTTTAAATATGGCCGCGATATTGCGATAACACGAGACGAGACAGCGATAGCGACGACATTGCACAATTATTAAGGGTACTGTTAATGTTATTGTGCCCAGGGGGTTGTCGCTTTATCGCTTTATCGTGGCCCTAATTGAGGGGCAGAAAGCGATGTCCCCACTCGGCCACCATAACAATGACATGCACTTTTAATAATTGTGCAATGCAGTCGCCGTGACATATTAGGGTCATCCGCATTTAAAACAGTATCCATATTTTTCGCCTTGGGTTATTTTGCTATAACTTTTGTTTGTTTGTTTGTTGTTTAACGTCGCACTCAGCAATATTACAGCTATTTGACGGCGGTCTGTAAATAATCGAGTCTGGACCAGATAATGCAGTGATTGATATCATGAGCATCGACCCACGCAATTGGGATACGATGACATACATCAACCAAGTCAGCGAGCCTGACCACCCGACCCCGTTAGTCGCCTCTTACGACAAGCATAGTCGCCTTTTACGGCAAGCATGGGTTGCTGAAGACCTATTCTACCCCGGATCTTCAAGGGTCCTATAGCTACCAGTCGTTATCAGACTGCTCGAGATTTATGGCATTCACGTGAAGGGTGTGTATCCAATATATAATATAGATTGTGCATTGCTTATTCTTTCCATAGAGATCAGAATATATACTACTCAAAAACGTTAAGGACCACCCGATTCATTCATATTATAGTTCATTTGTCATGGAATGGAATCGGTTGGTCCTAAACTTCTTTTGTGAAGTTTTTTTTCCTAAGGTTATTCAACTTCTTTGCAGTATGATCAAGTTCAGTAGAATGCTGACGAACTAATGCATCATCTTTCCGAGGCAAGAGTGTGTAACTATAGCAGTATAAAAAAATCTGGTGGTCCCTAACATTTTTAGTAGTATAATTCGCTACATCCATTCCTGAGACGAGGATGCATGACGTTGAAATATATTTTCCCACAGTTATAATATCGAGGAGAAGAAATCCCGTTTTCTTTCAAGTTAGACTCAAAGTCTGATACAGACGAAATTTTCCTGCAATGTATCTTGAGTTTTGTAATGTATCTAAAATCCAGATTATCCGTCCTAGCTAAGGGATAGTGAATGAGTATGGTTTTACGCCGCTTTTAGTAATATTCAAGCAATATCACGGCGGGGGACACCAGAAATGGGCTTCACACATTGTACCCATGTCGGGAAACGAACCCGGGTCTTCGGCGTGACAAGTGAACGCTTTAACCACATAATGCTATAGTTAATAATCTGGCGGCCCATTTATAGTGAGGTTAGGTGAAATGGGGTTTAACGTCGCGTCCAAGATTCCATTTATAGTGCTCAGGCAATACATACTCGTGGTTTGTTGGATACAGTTGTTTGTGTGTGTGTGTGTGTGGGGGGGGGGAAAATAAACTGTTCTAAAAATAAATATCCCTACCCCAACCCTCATCCCAATGCAAAAATGACGGAGATATTATGTGGGGACGAAGGACAGAGGATGATAGGATGTTTAGCGTGCATGTGACACCAAGACATAGCATATAGTTATTGTATTATTACGCTGTGAACAGCATAACCTTAACGTTGGTTGTAATCAACTTTTGTTTCTAACAAAACTGTTTGACGATGGAACGTTTCCTCCCTAGTGGGGAAACAGTATTGTTTCTCCACTGCACAAGGCAGGAAATATTAAAGAGACTAATAACTACAGATAATATCCCCCATTGACGCATATTGTAAAATGCTTATTCTAAATAATGAGGAAGGAATTTATTGTATATGTATATATTTTCAAAATCATTTGATATTGTTAATCATGAAATTCTATTCCAGAGTTTAATCATATTTTTTGGGTAATTAACATTTACCTTTTAACAAATTACTAATGTTCTGATACGATGTCATAAGTGCCAACATGTGTAAATTAAAGTTTGATAAATGTAAACAGGTTTTATATCGTAGATAAGAACTTGAAATGTCTTATCCGGCTTATATTGACATATTGTCATATATTCTGTCGTAGTAAACTTCCTCAAATGATACAATGCGGGTTCGAGCCCAGCTGATGGAACATGTTTTCCGACTGCCAAAATAAGGGTCAACAACAAGTACTTTAATTGTGGCTTCACGATAACCTAAGCATGTCAAACTGACAATCAAGTGACAATCAACTGTCAATCAACTTTCATTCGTGAAAAAATAAGGATCACTGAAAGCTTAGAGTGATAACATTGTTCAACATTTAATGTATAACAACGAAGCCTTTATAAACTGCAGGTAAAAAGAAAGAATACATTTGAAACTTGGATTTGATCTAGAAATTACAAACGTTATGAAAACGTTACCAGCCTGAAACAGTCGCCGAAAGACTACATAACAACAATGACATCCATATCAAACACATCACCATCGATAAAACATTTATAATTTCATTTTAAGCCACTATCAAACATGGGGGTATACTTTCTTTTGCCCGGCAATGTATATCACTTCGTCGGGGTTCGTGGTTTGTTACATGGCCATTAAAACCTCAATGTCATGTGACGAAGGTCATGCCCAATATACAGAATTAAAACGACTGCGTCATGACACACGTGTCTCAAAGCTTTGTTTCATATGTTGAAGTGAACGATTCTCACTGTACTCATGTCCACAAATCGCTAATACTATCAAATATGCAGAATTCCTGCGTCGATAAATTAATAATATTGATGTAGCAATATTTTCACCGTGGTATTAAGAATGGTTCCAAACCACAGATGGGTATATTTCTCCCTTCACGGTCGAATTATCTAGACAAGAAACCCACGGACGAGCGTTGCTGAAAATGTTGACAGAAATTGGTAACACCCAAGGACGAGCGATGGGTGTGTTCTTTGTGGCGTCTTGATGTCGATGAACCTAAACCTAAACACGAGAAATATATGCTGTGTTTTGGGTCTAAAATGGTGATATTTCTTTCTCAAATTTTGATGGTCAACGAGTCTGTAGGCCTTTTACGAGCGCTTTACGCGGGCGATGCTGGCAGACGATGTAGAGCAATCTAAAGTCCCAGTTTAGAGCTCGCATACATAACGTCGCAACTAGTCTGTACTATTGCCGGTTTTATAGTGCGAGATTTGAGCGATGAAAAGGCAGCTGTGGTGGTGAATAGGTCAAGGGTATCTATCATAATAAATGATGTAATAAAATACAGCTGAGTGATCGAAGATGCGAGGATATTTGGGAATGTAGAAGATTTCCTCTCATGATATATACAGGGTTAAAGGTACTCAATTCACGAAACGTTTTCCTTTTAATGTCCACTGATAGGACCCGAGAAGATCCGGGTTAGAATAGGTCTTCAGCAACCCGTGCTTGCCATAAAAGGCGACTATGCTTGTCGTAAGAGGCGACTTACGGGATCCTGAGATCGCTGGTTGATGCATGTCATCGATCCCAATTGCGTTGATCGATGCTCCTGATGTCAATCACTGGATTGTCTGGTCCAGACTCGATTATTTACACACGTCATATGGCTGGAATATTGCTGAGAGTGGCGTTAAACAACAAACAAACAAAACAAATCCAATCATAGATTTAGACTTTCGATGCGTTATTAAACCATTGCACAATGAGGGTGATTAATTATATCGGCTATTAAACCGCTCTTTGTGTATTAGTTAAATAAGACATCGGAAGTGTGTATTAACATCTATCATTTGACCTTGGTAGTGGGGACATGAAGATTGGTGCTTTGGTGTGGGTTGGCTTTCTTTACTGTTATGCCAATATGAGATATATCGTCTTACATTTCGTCATGGAGAAATCAACAGATTCCAGGGATTTCTCCGACTTAAACATAATATCTCTATAATGTTTATGATCTAAAACTGCGTCAGTTTTACTGGTTAACATGCGCAGAATAGCCAATGAATTCCTGGCTCAGAATCATCTGCGACAACAATAGCGTGACGTCAACACAGTTGTTTAAACATACAGAAACGCATCGTGTCAATCAACTGATAACGATTGTTGTAACTGGTTCATGCTTCAGGCAAACACCCCATGCGTCATTCGTCCACCTCAGTTAATTACGTATGCCAGACCGCCTCCGTGGTCTAATGGTAGAGCGTCCGCCCGGATAGCGGAAGGCCCGGGGTTCGATCCCCGACCGCGTCATACCAAAAGATGGTACTTGTTGTTACCCTGTCTGGCGCTCGGCATTAAGGGGCTTAAACAAGGACTGGTCGGCTCGGAGTCAGTATACTGTGTCTGAGTGGGGTATTCATGTTAAACTGCGGCATGGTATCTCAGTGAGCTAGCACTATAAATCGGCATCAGTCCGGACTAGTACAAGCAGCCACACAAACAAACACACGTACATGCACGTCGCTATATAAGTGCAATAATCTTGGACGCGACGTTAAACCCCATTTCACCTCACCTCACCACGTAATGCCATATTATGTTTATCCTCAGCTAATGTCAATATTAATCCACTTTCTCTATCATAACATGCACATATGACAACAGGCGTCAATAGGTCTGAACATGTTGACAACCGTTGAAGAACATGTTGTCTATGCCTATGTCATTCTGACTGGTGCTTTCAGAAACAGGTCAAATGGACAACGACTATTTAAAACAACGAACAGTGCAAGATTGAAGGTGGTGGTAAAAGCTACCCAAAACACACGCCTATTTTTTTACTTTTTTACTGATCTTGTGAACATCCAAGTAACGCTTAAATTCAAAACCCTTATCTCGATTTTTGAATGTATAATGAGTTAACACACGTATCTGTGTGAAGATGTGTTTCTCCGGTACAAGTGCACACAACATTTATACTACATTATATAGTATTGTATAGTATTTATACTATCGGCCGTCAACATCCCAAAGCTGGTGCGTTCAAATTGATTCCATGGAGGTGAGGTGAGGTGAGGTGAGGTGAGGTGAGGCGGGGTTTAACGTCGCGATCATGATTGTTGCACTTTTATAGCGATGCGCATGCACGTGCATGTGTGTGTGCATGTGTGCGTGTGCGTGTGCGTGTGTGTGTGTGTGTGTGTGTGTGTGTGTGTGTGTGTTTTCTTGTGAGTATGTGTGGGGGTGGGGGGATGGGTAAGATGCGGGTGGTGTGTTGTGCTTGTACGTGTTCGAAATCACGCCGTTTTTAAAGTGCTAGCCCACTTAGATACAATGCCGCAGTTTAACATGGATACGCCCTCAGACACATTATACTGGTTCAGATCCGACCAGTCCTTGTTCTATCACCAGAACGCAGAACACCAGGCAGAGTAACAACAAGTTACATCCGTAAATGTCTTTTGGTGTCACGCGGGGATCGAACCACCGACCCGCTCTCCGGGCAGAGGCTCTATCCACTAAACCGCGAAGGCGGCCCAGAGGAGATGGTTATATAAATATGTCAATAGATCCCATGTCAACGTCTGTTTCACATCGTGTCCGCTGGCCGTGGTCATTGTCCGGGTCAGATTGTTCAAGTATTGACCATCTGTTCCAGGTCGTGACCTTACATACATCAACAACTTACCGCATCCGGTCACACTATTTCGAGTACACAGTGTGTGAGAACCCGAACATTAAGTGAGATCTTAACACTTTTATAAACAACCGGGCGAAAGAAAGCACGTAGTATAATGGCTAAACAAGAAATGGTTATTCGATGGTAATGCATTTGATGAAGTATTTCGGTGACTGTTATCAGCCTAGAAACGTTTTGATAGCGTTTGCAATGCTTTGGGCAAATCCAATTTCCAAGTGTATATTTTCTTTTGCCCGGCAGTTTATATGAACTACACATATCCGTGATGCAGCATGATTTGCCCCGCTAGATAATATCTAAAGTCATGATAGTACTGTTAATTAAGAAATAAACGACTCGTGGACGTTTAATAAAACACTGCAGCGAGAATAAAGCCTGACGGGCGCACCTTGAATGGTTTTATTCTCCCTGCAGTGTTTTGTTGCACGATAAACAACGACAACGAGTCGTTTATTTGTTTTATGAGATATCAACATTATATACAGCCTCTTTAAGGAGGTTAATAAAATGTACAAGCTTTAATAATACTTACCCGTATTTAAGTAATGATGACTCCCTGAATCCAGTCCGACCTAGGCAATGTCGGACGAGTCCATTTTATGAACGGTGTGTGTGTGTGTGTCTCCGGGGGGGGGGGGGGGGGGGGGGGGGGGGGGGGGGGGGGGGGGGTCGGGGGTCGGGGGGGGGGGGGGGGGGTCGGGGGTCGGGGGGGGGGGGGAGATGACATGATATTTACACGTGGCGACATAAAGACTTCAGAGTAACGTGTTGACGTGAAATTTGCATGTGCTGTCATAACGACTTGACAGTAACATATTGACGTGATAGAGTTCATTGCAGTATGAACCTTCATTAAGAAAGGGTCAAACCGTATAAACGTCGGAGCTATATACGTTGATATATACGTTCTGAGGCTCACATGGAAGGAACTGCGTAATAGTGAGATCATTGGTTATGGATATTACATAATGTCATAGGACCCGTGAAGATCCGGGTAGAATAGGTCTTCAGCAACCCACGCTTGTCGTAAGAGGCATCTAACGGGATCGGGTGGTCAGGCTCGTTGACTTGGTTGGTGCATGACATTGTATCCCAAATTCGTGGATCGATGCTCATGATGTCAATCACACAGATTCAAACCAACCAACCAATCAAGGATATACTATATATGTATTATGAGCGTATTTGTAGAGGCGTTCTCTGAAACCAATATTGGTCATAAAGTCTACAGCAAAATGTTTTAAATTGTTTGATAGGCATTTCTTAGAAGTTAACACATGTTAAAAGTAACCACATTTTATGCATAAGAACTTCTTCATTTTACTGAAGTGGTGACTTTTCGGTATAGATCCTTATACCGTTGTCAAGCAAGGACGCGCCATTACAGTAAAATAAAGAAGTTGTTACCCTTAAATTATGTCAACTTTGTAATTTGCGTGGGTCGATGCTCATGATATCAATGACTGGATTGTCTGGTCCAGATTCGATTATTTACAGACCGCCGTCATATAGCTGGAATATTGCTGAGTGCGGCGTAAAACAACCAACCAACCAACTACTCCCCAGCACAATACAATGGACAAGAACCGAGATACTGTTCAAAGCGGCGTTAAATCCAACTCACTCACTCGCTCGAGCAGGCATCATAAATTTACTTATGAACAGCTGTGTGTGAGAATTCAATGTTTACCAACGCCTTGGCAGTTTCAGTCAGCTGTACTGTCACGGTATTACAATGTCCCCGTTGTAAGACACACACACATGCACAATACCTCAACGACCACTCCAGCAAAATATGAACCGCGTGTGCTATATATAGTGTATTCACCACACAACGAAACCTCGTCGTCGTGTCAACTTCCGTGACTGTCGAGGGGGGCGTGACCGCGGTGATAGCCGCGTAGCACATGACGCCAGGCTGTATGGATTTCAATGTTGTGTGTTCACGTGACAGCCACCATGTGACGAGATCAATAGATGTGGTTTCGTTATCCTTGATTTGACTGAAGGTTTATTGTTTCACGTGAGTCTTGTTTTAGTCTGCTCGGGTGCACACAGTGGTAACTGACGACGTGAGTAGAGGCACATCTACAGGAGCGTTTGTGCAGGTAAGGGTAAAAAACACGATGAACACCTTGTACGTGATGGTAAACCTTCAGACTTTGAAAGTATGTCAGTGAACAGGTGTGACGTTTATATAAGTTGCTTATGTTCATTAACCGCTACACACAAAGTTGTTAGTTGAGTGCTGAGCAGAATAGGCCACATATCTTTCCGGCCACCTTGCCGTGAGTTGACTGAAGAGAGGTGAAATGGAGTTTAGCGTTCAAGATTATTGCGACGTGCATGCACGCGTGTGTGTGTGTGTGGCTGCTTGTACTAGTCCTGACTAATGCCCAATTTAAAGTGCTAGCTCACTTAGATACCATGCCGCAGTTAAACATGAATAACCCACTCAGACACAGTATACTGACTCCGAGCTGAGCCGACCAGTCCCTATCTTACCCCCTTACTGACGAGCGCCAGGCAACAAAAAGTACCATTTTTTACCGTCTTACGCGGGCGGGGATCGAACCCCGGACCTTCCACTCTCCGGGCGGACGCTCTACCACTAGACCACGGGGGCGGTCGAGTTGACTGGAGCAGGGTGACACTTAGATACTAGTAAGTAATCAAACACCATCTCTCCAAGTTGTCGCGGGATGCTCCAGCAGTAGGTGTACAGTGTAGGGTAGTAGACTAATTAACGCAGTGGTTAAAGCTTTGGGTCAGCACGCCGAATTGTGGAGACCCTGGTTCGATTCCCTTCATGGGAATAATGTGTGGAGCTCATTTTGTGTGACCTAGCTCGAATATTGCCCAGTGATGCGTTACACCATCACTCACGCAGTTTCATAGTGTCTTTCAGTTTGATTGTTGATGTCGCTAAAGACGGGATCCGGGGCATTAACACTGTGACACACATGCGAGGAAGTTAGATAACTAGAATGTCTAACTTTAAATAACGTCTTATTTGAGGAGGATGTCTTTGTATTATTGGAAACGGGTTTTTTATAGACATATACTAACCACAGCCCGAGCAGATATCGCATCTATACAACTAGGTGTTGTATGACGTTTGCCACAGCTCTGTATCAAGTGATCACGTGTCTGAGGTGCGTGCTCAAGAGCCACCTTCCTCATTTGTTGACATTTCTTTCCAGACGGCAGTATGGCGTTTTCGTGGTTTGTGGGGCTGCTGATTGCCATGGCAACGTCATGTCAGTCAGCGAAACGTCCAAACATCGTCTTCATCGTTGCAGATGATCTGGTACGTTAAGAACAGCTCCGAGGCCACAGCTACGTAATTATTAGACTAACATCTAGTCTCTGAAATGAACATATCGTACAGAAAAAAACAGTTGTTCAGTTATCTTAATAAAAATATAATAAAAGGGAGCCCAGTGACTCTCTTCATTTTCAGATACTGATACTGCAGTAATCTAGACTTGCCAAATATTATAGACGTGCATGGGCTGTATTGAATATATTTGTATCAGGGTGTGTGTGCGAACTACGTAATTATATGCTGTCGGCGTTTTTCGAAAGCGAGGAGCTTGGAAACGATTTTAATATTTTAGAATTAGAGAACAGTTTTACACTTGTCTCTTGAATGTTGTGCATTTTAGGCGATAATTCCCCATGAAGATTCAGGTTAGAATTGGTTTACAGCAACCCTAGCTTGTAAGGAGCGACTAACGGGGGGTCAGGATTGCTGACTTAGTTGATGCATGTCATCATATCCCAATTGCATAGATCGAAGCTCATGATGTCAATCACTGGATTGTCTGGTCCAGATTCGATGATTTACAGACCCCCGTCATATAACTTGAATATTGATGAGAGCGGCCTAAAACAACAAACAAACAAACAATTGTATGCATTTTATACGATAATTAAACTCTCAGCTGAAAGGAGGGATTCTGAGCATGTCATGAATGTCCCTTTAATGCCCCTTTCAATGTTGAGATACCTGCAGGTCGCTGAGATGACTGCATGTGTTATAGATCTGACGAACGAAAATGGCTGACCTTTAGTCTACTTGTCTGTATACAGGGATACAACGATGTCAGCTTCCATGGATCTAATCAGATCCCCACCCCAAACATCGACAACCTCGCCTACAACGGCATCATTCTCAACAACTACTACGTGTCTCCAATCTGTACTCCGACTAGAAGCGCCATCATGACCGGCAGACACCCCATACACACAGGTAAGACATACACCCCATACACACCGGTGATACAGACACCCCATACACACAGGTGAGACAGACACCCCATACACACAGATGAGACAGACACCCCATACACACAGGTGACACAGACACCCCATACACACAGGTGACACAGACACCCCATACACACAAGTAAGACAGACACCCCATACACACAGGTAAGACAGACACCCCACACACAGGTGAAACAGACACAACATACACACAGGTAAGACAGACACCCCATACACACAGGTGAGACAGACACCCCATACACACAGGTAAGACAGACACCCCACACACACAGTTAAGACAGACACCCCATACACACAGGTGAGACACAGACACCCCACACACACAGGTAAGACAGACACCCCATACACACAGGTGAGACAGACACCCCATACACACAGGTGAGACAGACACCCCACACACACAGGTGAGACAGACACCCCATACACACAGGTAAGACTGACACCACACACACACAGGTGAGACAGACACCCCATACACACAGGTGAGACACAGACACCACAAACACACAGTTAAGACAGACACCACAAACACACAAGTAACACAGACACCCCATACACACAAGTAAGACAGACACCCCATACACACAGGTGAGACAGACACCCCACACACACAGGTGAGACAGACACCACACACACACAGGTGAGACAGACACCCCATACACACAGGTGAGACACAGACACCACAAACACACAGTTAAGACAGATACCACAAACACACAAGTAAGACAGACACCCCATACACACAAGTAAGACAGACACCCCATACACACAGGTGAGACAGACACCCCATACACACAGGTGAGACAGACACCCCATACACACAGGTGAGACAGACACCCCACACACACAGGTGAGACAGACACCCCATACACACAGGTGAGACAGACACCACAAACACACAGTTAAGACAGACACCACAAACACACAAGTAAGACAGACACCCCATACACACAGGTGAGACAGACACCCCATACACACAGGTGAGACACAGACACCACAAACACACAGTTAAGACAGACACCACAAACACACAAGTAAGACAGACACCCCATACACACAAGTAAGACAGACACCCCATACACACAGGTGAGACAGACACCCCACACACACAGATGAGACAGACACCAAACACACAGAGGTGAGACAGACACCCCATACACACAGGTGAGACACAGACACCACAAACACACAGTTAAGACAGACACCACAAACACACAAGTAAGACAGACACCCCATACACACAAGTAACACAGACACCCCATACACACAGGTGAGACAGACACCCCATACACACAGGTGAGACAGACACCCCATACACACAGGTGAGACAGACACCCCACACACACAGGTGAGACAGACACCCCATACACACAGGTGAGACAGACATCCCATACACACAGGTGAGACAGACACCCCATACACACAGGTAGGACAGACACCCCACACACAGGTGAGACAGACACCCCATACACACAGGTGAGACAGACACCCCATACTCACAGGTGAGACAGACACCCCATACACACAGGTAAGACAGACACCCCACACACACAGGTGAGACACAGACACCCCCCATACACAGGTAAGACAGATACCCCATACACACAGGTGAGACAGACACCCCATACACACAGGTGAGACAGACACCCCATACACACAGGTGAGACAGACACCACAAACACACAAGTAAGACAGACACCACAAACACACAGTTAAGACAGACACCACAAACACACAGGTTAGACAGACACCACAAACACACAGGTTAGACAGACACCCCATACACACAGTTAAGACAGACACCACAAACACACAGGTTAGACGGACACCCCATACACACAGGTTAGATGGACACCCCATACACACAGGTGAGACAGACACCCCATACACACAGGTGAGACAGACACCCCATACACACAGGTGAGACAGACACCACAAACACACAGTTAAGACGGACACCACAAACACACAGGTGAGACAGACACCCCATACACACAGGTGAGACAGACACCCCATACACACAGGTGAGACAAACACCCAATACACACAAGTAAGACAGACACCCCATACACACAGGTGAGACAGACACCCCATACACACAGGTAAGACAGACACCCCCCACACACAGGTGAGACAGACACCCCATACACACAGGTGAGACAGACACCCCATACACACAGGTGAGACAGACACCCCATACACACAGGTGAGACAGACACCACATACACACAGGTGAGACAGACACCCCATACACACAGGTAAGACAGACACCCCATACACACAGGTGAGACAGACACTCCATACACACAGGTGAGACAGACACCCCATACACACAGGTGAGACACAGACTCCCCATACACACAGGTGAGACAGACACCATACACACAGGTGTGACAAACACGCCACACACAGGTGAGACGGACACACCATACACACAGGTGAGACAGACACCCCATACACACAGGTTAGACGGACACCCATACACACAGGTGAGACAGTCACGCCACACACAGGTTAGACGGACACACCACACACACAGGTGAGACAGGCACCCCACACACACAGGTTAGACGGACACACCATACACACAGGTGAGACAGACACCCCATACACACAGGTGAGACGGACACACCACACACACAGGTGAGACAGGCACCCCACACACACAGGTTAGACGGACACACCATACACACAGGTGAGACAGACACCCCATACACACAGGTTAGACGGACACCCATACACACAGGTGAGACAAACACGCCACACACAGGTTAGACGGACACCCATACACACAGGTGAGACAGACACCCCATACACACAGGTGAGACAGACACCCCATACACACAGGTGAGACAGGCACCCCATACACACAGGTTAGACGGACACCCATACACACAGGTGAGACAAACACGCCACACACAGGTTAGACGGACACACCATACACACAGGTGAGACAGACACCCCATACACACAGGTGAGACGGACACACCACACACACAGGTGAGACAGGCACCCCACACACACAGGTTAGACGGACACACCATACACACAGGTGAGACAGACACCCCATACACACAGGTTAGACGGACACCCATACACACAGGTGAGACAAACACGCCACACACAGGTTAGACGGACACCCATACACACAGGTGAGACAGACACCCCATACACACAGGTGAGACAGACACCCATACACACAGGTGAGACAAACACGCCACACACAGGTTAGACGGACACACCATACACACAGGTGAGACAGACACCCCATACACACAGGTTAGACGGACACCCATACACACAGGTGAGACAGACACACCATACACACAGGTTAGACGGACACACCATACACACAGGTGAGACAGACACCCCATACACACAGGTTAGACGGACACACCATACACACAGGTGAGACAGACACACCATACACACAGGTTAGACGGACACCCATACACACAGGTGAGACAGACACACCATACACACAGGTTAGACGGACACCCATACACACAGGTGAGACAAACACGCCACACACAGGTTAGACGGACACCCATACACACAGGTGAGACAGACACACCATACACACAGGTTAGACGGACACACCATACACACAGGTGAGACAGACACCCCATACACACAGGTTAGACGGACACACCATACACACAGGTGAGACAGACACACCATACACACAGGTTAGACGGACACCCATACACACAGGTGAGACAAACACGCCACACACAGGTTAGACGGACACACCATACACACAGGTGAGACAGACACCCCACACACACAGGTTAGACGGACACACCATACACACAGGTGAGACTTGCACCACACACACAGGTGAGCCAGGCACCACACACAAAGGTGAAACAGACAACATACACACAGGTGAGACAGACACACCATACACACAGGTTAGACGGACACCCATACACACAGGTGAGACAAACACGCCACACACAGGTTAGACGGACACACCATACACACAGGTGAGACAGACACCCCACACACACAGGTTAGACGGACACACCATACACACAGGTGAGACTTGCACCACACACACAGGTGAGCCAGGCACCACACACAAAGGTGAAACAGACAACATACACACAGGTGAGACAGGCACCACACATAGGTGAGACAGACAATATACACACGGGTTAGAAAAGCACCACATACACAGGTAAGACAGACAACAGATACAGGTGAGACAGACAACATACACACAGGTGAGACAGGCACCACACACAGGTGAGACAGACACCATGCACCAAGTGAGACAGACACCCCATACACACAGGTGAGACAGGCACCCCATACACACAGGTGAGACAGGCACCCCATACACACAGCTGGGACAAACACTATACACAGGTGAGACAGACACCCCAAACACAAAGGTGAGACAGACATCCCATACACACAGCTGGGACAGACACCATACACACAGGTGAGACACACACTATACACACAGGTGAGACAGCCACGATACCCACAGTTGAGACTTCATACACACCGTTGAGACAGATACTCTATACACAGGGGTGAGACAATGGGCACAGGTACCGACAATGACGACACATAACAAACGTCTTATTCTTTGTTCAGGGATGCAACATAGCGTGATCGCCGGTGACACAGGTGAGACAGACACCCCACACACACAGGTGAGACAGACACCCCATACACACAGGTGAGACAGACATCCCATACACACAGGTGAGACAGACACCCCATACACACAGGTAGGACAGACACCCCACACACAGGTTAGACGGACACCCATACACACAGGTGAGACAAACACGCCACACACAGGTTAGACGGACACCCATACACACAGGTGAGACAGACACACCATACACACAGGTTAGACGGACACACCATACACACAGGTGAGACAGACACCCCATACACACAGGTTAGACGGACACACCATACACACAGGTGAGACAGACACACCATACACACAGGTTAGACGGACACCCATACACACAGGTGAGACAAACACGCCACACACAGGTTAGACGGACACACCATACACACAGGTAGGACAGACAACATACACACAGGTGAGACAGACACACCATACACACAGGTTAGACGGACACCCATACACACAGGTGAGACAAACACGCCACACACAGGTTAGACGGACACACCATACACACAGGTGAGACAGACACCCCACACACACAGGTTAGACGGACACACCATACACACAGGTGAGACTTGCACCACACACACAGGTGAGCCAGGCACCACACACAAAGGTGAAACAGACAACATACACACAGGTGAGACAGGCACCACACATAGGTGAGACAGACAATATACACACGGGTTAGAAAAGCACCACATACACAGGTAAGACAGACAACAGATACAGGTGAGACAGACAACATACACACAGGTGAGACAGGCACCACACACAGGTGAGACAGACACCATGCACCAAGTGAGACAGACACCCCATACACACAGGTGAGACAGGCACCCCATACACACAGGTGAGACAGGCACCCCATACACACAGCTGGGACAAACACTATACACAGGTGAGACAGACACCCCAAACACAAAGGTGAGACAGACATCCCATACACACAGCTGGGACAGACACCATACACACAGGTGAGACACACACTATACACACAGGTGAGACAGCCACGATACCCACAGTTGAGACTTCATACACACCGTTGAGACAGATACTCTATACACAGGGGTGAGACAATGGGCACAGGTACCGACAATGACGACACATAACAAACGTCTTATTCTTTGTTCAGGGATGCAACATAGCGTGATCGCCGGTGACGAGCCATACGGACTTCCCCTGACTGAGACCATCATGCCTCAGTACTTCAAACACCTGGGCTACAAGAGCCACATTGTGGGCAAGGTAGGGACCGTCTTAAAACTACATGAACGCTGCAGTACCTAAGACTAAAAATTTCCAAAATCAAAGTGATCTTGTCTTTCATGTTTGTCCCTTAAAAGAACGCATCGGGGTAAAATAACAAGATAACAGGCTCCTGCGTAAATGGTTATTCTTCAGAAGGCTGCATGGGCACTCGTTCATAAACAGTTCTTGAATTTCAGTGGCATCTCGGGTTCTTCGCCAAAGAGTATACGCCCACGTATCGTGGGTTCGACTCCCATTTCGGCTACTGGCTCGGCTGCGAGGACTACTTTGATCATACGTCGGAGGCGTGGCTGGTAGGTGTAGTGTTGAGAAGGGTGGCGTGATAGCCTCGGTTGATACGTGACCGTACGTAGTGACGGTGATCGTAGCCGTACGCATGGAAGTATGACATCTTCCCGAGACAAGGGCGTTAACTGACTATAAAAGTCAAGTTTCCACTGGACTTTTATAGTCAGTTAACGCCCTTGCCTCGATTGGTTGATGCGTGACCGTAGGTGAAAGTAGAACACTTATAGAAAGGTAGGGTTTGGGACATGGTTTGTCGAAGACATTGGACAAATATTGTGGTTTGGGGACATGATTGTTACAGATGAGGAAAGGAAGATGAGGATGTCGCCCGCGAGTCATGGTCATAAGCGAGACGGTGTGAATAAGGAGGAGGTTTTAGGAGTGAGTGAGTTGGGTTTAACGCCGCTTTTAACAGTATTCCAGTTATATCACAGCGTATCAGCTAAATGTGGGAGGAAAGTCCGAAGTGATGCAGGTGTCAGACGTTTACCACTTCGGTGAAACCCACGAGCACGGGTATGGTGCTGACAAACCTAGAAACATAATCGGGGCGAACCGGGTTTCGAACCGAGGTTTTAGGAAGGGAAAAATCGAATGGTGTGTTTCAGGGCACGACTGTATTTTAAGGTACAACTGATTAGGAATGAAAGTATGTGTTTGTCGATGGACTACAATGTGCTGGGGAGTATGAGCGTTACATGAGAACGGGTGGACAGTGTATCCAGATGGGTGGTGTCTACAGTAGGTGGAGGCTGGGGATTTAGTGTTTGACGTCAATCAGCTCTCGCGACTTGAAAGGTGATATTGTTAAAATGAAAGTTGATATGGTTACACTGACACCAAATCTTACGAACGCCCTTGAAGATAACACTATCTATCACACCGTAATAGGTACCTTCAAAATGTGACATCCGGGATAGAATAGGTCTTCAGCAACCCATGCTTGCCATAAAAGGCGACTATGCTTGTCGTAAGAGGCGACTAACGGGATCGGGTGGTCAGGCTCGCTGACTTGGTTGATGCATGTCATCGTATCCCGATTGCGTGGATCGATGCTCATGATGTCAGTCCCTGGGTTGTCTGGTCCAGACTCGATTATTTACAGACCGCCATCATATAGCTGGAATATTGCTGAGTGCAGCATTAAACAACAAACAAACAAGCAACTAAGCTTCAAAATGTCAAATATGTCTAGATATACAGTAGTGGTACGTATTGTATTGATGAGAATGTCACATTATTCAAGAAACCAAAAGTCATTTTTGCAAGGTTAAAGACTGATGTATTGAGGGAGAAATATCTGGAAGATTTACATCTGAATAAACTTAATGAAACATGCCTCTGTCACTATGACCAAAGAAACGGTGACCTTGACCTCGACTTCCTGTGTTGCCAGAGTCAGTGGGGGCTGGACTTCCGGCGGAACATGGACCTTCTGGACAACTACACTGGTCAGTACTCCACGGAGCTGTTCACGCAGGAGGCCGTCAACATCATCAACACCCACGACCAAAAAGAGGTAGGACGCAAACAATGAGTTTTTTTAAGGATGAATGAGTGTTGATGTCAAATAAATATACATATTTCCCAATTTACGCTTGTTGATTATGAAATATATTTTGCATTACTTGAGGTTTGCAAGGTCTGAATATGTGTCATCGCATGTATGGCTAGGTTTCATCAAGGTATCGTAGGATCGATCGGGTAGCCTAGTGGTTAAAGCGTTCGTCCGTCACGCCCACGACCCGGGTTCGATTTTCCCCATTGGTACAATGTGTGAAGCTCATTTCTGGTGTCCCCGTCGTGATATTGCTGAAATATTGCTAAAAGCGGCGTAACACCATACTCACTCACTCCAGGGATCGTAATGCTCTACTTGAATACATCACTGCCATGATAGAAGCCATGCGGTCGGATGCGCTCTACCGCGCGATGTATCCCATCAGGCGCTGTATCACATGCGTACAGCATCAAATCACGCTGCAAGAAACCTTGCAGCCAAGTACGCTATTGGTATGTAAAAGATGCTGTATTTGGCCATACGACCTTCTCGTTATTTTCTTGCGTCTTAGTATTTTGAGACAGCAGATTTAACGCATGCTGAGACTGTTTATTGTTTGTTGAGTGGCACAGTTGTTAATGCGTTCGCTTGACAGACACGAGACCCAAGTTCGGTGTATCTCTTACCCATCATGTGAATTCCGTGTACTGGGTACAAACATTGATTAAACCTCGAGCGATGTAAACCACTTCTCACTTTACTCTGGTTGCTGTTGTAACTGTCTAACGACGCTTGTCCCCCTCCCCAGCCCCTTCTGTTGTACCTCCCGTACCAGGCGGTTCACAGCGCCAACTTGGACGCCTTCCCCCTACAGGCGCCGGAGAAGTACACCAAGCGCTTCCCCAACATCCAGAACATCAACAGGAAGCTCTACGCAGGTCAGTGCCCCAAGGGTTATTGGTCATGGACGTTTGGAGAGCATATGAATACCAAATGGAAAATGTAGACAGACAAGGAAACAAATGGCAAATAAGCCCTTACCTCTGTTGTGTAGGATTTGGTTCGGTTGTTAATATACAAAAAAGTCATTCGATAGATGAAAAAAGCTAAAATCACTTATCAACTAAATTGTTTGTTGTTTAACGCCGCATTCAGCAATAATACAGCTATATGAAGGCTGTATGTAAATGAGGCGGTCGGGTAGGCTAGTGGTTAAAGCGTTCGCTCGTCACGCCGAAAACCCGGGTTCGATTCCCGACATGGGTACAATGTGTGAAGCCCATTTCTAGTGTCCCCTGCCGTGATATTGCTGGAATATTGCTAAAAGCGGCGTAAAATCAAACTCACTCACTCATGGTATGTAAATAATCAAGTCGGGACCAGGCACTCCAGGGATTGACATCATGAGAGCGATCTACACAACTGGCTCTCTGCCTGACCACCCGATCCCGTTAGTCGCCTTCTTACGACAAGTATGGCTTGCTGATGATCAATTCTAACCAGGATCTTAACTTAAAAGAACATATATTTGAACCGGTACGGGTCTGGAGGTCAAAGCCCAATTACGCACCAGTAGCACATCTGTCTCAGGCTAGGGACCAACTAGGGTAGTGTAAAATGCATTGTGTTGTCCGTTGCTCTTCCAGGTATGCTGTCCGCCCTGGACGACGGTGTGGGAGAAGTGGTGAAAGCGCTGACCCAGGCCGGACTCATGAACAACACCATCATAGCCTTCACCACTGACAACGGGGGGCCCTCCAATGGGTTTGATGGCAACGCTGCTAGCAACTACCCACTGAGGTAACTTTACCAGAGAGAAGAATACACAACAACCCGAAATGATGAACCATGAGGACTGTGTAGTGTCACTTCAAGTCATCCAGCCTGAAATTTCAACTTCAAATTTCCGATTCAAATCGGGTAATTTCTAACCTGAACAGGCCGGGCTCAAACGAAAGAATCTAGTTTTCCGGTTCTTTTAGTTAAAACAAGACCAAAACCTGTTTCCTGGTGCTCACTGTTAATGGTCCTAATACCTAGCAACACGTAGAGGTAGGGAGACGGGTGACCCAGTCGTCTAAGCCGCCGCAATTCGCTGTGCAGAGTTGCGTCCATTGTGCACGCCAGAAACCTATGATTGTGGGTTCGAATCCTTGTTTGCCCCGATTATGCTGATATAACTGACATATTGTTCAACTCACTCACTCGTAGAGTGTAATCAAGGTCAACGCGACATAACTGATCCGATCCCGTTTCACACTGAAACATATATTTGTGGATGAAGATGTTTTTTATCTTTCAGGGGGGTCAAGGCCACGCTGTGGGAGGGTGGCGTTCGCGGGGTGGGGTTCCTCAACAGCCCCCTCCTCCAGAAATCCGGGTACGTGTCGCAGCAGATGATGCATGTGACGGACTGGCTGCCCACCTTGTTCAGCGCGGCAGGCGGAGACCCCAAGATGCTGAAAACACAAGATGGGTTCGATTCCTGGAACATGTTGTCCACCAACGGCACGCCTGTCCGGACGGAGATGCTGCACAACATTGACCCCATCAACAAGTTCGGCGGTCTGAGAGTTGGGGAGTACAAACTCCTGACCGGTAACGTTGGGTTTGGCGATGGCTGGAATGGGTGGTACCCGCCCTGGCAGCTAGAGGAGGATACAGATCGTCTTCACGGCAGCAAATATGACAAAATGTCAGACAACTCTTGGACAAAGTATGCCGAATCACGCCATATCCCTTCCAATGATGTGCAGATGAAAACGGCGGGAAATTATCCGACAAGCAGACGACTTTCTGGCACTCCCGTCCCCATCACCTGTGGGCCTAAACCACAGAACGCCAGCACGAACTGTGAGCCGATGAAGGCGCCTTGTCTGTACCACATCCCCTCCGACCCCTGTGAGTACCACAACATCGCCGACCAACACCAGGACATCGTCATCCAGCTCCTCACAAGACTCGAGCAGTATACGTACACCATGATTCCCCCGGGGAACAAACCACTCGATGAGAGGGGCAATCCCACTCTCCATGGCAACGCCTGGGTACCCTGGGTGGAACTGTAGACTTTGATCATTATTTTTTTTAGGATTTTGTTAGCTCTTTATTTTATACCCCCACCTCGAGTCTTCTACCGTCTGTAGATTTTCTTGACCACTAGTTTTTGGGTTTAAGCTGGATCCCCGGAGTCCTCGTCATATGTTGAGATTCACTATGTTTGCAGTCAGCCAGACATGACATTTGCTGTTGTTTGTCATTTAAGTTGTGACTTTTTAATAGAGCACATATTGGTGTAAATTGCTGTACTTACTGAAAGTGTTTGTGTGTGTGTGCGTGCATGCGTGCGTGCGTGCGTGCGTGCGTGCGTGTGTGTTCTTTGACCCGGCACCCTGCAATATTCAAGCTTATGTCGGTGGTCTGTGAATAATCGCGCCTGGACCAGCCAGACTACGCTCTTTACATATTGTGCAATATATGAAATATACCTCATCTGTGGTATATGTAGATAATGTATAATAACATTACGGCTAGTATTAGTGAAATAACCGTACCATGGATGTTTGTTATTATGTAGTGCCAAATTGTAAATAAAATGCTGTTATTTCCGGTTGGTACTGAGACTTACGCTGCTGTGAAACTACGTTTATGTCATATGTAAGCGTCGCTCTACTCTGGTCACAGCCCAAACGTTTGGAACATGGGCGGGTATTATTCTCTCTCCTGGCAGTTTGCCACAAAAGACGAAGGTGGATCTACAGGCTGATTCTGTGATGACATGAGGCTATGACAATCAAGGCTGGACATGTCGTTCAGTAATCGGTCAACATGTTATTTCACAAGGAACCACGAGGTTTTTCATAGATATAGTTTATTATTTTCTTAATAATTTTGTACTTGTGCCATTTGTACTGCGGGATAAATAAAGTTATTTTTCTTGGTATTTCTTTGTTCGTCATTGATGTGAAGTATAAAGACCACATCCCATTGTTCTTCTGTAGCTCCATTTAATGTGTCCATCCCAGACTTGACACCTGACAATAAGTGACGTGAGCTGGCAATAAACACAGTTTACCCAAAGATAATGAATTACTAACGTGATCTTGTCATTTATAGCAGACGAGTGCGAAAATGTCCAGCAACGTGATGTTGGCCAGTATATACCGTATTCGACGTAATAAGCGCCCAGGGCGCTCTCAAAATTAGCAAAAGGGGGCTCTTATTAGAATTTTAGTTTTGGTTTAGAAAATAAACAGAGTTGAAAGATCGGTAATATTGTTGTTTATGCTGACAGCCTAATATGATACAAAAGAAAAGTCTGTGCGTATTTTACACGACATATATATTTTCCAGATATTTAAATGCCCATAATTAATGGTGCATATAACACACGAAGGCGTATTATGCACGAATAAATAAGTCTTGTGTACACTGATCAATCGGAAGGGGTGCTAATTGGGATTGTTCAACAGCCAATATATTAGCAAATATCGCCGTGGGTGCTTACTAGAGCAGGGCGCTTATTACGTCGAATACGGTAATCCAGTCTGAACTGGACACCATTGAAACGAGCAAGATTTACACCATCACTGAAATTTGTCCCGCAATCAGCCCGGCAGCCCGATCCCAGTTTTAGTGGGTTCCTAAAAACACGAAGGGGCCGTGAAGATCTGGGGTAGAAGAGATTTTCAACAACTCATTCTTGTAATATAAGACGACTATGCGTGTCGTAAGAGGCGACTAACGGGATCGGGTGGTCAGGCTCGCTGACTTGGTTGATGCATGTCATCGTATCCCAATTGCGTGGATCGATGCTCATGATGTCAGTCACTGGGTTGTCTTGTTCAGATTCGATTATTCACACACCGCCGTCATATAGCTGCAATATTGCTGAGTGCAGGGTCCTAGGCCTGAGTTCCACACAAACAAATCTGCTTGCTGTCATGGAGCAAGACATCCAACAATGGTTCAGGCTCATCCCTTCAGACAGTTTTGAAACAAAGTTCTGTGAAGGATGAGTGAAAACAGTCAAGGTGACCTAAAATATGACCAGCTGTTATTGTCACCCAAGACTTTCTGTGAGAGTAATCCAACAGTTAAATCTCATGGCGAGTGTATATGATTACATATCCACCTGGTACACAAGGGAGTGATGAATGGTACAATCAATACCTTCAACATGTTGTATACAGATGACATAACATCAACATTCTCAAATATTGATTGTTTAATGGGGATTTAGGTAGTCATGTGCCATCAAAGCTGTGTGCAATATTTCTGCCCTTACAGAACAGAATGATCAAAAACAATGAGCTGGAACTCCATTTGTCCCTGATTGTCACTGATTAGCCAGCATTATTAAACTAAATGCCTATGGAAGGCAGAATGGAAAAACCTTTACTTGTCATCAATAGAAATTGTTCTCAATTTTTTTCTGAAATTCAGAGGTAAACTTTAAAAAATTACAAAGTAGACAAATTTTATGGGTAACAACCTCTTTATTTTACAGTATTGCGACGCCCTTGCTTGACAACGGTATAAGGATTTATACCTTAAACGTCACCACTACAGTAGAATAAAGAAGTTGTTATGCATAAATTGTGACTACTTTGTCACGTGTCAACTTCTAAGAAATGCTTATCAAACAATTTGAAACATTTTGCTGTAGACTTTATGACCAACAATGGTTTCAGAGAACGCCTCTAAAAATCCCTGAACATAATACATATAATACGTAATACATTATAACAGAGACATGTAAACATCAAGTCATTACCATGAGGCCGTAACTAGAAATCCCACTGCAGACTTTCAATAAACTATTTCTGCATGCTGTATTTCACACTGTTTTTGATAAACGTTACTAGGCAATTATATACCTCTTCTGCACAGCTATTTTTTGTAAAAATATCTGTAACATACACATGAAAATATGGACTGGCATGTTATTTTGGTCTTTGAAGGGGGCACTTACCATGATTACTCAGAGACTGGTCTGAAGTTGGTAGAGCAGGGTACTTATATTACCAGTAATACGGTAACTGGTACGTAGTGCATTTAAGCAACAGACACCATTCTCAAATATCTTCTGTTGTTTCAATCTCAGTTCTCCCATATATCATCAGCTAAAATTATTCCCATTGAAATTTCAATATGACTGCCACAGGAAACACTTAAAACCAATATGCAGCCAATTTTTACACTGTCTGATACTGGTGTAGACAAGATTCTTGTCCTAAAAGGCTCTGTGCACAAACATCCTGATCAGCAGTAAGTTGGTAGGTTTAAAGCATTCAACAATAGAACCATGTCCGATAATTTACATAGGTTGAAGGAACAAAATAGATTTGTTTTGATTTGATTTGTGCAGCTGGGATGAAAACAGACATAAACCAAATGAATGTGACAGGAGATCTGGAGAACTGGCTTCACAGACAAGGCCAGTATACAAGGTAAACAAATACTGTACAATAAGACCGATACTGTCATGTATAATAAAACTGATAAACAGATATTGTCATATGTAATAAGACTGATATTGTCATGTATCATAAGACTGATACTGTCATGTACAATAAGACTTATATTGCCATGTATGATTAGACTGATATTGTCATGTACAATAAGACTGATATTGTCATGTATAATAAGACCGATACTGTCATGTATAATAAGACTGATATTGTCATATGTAATAGGACTGATATTGTCATATGTAATAGGACTGATATTGTCATGTATAAGACTAATTTTTCATGAATGATGGATGAAAAAACCCAAAAAAAACCACACAATTGACAGTATTTTTAAAAACAGTGTGTATTCTTGCCACCTGGACAACACATTCTTCATACCAAAAATAAAAACGCATGCTATCACCAATGTTTTAAAACCAGGCTTCATTTCATCTTTCAGACTGATGTATTACAAGTTAACCCACGGGTCCCACACCCCTCCGTGATGCGAGGGGTTGCCACGGTCGTCCGAGGGCTTGTTGACAGGGGGAACCATGGTGTAGCTGTACTGCTCCAGACGGGTAAGCAGCTGGATCACAATGTCCTTCCTCTCGTCCGCGATGTTGTTGAACTCACACGGGTCGGACGGTATGTGAAACAAACACGGCGACTTCGTGGGGTCACAGTTTGTGCTGGCATTGGCAGGTTTAGGACCACAGTTAACTGTGACTGGAGAAAACTGGCTACGACGTGATTTACCGCTGTTTTGTTTTGGCAGATAACCGTGACTTGAGGTGTATTCACGAGGGAATCCGCCTTTCGTGTAGTTATCAACATGGAAATACAGGTTGTCTGAAGTCAGCTGCCATGGTGGATACCACCCATCCCAGTTCATTCCAACGTCACCAGTTAACAGTTTGTAGTCACCAACTCTCAATCCGCCAAAACGAGATCTCGGGTCTATATTATGCAGCATTTCAGTCCTAACGGGCTTCCCATTGGTCGACAGCATTTCCCATGAGTCAAAGCCATCAGGGTGTTTCAGTTTGCGGGGATCGCCCCCGGCTGCTCGGTACAGTGTGGGGAGCCAGTCGGTGACGTGGAGCATCTGCTCCGAAACGTAGCCAGACTTCTGTAGCAGGGGGCTGTGGACAACGCCCACCCCTCGCACTCCTCCCTCCCAAAGTGTGGCTTTCACCCCTCTGCATGAAAACAGAAAATTTATCATGAAAAGTTTGTTTGTTTGATGTTTAATGCTGCATCAGCAGCACTCTAGTTATATGATGGTGGTCTGTAAATAATGGTGGACCAGGCAATCCAGATTTTCCTTGAGATCAGTATTTTTGTTTTCAATGTTAGGAGCTTAAAAGAATTTCAACATAAACAGATGATCAATTATATAATGTTTAAATAAATAACAATAACATCTGTATTCTTTGAACACATAATACAGTCTTCATATAAGAGACTTAACATTTAAAGTAAACCCCTCAATTACATGCATACATTGAATAAATACATACATATTATTAATCGTAGTGAGTTGAGGTTTTTTCCCCTACAATGCAAGGCATGTGTAAATTGTTTTTAGTAAAGAAGGGTCTTTATTATATTTGTAGAAAAGATCCCTCCTTCCCTGAACATTAAATGGATGCTCCCTAGAATACCTTACTTTTGTTAAGGATAAGATGAAGTAGTACCAGGAGTCTATTGTCTGGGGTTACCTGAGAGGGAAGTTGCTGGCTGCGTTAAAGTCGAAGCCATTTGACGGGCCACCATTATCCGTGGTGAACACAATGATGGAGTTGTTGAGGAGACCAGAGTCTCCGAGAGCCTTCATCACCTCCCCTACGCCATCGTCCAGTGCAGATATCATGCCTAGTGGGAATACAATCATTATAACTCAGGGAAAAGTATTGGATCTTTGGTGACACCATCTTGGGTGACAGGGTTATGGATATCCCCTGTGGTTCTTGCAAGATTACAATTGTAAATAAACAATCTTAGATTTCTGTGTAAACAATAGGTATTAGTCCTGACTAGCCAAATATATTTGCGAAGTTTTACAATTTTTTTTGAAAGGTTTGGAATCAGAAACAAACCCAATGCTCAGCTGAAGGAAAAGAAGAACCATGCCAGAGACCAGACACACACGTAGGGATTATGGGTGATAACACAATGCCAGTGACCAGACACACGTAGGGATTATGGGTGATAACACCATGCCAGAGACAAGACACACACGTAGGGATTATGGGTGATAACACCATGCCAGAGACAAGACACACACGTAGGGTTTATGGGTGATAACACCATGCCAGAGACAAGACACACGTAGGGATTATGTGTGATAACACCATGCCAGAGACCAGACACACACGTCAGGATTATGGGTGATAACACCATGCCAGAGACCAGACACACACGTAGGGATTATGGGTGATAACACCATGCCAGAGACAAGACACACACGTAGGGTTTATGGGTGATAACACCATGCCAGAGACAAGACACACGTAGGGATTATGGGTGATAACACCATGCCAGAGACCAGACACACACGTAGGGATTATGGGTGATAACACCATGCCAGAGACCAGACACACACGTCAGGATTATGGGTGATAACACAATGCCAGAGACCAGACACACACGTAGGGTTTATGGGTGATAACACCATGCCAGAGACCAGACACACACGTAGGGATTATGGGTGATAACACCATGCCAGAGACCAGACACACACGTAGGGTTTATGGGTGATAACACCATGCCAGAGACCAGACACACACGTCGGGATTATGGGTGAAAACACCATGCCAGAGACCAGACACACACGTAAGGTTTATGGGTGACAACACTATGTCAATGACCAGACAACACACCCATGTAGATAGGGCAGCCAAAGTTTGCTCAGAGTTCCCCTGATGCCGCTTCCAATGTCCAGAGATCTTCACACAGAGAAGTATCAGCTAATCAGAGGGAGGGTCCAGAAGGTCCAGACCCTGCCCCCCAAATTTGTAGTATGCTGTAGGCAGTAAAATTGACTGAGAGAGGATTTTGATATTTTGGACCCCTCCCTTTTCAAAATGCTGGCTCCACCCTTGGAGAAGTATTGTATTGGAGTAAAAGATCAGGGCCCACTTGCACAAAACTATCTTAGCGCTAAGACTATTGTAAGCCTATGCTTAAGTATGGGAGTTACGATCATCTTAGGGCTAAGATCGCTTTTGGCAAGTGGGCCCTGGTTTTAATGAGATTGTTTACAGGTGGCACATGAAGGGGTCTTCAAACAGTGCTTCAACATAACTTGTTCCCACAATAACCCTACACAGGTGTAGTCAAGGCCCGATGTCTCTCACCTGCAAGTAGCCTCCTCCTGATGTTCTCAATGTGAGGGAACCTATCCACGTACTTCTTGGGCGCCTGGAGTGTGAAGGCGTTAGGGTTGCCGCTGTGGACTGCTTGATAAGGCAGGTACAGTAGAAGGGGCTGCAAGGGTAGAAACACACAAGTGATAACTGGTGTACAATATACCTTAACTGGGTTATATACAGTCGAACCTTGCTTATCTGGACACTTGTGTTTTCTCCAATATTGTCTGGATAAATGAGTTTCCAGACATCTGAAACACTTGTAAACTGACCAGAATTACCCTATCCAAAATTCTCCAGGCATAAACTGGAGCGTGTAAATGAAGTGGAGAATGAGGGAGGGATGATTAGGACGAGTTAGAGATATGTTAGGAAGGGGATAGATGTTTATCTCAACATCCCGAGTCAAAACGCTATTAAACCTCTTTTTTGACAACTACAATTCAGTTCTTCTATGGGTGAGGCGTTACTCCAGTGTAAGTGGCGTAATTGTTAGTTCAGCACCATGACAACACCACAAGCCTACATTCAGATATATCATGTGTATAACATGTAACACTTTAATAAAATGTTCTTCTTCTTCTTCTTCTTATTATTATTATTATGGGATGTTGTTATTATTATAAGTAGTAGTATTAGTAGTAGTATTCTACCTAACTAACACAATGATCACATGACATCTGCCACTTTTGATGTTGGCTGTCGGGTATCGAATCGTAAAACAAACATCGTTGCTGTCTGATGAGAAGGACACAATAGTGTGTATTTTGTACCATTTGTAATTGAAACTCTCTATCCAGATCTGGACTTCTAGATATCAGCAATACATGTAGTACTTATTTCATTTCAAACAAATACTGTACGGTAGATGAGGTTTCCGGTTATCTTAGTCCGGACATACCTCAGCTGGGTTGTGGTTGTGGATGATGCTGACTGCCTCCTGTGTGAAGATCTCCGTGGAGTAGTTCCCATACTGGTCGTGCAGAGCCTCCATGTTCCGGCGGAAGTCCAGCCCCCATTGTTTCTGAGAAGACATACAATAATAATTGAAATGGGTTCCTCTACCCATCCCCCCATCCCACCTGACCCAATACTGCCCATGTGGCACATGACTTGGTCCTACACAACCCCATGCTGCCACCTAGAGACAATGTGACCCACCATGTTTGCCTCAGCCGTGTGGTCGAAGTAGTCCTCCGCACCAAGCCAGTAACCAAGATGGGACTCAAAGCCGCGGTACGTGGGGGTGTACTCCTTCGCAAAGAAGCCCAGGTGCCACTAGAAGTACAGGAGAAAACATTAACTACACAACAGGACGTAAATCCAGAGCGTGCATAAATTCATTAAACTATGATATCAACATGGACACAATATTCAAATACCAGTACAAATATTTACAAAAGAACAGACATTCATAACAGAAATAATTATTTTTTATTGATAAATTAATATTTGTCTAATGAGGTTTACAACATAATTCTCAAAGTTTACATTAAATAATATTGCAGATGCTTTACTAGGTATGGCCCTTAGTGACTATCCATGATAACTACATAAGGTCGCTACATGTCTGAAGATGCTTTACCAGGTATGGGCCTTCGTAACTATCCGTGATAACTACAGAAGGTCGCTACATGTCTTCAGATGCTTTACCAGGTATGTGGCTTAGTGACTATCCGTGATAACTACATAAGATCGCTACATGTCTGCAGATGCTTTACCAGGTATTGGCCTTAGTGACTATCATTGATAATTACATAAGGTTGTTACATGTCTTCAGATGCTTTACCAGGTATGGGCCTTAGTGACTATCCCTGATAACTACATAAGGTCGCTACATGTCTGCAGAATCTTTACCAGGTATGGGCCTTAGTGACTATCCCTGATAACTACATAAGGTCGCTACATGTCTGCAGATGCTTTACCAGGTATGGGCCTTAGTGTCTATCCGTGATAACCACATAAGGTCGCTACATATCTGCAGGTGCTTTACCAGGTATGGGCCTTAGTGACTATCCGTGATAACTACATAAGGTCGCTACATGTCTGGAGATGCTTTACCAGGCATGGGCCTTAGTGACTATCCGTGATAACTACATAAGATCGCTACATGTCTGCAGATGCTTTACCAGATATGGGCCTTAGTGACTATCCGTGATAACTACATAAGGTCGCTACATGTCTGCAGATGCTTTACCAGGTATTGGCCTTAGTGACTATCTGTGATTATTACATAAAGTCGCTACATGTCTTCAGATGCTTTACCAGGTATCGGCCTTAGTGACTATCCGTGATAACTACATAAGGTCGCTACATGTCTGCAGAATCTTTACCAGGTATGGGCCTTAGTGACTATCCCTGATAACTACATAAGGTCGCTACATGTCTTCAGATGCTTTACCAGGTATGGGCCTTAGTGACTATCCGTGATAACTACATAAGGTCGCTACATGTCTGCAGATGCTTTAACAGGTATTGGCCTTAGTGACTATCTGTGATAATTACATAAGGTCGCTACATGTCTTCAGATGCTTTACCAGGTATGGGCCTTAGTGACTATCCCTGATAACTACATAAGGTCGCTACATGTCTGCAGAATCTTTACCAGGTATGGGCCTTAGTGACTATCCGTGATAACTACATAAGGTCGCTACATGTCTGGAGATGCTTTACCAGGTATGGGCCTTAGTGACTATCCGTGATAACTACATAAGGTCGCTACATGTCTGCAGATACTTTACCAGGTATGGGCCTTAGTGACTATCTGTGATAACCACATAAGGTCGCTACATGTCTTCAGATGCTTTACCAGGTATGTGCCTTAGTGACTATCCGTGATAACTACATAAGATCACTACATGTCTGCAGATGCTTTACCAGGTATGGGCCTTAGTGACTATCAGTGATAACTACATAAGGTCGCTACATGTCTGCAGAATCTTTACCAGGTATGGGCCTTAGTGACTATCCCTGATAACTACATAAGGTCGCTACATGTCTGAAGATGCTTTACCAGGTATGGGCCTTAGTGTCTATCCGTGATAACCACATAAGGTCGCTACATATCTGCAGGTGCTTTACCAGGTATGGGCCTTAGTGACTATCAGTGATAACTACATAAGGTCGCTACATGTCTGCAGATGCTCTACCAGGTATGGGTCTTAGTGACTATCTGTGATAACCACATAAGGTCGCTACATGTCTGGAGATGCTTAACCAGGCATGGGCCTTAGTGACTATCCGTGATAACTACATAAGATCGCTACATGTCTGCAGATGCTTTACCAGATATGGGCCTTAGTGACTATCCGTGATAACTACATAAGGTCGCTACATGTCTGCAGATGCTTTACCAGGTATTGGCCTTAGTGACTATCTGTGATAATTACATAAGGTCGCTACATGTCTTCAGATGCTTTACCAGGTATGGGCCTTAGTGACTATCCGTGATAACTACATAAGGTCGCTACATGTCTGCAGAATCTTTACCAGGTATGGGCCTTAGTGACTATCCGTGATAACTACATAAGGTCGCTACATGTCTGGAGATGCTTTACCAGGTTTGGGCCTTAGTGACTATCCGTGATAACTACATAAGGTCGCTACATGTCTGCAGATGCTTTACCAGGTATCGGCCTTAGTGACTATCCGTGATAACTACATAAGGTCGCTACATGTCTGCAGAATCTTTACCAGGTATGGGCCTTTGTGACTATCCGTGATAACTACATAAGGTCGCTACATGTCTGGAGATGCTTTACCAGGTATGGGCCTTAGTGACTATCCGTGATAACTACATAAGGTCGCTACATGTCTGCAGATGCTTTAACAGGTATTGGCCTTAGTGACTATCTGTGATAATTACATAAGGTCGCTACATGTCTTCAGATGCTTTACCAGGTATTGGCCTTAGTGACTATCCGTGATAACTACATAAGGTCGCTACATGTCTGCAGATGCTTTACCAGGTATGGGCCTTAGTGACTATCTGTGATAACCACATAAGGTCGCTACATGTCTTCAGATGCTTTACCAGGTATGTGCCTTAGTGACTATCCGTGATAACTACATAAGATCGCTACATGTCTGCAGATGCTTTACCAGGTATGGGCCTTAGTGACTATCCGTGATAACTACATAAGGTCGCTACATGTCTTCAGATGCTTTACCAGGTATGGGCCTTAGTGACTATCCCTGATAACTACATAAGGTCGCTACATGTCTGCAGAATCTTTACCAGGTATGGGCCTTAGTGACTATCCGTGATAACTACATAAGGTCGCTACATGTCTTCAGATGCTTTACCAGGTATGGGCCTTAGTGTCTATCCGTGATAACCACATGAGGTCGCTACATATCTGCAGGTGCTTTACCAGGTATGGGCCTTAGTGACTATCCGTGATAACTACATAAGGTCGCTACATGTCTGGAGATGCTTAACCAGGCATGGGCCTTAGTGACTATCCGTGATAACTACATAAGATCGCTACATGTCTGCAGATGCTTTACCAGATATGGGCCTTAGTGACTATCCGTGATAACCACATAAGGTCGCTACATGTCTGCAGATGCTTTACCAGGTATTGGCCTTAGTGACTATCTGTGATAATTACATAAGGTCGCTACATGTCTTCAGATGCTTTACCAGGTATGGGCCTTAGTGACTATCCGTGATAACTACATAAGGTCGCTACATGTCTGCAGAATCTTTACCAGGTATGGGCCTTAGTGACTATCCGTGATAACTACATAAGGTCGCTACATGTCTGGAGATGCTTTACCAGGTATGGGACTTAGTGACTATCCCTGATAACTACATAAGGTCGCTACATGTCTGCAGATGCTTTACCAGGTATGGGCCTTAGTGACTATCTGTGATAACCACGTAAGGTCGCTACATGTCTGGAGAGCTTTACCAGGCATGGGCCTTAGTGACTATCCGTGATAACTACATAAGATCGCTACATGTCTGCAGATGCTTTACCAGGTATGGGCCTTAGTGACTATCTGTGATAACTACATAAGGTCGCTACATGTCTGGAGATGCTTTACCAGGTATTGGCCTTAGTGACTATCCGTGATAACCACATAAGGTAGCTTCATGTCTTCAGATGCTTTACCAGGTATGGGCCTTAGTGACTATCCGTGATAACTACATAAGGTCGCTACATGTCTGCAGAATCTTTACCAGGTATGGGCCTTAGTGACTATCCGTGATAACTACATAAGGTCGCTACATGTCTGGAGATGCTTTACCAGGTTTGGGCCTTAGTGACTATCCGTGATAACTACATAAGGTCGCTACATGTCTGCAGATGCTTTACCAGGTATCGGCCTTAGTGACTATCCGTGATAACTACATAAGGTCGCTACATGTCTGCAGAATCTTTACCAGGTATGGGCCTTTGTGACTATCCGTGATAACTACATAAGGTCGCTACATGTCTGGAGATGCTTTACCAGGTATGGGCCTTAGTGACTATCCGTGATAACTACATAAGGTCGCTACATGTCTGCAGATGCTTTAACAGGTATTGGCCTTAGTGACTATCTGTGATAATTACATAAGGTCGCTACATGTCTTCAGATGCTTTACCAGGTATTGGCCTTAGTGACTATCCGTGATAACTACATAAGGTCGCTACATGTCTGCAGATGCTTTACCAGGTATGGGCCTTAGTGACTATCTGTGATAACCACATAAGGTCGCTACATGTCTTCAGATGCTTTACCAGGTATGTGCCTTAGTGACTATCCGTGATAACTACATAAGATCGCTACATGTCTGCAGATGCTTTACCAGGTATGGGCCTTAGTGACTATCCGTGATAACTACATAAGGTCGCTACATGTCTTCAGATGCTTTACCAGGTATGGGCCTTAGTGACTATCCCTGATAACTACATAAGGTCGCTACATGTCTGCAGAATCTTTACCAGGTATGGGCCTTAGTGACTATCCGTGATAACTACATAAGGTCGCTACATGTCTTCAGATGCTTTACCAGGTATGGGCCTTAGTGTCTATCCGTGATAACCACATGAGGTCGCTACATATCTGCAGGTGCTTTACCAGGTATGGGCCTTAGTGACTATCCGTGATAACTACATAAGGTCGCTACATGTCTGGAGATGCTTAACCAGGCATGGGCCTTAGTGACTATCCGTGATAACTACATAAGATCGCTACATGTCTGCAGATGCTTTACCAGATATGGGCCTTAGTGACTATCCGTGATAACTACATAAGGTCGCTACATGTCTGCAGATGCTTTACCAGGTATTGGCCTTAGTGACTATCTGTGATAATTACATAAGGTCGCTACATGTCTTCAGATGCTTTACCAGGTATGGGCCTTAGTGACTATCCGTGATAACTACATAAGGTCGCTACATGTCTGCAGAATCTTTACCAGGTATGGGCCTTAGTGACTATCCGTGATAACTACATAAGGTCGCTACATGTCTGGAGATGCTTTACCAGGTATGGGACTTAGTGACTATCCCTGATAACTACATAAGGTCGCTACATGTCTGCAGATGCTTTACCAGGTATGGGCCTTAGTGACTATCTGTGATAACCACGTAAGGTCGCTACATGTCTGGAGAGCTTTACCAGGCATGGGCCTTAGTGACTATCCGTGATAACTACATAAGATCGCTACATGTCTGCAGATGCTTTACCAGGTATGGGCCTTAGTGACTATCTGTGATAACTACATAAGGTCGCTACATGTCTGGAGATGCTTTACCAGGTATTGGCCTTAGTGACTATCCGTGATAACCACATAAGGTAGCTTCATGTCTTCAGATGCTTTACCAGGTATGGGCCTTAGAGACTATCCGTGATAACTACATAAGATCGCTACATATCTGCAGAATCTTTACCAGGTATGGGCCTTAGTGACTATCCCTGATAACTACATAAGGTCGCTACATGTCTGCAGATGCTTTACCAGGTATGGGCCTTAGTGTCTATCCGTGATAACCACATAAGGTCGCTACATATCTGCAGGTGCTTTACCAGGTATGGGCCTTAGTGACTATCCGTGATAACTACATAAGGTCGCTACATGTCTGCAGATGCTCTACCAGGTATGGGCCTTAGTGACTATCCGTGATAATTACATAAGGTCGCTACATGTCTGGAGATGCTTTACCAGGCATGGGCCTTAGTGACTATCCGTGATAACTACATCAGATCGCTACATGTCTGCAGATGCTTTACCAGGTATGGGCCTTAGTGACTATCCATGATAACTACATAAGGTCGCTACATGTCTGCAGAGCTTTACCAGGTATGGGCCTTAGTGACTATCCATGATAACTACATAAGGTCGCTACATGTCTGCAGATGCTTTACCAGGTATGGGCCTTAGTGACTATCCATGATAACTACATAGAGACACAACGTGTGTGGCTGTACGACTACAGACAGGAACTCCAAGTACATGCCGATTGTGTGTGATCATTCTGACCTATCAGAGATGGAAACAATGATCTACAGAGTGAAGAGTCTGGTGAGGAACAGACACAACAAGAAACAGAATATTTTGTCACAAGTATGTTGTGCGACAGCACTCTTCCATCAGCACCTGTCATGTTAAAGCGTGGAGCGTGGAGGTGGTACTGAACTGTGCTCAGACGTACATTCTGGTGAGAGAAACATCTTGTTAAACTCCAAGTACAAAGTGTATTAATGAATGTCTACCTTGCCAACGATGTGTCGTCTGTATCCAAGCTCCTGAAAGTACTGAGGCATGATGGTCTCATTGAGGGGAAGTCCGTATGGTGAATCTCCGACTATCACGCCGTTTTGCATACCTGAAACATAGGACATATGCGTGGGGCTAATTGTCTCACTTAACCATGGTACATAGATGACTTAACTGCAGATGTCTCACCTCTGAATAAGGTCAGTCTCCGCTGTGTGTATGAGGCATCAGTCTCACCTGTGTGTGTGGGGTGTCTATATCACCTGTTTGTATGGGGTGTCTGTCTCACCTGTGTGTATAATGTCTGTATCACCTGTGTGTATTGGGTGTCTGTCTCACCTGTGTGTATAATGTCTGTCTCACCTGTGTGTATGGGGCGTCTGTCTCACCTGTGTGTATTTGGTGTCTGTCTCACCTGTGTGTGTTGTCTGTCTTACCTGTGTATGTGGTGCTTTTCTCACCTGTGTATGTTGTCTGTCTCACCTTTGTGTATGTTGTCTGTCTCACCTGTGTGTATGGGGTGTCTGTCTCACCTGTGTGTATAATGTCTGTATCACCTGTGTGTATGGGGCGTCTGTCTCACCTGTGTGTATAATGTCTGTATCACCTGTGTGTATGGGGTGTCTGTCTCACCTGTGTGTATAATGTCTGTATCACCTGTGTGTATGGGGTGTCTGTCTCACCTGTGTGTATGGGGTGTGTGTCTCACCTGTGTGTATAATGTCTGTATCACCTGTGTGTATGGGGTGTTTGTCTCAACTGTGTGTATGAGGTGTCTGTATCACTTGTGTGTATGGGGTGTCTGTCTCACCTGTGTGTATGGTGTCTGTCTCACCTGTGTGTTAGGGGTGTCTGTATCACCTGTGTGTATGGGGTGTCTGTCTCACCTGTGTGTATGGGGTGTCTGCCGGTCATGAGCGCGCTTCTAGTTGGTGTACATATTGGAGACACATAGTAGTTGTTGAGAATGATGCCGTTGTAGGCAAGGCTGTCGATGTTGGGGGTGGCTATCTGATCAGACCCATGGAAGCTGACATCGTTGTAACCCTGTAAACATCAATAACAGACTCTGTTACCCCGTCTCTAAAAAATTCGTACAAAATGAACATGATTATCTCTAGCGTCACACGCGTCACACGCGTCACACGCGTCAGTATTAATAGCAATTCAAAGACAGAATACTTTGAATGTTTGCTAGTATTGAGCTCTGGAGGGTGTTTTCTGGACAACTTTTCACCATATTTCACCTGGAGTTATTCCAGTAAAGCCAACGTAATACATTGTGCACCTCGGCATGCATGCATTTATCAAATACACGGTGGAACAAGCTGATTAAACTCGGAATGTTTTACAAATTGCAGCACCATCTGGCGTCCTTTATTGTCAACGTCCTTTCATGCCCACTGACGTTCTATATTGTCAACGTCCGTTTGTGTTCACTGACGTTCTTTCGTACGCATTGTTCTTTCTTTTCTTATGACGTCTTTTCGTAATATTACACTATTAATATTGCAGACTTTCGACCTTTATTTCTTCTTTGTATTTTTTAAACCGGCGTCTCATTGTTTTGTATTTTGACCTTTTTTTGTAACATTTAGGTCTTTATTCGTAATATTTCACCTTTATTGCGTATTTTTGTCCTTTTTTCAATTTTGTATTTTTTGACCGAATGGCCGGCAATACTAATGCATTGAATATGGTAAACTAAACATGCCAGAATTACCAGATCATCTGCTACAATGAGGATGATGTGTGGACGTGTCGCCGCCGTCGCCGCCGTGCACAGCGAGGCCATCAGCAGGAGGAAGGAGAGGAGGTGATCCATGGCGACAGCGTGTCACTGCTGTAACCTGCAACACATGGGGGAACGTCAACACATATCAGAACAGCAACGTCCGAGGCAGAAGAACAGCAACATCCATGTCCGAAGAACAGCAACATCCATGTCCGAAGAACAGCAACATCCATGTCCGAAGAACAGCAACATCCATGTCCGAAGAACAGCAACGTCCATGTCCAAAGAACAGCAACGTCCATGTCCGAAGAACAGCAACGTCCATGTCCGAAGAACAGCAACATCCATGTCCGAAGAACAGCAACATCCATGTCAGAAGAACAGCAACATCCGAGGCAGATGAACAGCAACGTCCATGTCCGAAGAACAGCAACGTCCATGTCCGAAGAACAGCAACATCCATGTCGGAAGAACAGCAACATCCGAGGCAGATGAACAGCAACGTCCATGTCCGAAGAACAGCAACATCCGAGGCAGATGAACATGACATAAAATATGACATAAAGTGAAACGAGTGATACATGTTGATCAAACACCACTTTAATTTGTTATTTGGTAACTCCAAATGTATCATTAGGTGCATCGGGAGTAGTGCACTTTACCGGGCGCACTTTTTCAGATCCAATTAGCGGTGTGGGTGCTCGAACACGCTTCGCCGGCTCAACGTTAATTAGCCGACGCTCTACCACTGGACCACAGGCGCTATCACATGTAATCAGTGCTCGTTTAACAGGTCATTAGAATCCCCATTGACATGCATGCGTAATTCAGTAAACAATGAATTGCGCATGCGTGTGACATCACTGCCCGCTCTCCCATTCATCTTTTCTTGAAACCACACCCGCAATTGTTTATGTCAACATGACCAACCAATGGGATTAACTGGATTAACGCTTGAAGAGGTAAGAATTTATGGCTAACCCTTGCCCAAAGCAAGCTGACCCTAATGACCGAAAAGGGGTTTTGTATCGTAAAGACGTGTAAGTTTCCCTAAGACCTAGAACGGGTGTTGGATCGTAAAGTTGTGTAAGTTTCCCTAAGACCTAGAACGGGTGTTTGATCGTAAAGATGTGTAAGTTTCCCTAAGACCGAGAACGGGTGTTTGATTGTAAAGATGTGTAAGTTTCCCTAAGACCGAAAACGGGTGTTTGATCGTGAAGCGAGAGTCACCAAAGCGTGAGGCACGGTAACGGTATAACGAGACAGCGGTGGCACTATAGCGCGGTAATTGAGCGGATGGTAGAGCTCGGGCTGCGCCCGGTAAACTGCATTGTTGCCGGTGCATCATATCTGTCGAGCAGTTTATGATTAACTCAGTTAACATCTAGAGCATGGCGCACAGCCCCCTATCTTTTATAGAGATGTATGTACAAAGCCCTGGAGTGATCAGACTCCAAGAAACATACTTGCTTTATTAGTCAATCACGTAGCAATAAACCTACCGACACCGTGTTGACGGCTGCATGAATCATTAACACCAGCTGGTGTTCTCTAGCACGTGCAGCGTCTGTCATTTGTTTACTAACATCAAGGGGCAGATAACTCTCAATTCATGTAACTTCAAACCAGTGGAAGTGGACATAAAATCGATTAGTTGAAGTTCAGTTTTCGGGTTCAAATTCATCGAAACTGTAACATGCGAAAAGCAAATGCATTTCAGATCTACCTTTTATGACACACTGATATAAAGTTTGAGTGCATTTTTTTCTTTTAAAGTAGGAAAATTAGATATTCACACACGACAAAGATATTGTATTATTTCCGCATGATAATATTAGCATGTGACACCTAATATACATATATTTAAATGCAGTTTTATCACGAGCTATGACATCATGAGCGCACATGGTGTTCATGAATAATAAGATTTTGTCATTTGTCGAATCCCGACATTACTTACCCTGTGTTGCACAGACCAGGAAGACGAACAATGGTGTTGTAAGCTCACGCGCTGGTGACTGTCTCTTGATAACAATCGACCCCTGCAGTAAACATATCGAGTCGATAACCAGCTGTATAACGAGGATCGCGTGACGACAAGTAGGCGATCACGGGACCGTTATGTTTCAGGGCTGTCACGCTCCTAGCCTATTGTTGCAAGGATGTAATGATGAACCTCATGCACATGTGTATTTGTGTTTGTAAGCAATGGGTTTAGAATATTGTTTTTATGTCATTATGCTTTTCTGTTTGTGTACTTCTTGTTAGTTGTTGTTAATTACCAGCTCTCTAAACAAATGGTATGGTTATAATTAAGAAATAAACGACTCGTGGTCGTAGTTTCTCGCATAATAAAACACTGCAGGGAGAATAAAGCATGGTGGGCACAACCCCGAGTGGTTTATTATCCCAACAGTGTTATATTGTATGATAAACAACGACCACGAGTCGTTTATTTTTTATGTGCTATTTCAGCATTAAGTACAGCCTCTTTAAGGATGTTAATAAAATGTACAAGCTTTAATAATATTTACCCGTTTTTGAATAATGATGACTCCCTGAATACAATTCGACCTCAGCTGTGTCGGACAAGTACATTTTATGAACGGGGGGATTAAGTTTGGTATTTCCCGCATATTCTCACAATTTTCACGTCGATTATCTGTACCTTTAATCCAAATACCGATCGTCATATCTCTTCCAATTTTGGATGCCATCGTTCGGGCATTGTGTTTATCTTCGTTGCCCAGCTACATCAATGGAGAACAACTCGTCCAATTTACGACTTCATCAAGTTGCGAGGGCATGTTCGAAACTCCAGAAATGACGTCATGATAGAACAATGTTTTATCGTGAAATAAACCACGTTTTGCTCTTTATTGTTCTTTGCGATATATCGTGCAGCTATCTTATATATGGTTAGATCAAAGACGTATATACAATATCTATATACGTCTTTGGTTAGATATACTAGTACTTTATATCCTACCCAGTATTGATGTATATGGCTTTGTATTCCACTCAGTATTGGTGTATAGGACATGCAGGTGGTTATATATGCTTTGTATTCCACTCAGTATTTGTGTTTAGGGCATGCATACAGGTGGTTATATATGCTTTGTATTCCACTCAGTATTGGTGTTTAGGGCATGCATACAGGTGGTTATATATGCTTTGTATTCCACTCAGTATTGGTGTTTAGGGCATGCATACAGGTGGTTAGACATACTTTATACCCTACCCAGTATTGATGTATAGGACATGCAGGTGGTTATATATGCTTTGTATTCCACTCAGTATTGGTGTTTAGGGCATGCATACAGGTGGTTATATATGCTTTGTATTCCATTCAGTATTGGTGTTTAGGGCATGCATACAGGTGGTTATATATGCTTTGTATTCCACTCAGTATTGGTGTTTAGGGCATGCATACAGGTGGTTATATATGCTTTGTATTCCACTCAGTATTGGTGTTTAGGGCATGCATACAGGTGGTTAGACATACTTTATACCCTACCCAGTATTGATGTATAGGACATGCAGATGGTTATATATGCTTTGTATTCCACTCAGTATTGGTGGCCATACAGTGTGTTTTGTGACCCGTGAAGATCCGGGGTAGAATAGATCTTCAGCAACCCTCGCTAGCTGTAAAAAAAGTGACTATGCTTGTCGTAAGTGGCGACTAACGGGATCGGGTGGTCAGGCTTGCTGACTTGGTTGATGCATGTCATTGTATCCCAATTGCGTAAATCGATGCTCATGGTGTCAATCACTGGATTGTCTGGTCTAGACTTGATTATTTACAGACCACCGTCATATAGCTGGAACATTGTTGATTGCGCTGTCGTTAAACAACAAACAAACAAACATCATTACTGTTTAGGAAATAAAGTATATCTAACCACATGCATGCATGCCCTAGACTCTGCACACCTGGCTAATGAAACGAATGCTAGGTTTCAACGAAACTCCTATTTACCTTGTTCACTTCTGTGAACAGCGAGTTTAGTTTGTAAAAGCCTCTACAGTGATCGTCTCCTTGATATCTTTGTCCATTCAATGACCTCCATGTAACCCGCGTCTTATAGAAGATAGCACTACTAGTATCGATATTGTCTACATTACCTAATACATGGCGACTGTTTCCCTCTCTCGCCACACAGATAAGTCAATACTTCAATCCTTCTCAGGTCAATCTTTGTTCAAAGAGCTTATTGTATCAGTGATCTTACATATGTTACATCTTGGCCAATTTCAACTGTTCTTAACCCATTCAGCGATCACACTGAACATACTAATAGAAAACCCACAATATTGTTTAACTTATGTATACCATTAAACCAACACGTACAGTGTATATCACGGTGCTCTATTATCCATGTCATCATTGCCTAAGAAATGGCTATCGGAAATAAATCTTGTTTTTTAAACATTCCACCTGCCCTTGTACTAAGCGATCTTAGCACTAAGGTGATATTAACTCCCATACCTTAACATAGACTTACGACAGTCGTAGCGCTAAAGTTTCTCTGAAGAACGACAGCCAGATTCTTTTATGCAGAATAAGTGTGGAGTAAATTCTAATGTAGATAACGACTAGATTTAGAAAGATATGAGTCTAAGGTCATGCCAGAGTGTAGCGTTAAGTAATTCCTGACCGGCCGCGTCTAGATCGCAGGAGCCTTGTGCACTACACCATACAGTACACCGTACACCACACGTACACTATGATGTGGTTTGAGATGCTGCCCCTGTGTCTGCTGACGGCCATTCAGCGTGTAGCACTACAGTCAACCCGTCCTCATATCATCTTCATCGTCGCTGATGACATGGTAAGTGGAAAGTGTGGGCTTTAAAACGGGTCCAGGAACACCCAAGGAAGACCACAAGGAATTATGAATCGAACTCGGGTCTGCGGCGTGACGCTTTACCTACTAGGCTACCGTGTCTGTTGAACCGAGTGTGTAGTGTGTTGTCTGCCTGGTAGCGAGTTTATCATCAGCCTGTTGATTTGGGATAACCTGTACTTTATCTACAATATTTATGATTCATTATGAATAGGGACTAGGCCATCGGATATGACATCTAGGTCAGCTCTCATGGTTTAACGACATGACGTTATCACAAGACATGCTTGTTGTAATCTTGAGTAAACTTAATGAGAATACGGCGTTAGAAGTTGGCACTAGTCCTGTAGGCCTTGCCAAACTGCCCAATAGTTAGGTATCATAAGGACTAGTAGAATTCGCCATTATGAAAGGTTTTGCTATAGTTTATCATAATAAGGACTAGCGGACTAAAACAGTTTTTCAATCTCTGGAGTGAGTGAGTGAGTGAGTTGGGTTTAACGCCACTTTTAACAGTATTCCAGTTTTATCAGCTTAATGTGGGCGGAAAGCCCAAAGTGATGCAGGTCTCAGACGTTTACCACTTCGGTGAAACCCACGAGCACGGGTGCTGACAAACCTAGAAACATAATTGGGGCGAACCGGGACTGTACCCGATGTCGTGTAACGTGATGTGGCCTGAGTGGGTGTGACTGTAGCCAATGACTTGAATCGTTGCTCACGCTGTCAACCACATGTTGTTCTGGTTGTTGCTTCTAGGGATGGCATGACGCCAGCTTCCATGGCTCAGACATCAAAACTCCGTTCATTGACTCCCTGGCGTACAAGGGCATCATCCTGAACAACTATTATGTGTCCCCCATCTGCAGCCCAACCCGCACAGCCATACTTACCGGGAGACACCCCATACATACAGGTGAGGGGGTCAGTATTTACCATACATACAGGTGAGGGGGTCAGTACTTACCGAGAGACACCCCATACATACAGGTGAGGGGGTCAGAACTTACCGAGAGACACCCCATACATACAGGTGAGGGGGTCAGTACTTACCGAGAGACACCCCATACATACAGGTGAGGGGGTCAGTACTTACCGAGAGACACCCCATACATACAGGTGAGGGGGTCAGTACTTACCGAGAGACACCCCATACATACAGGTGAGGGGGTCAGAACTTACCGAGAGACACCCCATACATACAGGTGAGGGGGTCAGTACTTACCGAGAGACACCCCATACATACAGGTGAGGGGGTCAGTACTTACCGGGAGGCGCCCTATACATACAGGTGAGGGGGTCAGAACTTACCGAGAGACACCCCATACATACAGGTGAGGGGGTCAGTACTTACCGGGAGGCGCCCTATACATACAGGTGAGGGGGTCAGTAATTACAGGGAGACATCCCATACATACAGGTGAGGGGGTCAGTACTTACCATGCATACAGGTGAGGGGGTCAGTAATTACCGGGAGGCGCCCTTTACACACAGGTGAGGGGGTCAGTACTTAGCACTCCATACATACAGGTTAGGGGCACAGACGTATTTTCAGCGCCATGTAATTCCAACCGAAATCAAAGCAAAGATATTGTGCAAATGAGCCCACTGTATAAATTATAATAGGATGGATTTTGATACACGATAGCCGAGGATGGATTTGACCTTTCTCCTACATTAACTTGACATTACGTGATATAGCTGGACTATGGTGTTCAAAGCTGCGTTAACCCACACATTCTCCCACGCAGGCATGCAGCACGGCGTGATCGGGGGTGCCACTCCGTATGGCCTGTCCCTGAATGAGACCATCATGCCGCAGTATCTGAAGGAACTCGGGTACGCCACTCACATAGTGGGAAAGGTATGGGCTACGTATGCTGTCTACTGCACTTTGATAAATATAAATAACGATTATTATACATGTATATGAATACTACTAGTCTTTGCAGTACATTTGATGGTCATGAAAACGATTGGAGGTCTATATTTGCCTTTTTCACGCTTTGTCAAATTCATTTTAAACACGGGGTTATCGGAGTAACGGGGTATCAAGACTAACATGGTATCCAGACTAATGGGGTAACCGGACTATTGGGGTTTCCGGACTAACGGAGCTACCGGACTAACGGCATCCAGACTAACATGGTATCAAGACTAACGGGGTATCCGGACTATCGGGGTTTCCGGACTAACGGAGCTACCGGACTAACGGTATAGAGAATAACATGGTATCAAGACTAACGGGTATCCGGACTATCGGGGTTACGGGACTAACGGGTTATCCATACTATCGGGGTTACCAGACTAACGGGGTATCCAGTCTAGCGGGGTATCCATACTATCGGGGTTACTGGACTAAAGGGGTATCCAGACTAACGGGGCTACAATACTAACGGGGTATCCACACTATTGGGGTTACAAGACTAATGGGGTTACCGGACTTACGGGTCTCGCTGTATTCAGCAACACTTGTGTTGTGGCTTTTGACCATTATAGCAGGTTTGGGGTTAATTATTATAAACGTCAACTCATAACTGGCTATTGCCTATATCACCGTGGGGACCGAGAGACACACACACACTAACTCCAGAAGTATAGGTCTTACGTCCTCTAACATGTCTAGTGGCACACACACTAACTCCAGAAGTATAGGTCTTACGTCCTCTAACATGTCTAGTGGCACACACACTAACTCCAGAAGTATAGGTCTTACGTCCTCTAACATGTCTAGTGGCACACACACTAACTCCAGAAGTATAGGTCTTACGTCCTCTAACATGTCTAGTGGCATACACACTAACTCCAGAAGTATAGGTCTTACGTCCTCTAACATGTCTAGTGGCACACACACTAACTCCAGAAGTATAGGTCTTACGTCCTCTAACATGTCTAGTGGCACACACACTAACTCCAGAAGTATAGGTCTTACGTCCTCTAACATGTCTAGTGGCACCTGGGTCACTACACAGAGAACCACATCCCCACGAGGAGAGGTTTCGACTCCTTCTTCGGCTTCTACATCAGCCACGAGGACTACTACGACCACTCCGCCGAGGACGGATGGGGGGTAATAGCTACATTTTATCTCATATATACTGCTCGATGTTTGATAGGGACATGCCTATTATTCCATCATACTCCAAACGGGCGTCTTATGATTTGGAAGTTATTGGCTCCGAAAGCCTCCAGTATCTCAGCAACAGTATATACTGGAAACCGCTGTCAGTTTCTAACACTATTTCATAATTCACACAAGCAACAGATGTCATTCACATGCTTTTCTTAACCTCGTTTAATTATCCCAATAAAGCCCAAAATAGTGTTTTGACAAGGGATTACGAAAATAATCTTATTCATTAATCAGGTGTAAACCACATATTTGAGTTTTTCTCGTTTTATCTTTTGTGATGCCAGAGGTTTTTATACATGCATACAATTATATTTTCATAAACCTTTTTCCAAAAAGAGAAATATGTTGTTCATTATACAATTAATATAAGACAACCATATTGTCCGACAATATGCATTGGTAGGGATACTGGGGATATGACTTCCGGCGGAACCTGGCAATAGAACGAGGCTATGGCGAGGTGTACTCCACGGAGCTGTACACACGGGAAGCAACCACGATTCTCAGACTCCACAACGCATCACAGGTAAGAAGGGTAGAACACGTTTTGTAAAATACTATATTTTGAACAGTGGTTATAGCGAGGTGTATTCAAGTGCCCCAACTCAATCAAACGTATTGATCACGTTGCATCCTCAATACACTCTTATCCTGGGATTCCGGTAAAATTTCATGTGTAATTCCAAAATAATCGAGCTTTCAAACAGTATCAGATAGTATAACTGACAATTCAGTTTAATCTGAACAAGTCCCGTGCTTTATAAGGTTTGTTATCATTTGTATTTTTCAAGTAATCTTTTCGAATTTGTAAAATAACTGTTATGTTGCCATACTTTGAGGTCCTGATTGGTTACAGTGCCCAATAAGGTTGCATACATTTGCATGCGGTCCTTGCAAGGACCATCTATGATGATGTGGTTTTAAAAATGTTGTTTGTAGGTGTACATCAAGTAACTGAGACATGTGCAGCAGCGTTTCAAGAACTCAGTTTCTGTCTCCTTCACGTGACGCCATGTAATTAGCGTGTGCGAACTTAACATCACGCCATGCAATGACAAAAAGCCTGTGTCACATTTTATCCTGAAATCAGACATGTCCTCTTCACGTTCCGATAAGCAGTCAGAGAATGTCTACTTGCATTAACAGATTGTCTGCTTCACACTTCTCCATTTAGTCAGAGAACGCCTGCTTCACTTTCCACCATTCAATCAGTGACGTCAGTTCCTGTCTCTGTAGCCTCTGTTCCTGTGGCTGGCTCACCAAGCAGTGCATGCTGGGAACTACAATGGCGATCCAGTCCAGTCACCTCAGAAATATGTCCAAAGATTCCCTAACATCAAAGACGTTCCCCGAAAGACATTCGCCGGTAATCTTTGTCTACTTCGTTTTGTATTGAGTGCTTTTGGTTTTTACGCTGCTAAACGTAACTATTAATTTATGAGTGGAGTTGGCACTGAGGCAGGTCATAGGCGTTTACCTTTTCGGTGGTGCCGGAGAGTCTGTATAAAAGAAATATTATGTATGCATGTCTGTAAATATAGAGACACCCTGATAGTATCATCTAGGGCTGGGTCGAGTCCAAATTTACTACCCGGGTACCCGCCCCCTATTACCCTACCCTACCCGGGTACCCACTGTAGGTCTCAGGAGATGTCTCAAAATGTCCGTTTGGTAACTTTTTTAGCATAGCCCTTGCAAAACGTATTTAGATACATGTTTTTACAATCTGGTCATGCATACACTGAAGTTGACTTATTCAACCATATTTTATTCAACCATATCGGACGGAATGGGTGCATAGTCTGAAGGAAAAGCGAACATTAATGACTTGTAGTGTAATCATAGAGTTCCAGATAATTTTAGTCATTAGACAATATATCACGTGACTAACTACGGGTCCGGGTAGTCATGTGGGTACCCGGGACCTACTCAGTACCCGCCGGACCCGGGTACCCGAGTTACCCGTCCCAGCCCTATTATCATCCCTGGTATAATACAGTTATGGTTCTTCTTAATTGGGAGAATTGGGGACGATCAGAGGTCTGTTTATTTGAGGTGATGCCAATGATGCCGTCTAACACATGATGATGTTGCAGGAATGGCCTCGGCGTTGGATGACTCCGTCGCCAGCGTCTTCCAGACACTACAGGAGACGGGGATGTTGAACAACTCCATCATTATCTTCACAACAGACAACGGCGGACCCACGAACGGCTACGACAGGAACGCTGCTTGCAACTGGCCACTCAGGTATTAAACAATAGCGTGAACCCTCCGTAATTCGAACGTCAGAACTGGATATAAGACTTGTAGCCTCATGGCCACAGTGTGTTCTTTACGTATAGTAACTAACTAGTACTCCCGCATAACTCAACGTTGGATGAGTCAATGTGTCGGAAAAGACATGTTCATGGGTCCTAGATTTAACTTACATAAACCTCGTTAGTTTGAATTCCTTCAAGGGGTGTCACGTGGTGCTGTGCACAAGATCAGGTACAGTTAAGAAATGATCGCGGAGTGTAGTTGGATGGGTGACTGAGTTTGAGTTTCTAGGACTTCTAAAGCACATGTGGTGTCTCCTTCGGCAAATGACTGTTCAAAATATGCCTCTGTTCACTCAACAGTGAATGGGTACCCGGTAATATGAGATGGTAACGTGAATGTTAACCTTTAGGCGTCTCACAGGCAGCTTCAATTGTTCACCCCCAGGGAGTTGAGTATGTAAATGTAGTCCACAATGGGCGACTGACCGGGGTAATAGAATAAATCGTTATATCTTTATTGCGAAATAACGTCACAGGCCCGATATGCACGTTATTTTCAGTATGGCCTTACATCAAAACTGCTTGACTCGACCAATGGAAAGCTAATTATATAAGCATCGATTTAACGACGATTGTTTTCTTCTTGTGATTGTGTTTAATACCGCTTTTAGTCACATAACGGCGTGCCATCATAGGATTGCTAATGTGCGGGGGAAGTACAAAGTGGATGTTCCAGTTTACTGAAATCAGTGACAGTGTCAGCAGACTATGGAAGATGATGGGGGTGTTGATCATTAGACAAAGGCGACCATGCTATATGGTATCATTTTAAATATTTCAATGTACGAATGCAGCGATACGCCTATACTATTTTTTTCCCCAGGGGCTGCAAGAACACGATGTGGGAGGGCGGAGTGCGGGGAAACAGCTTCATCTACAGCCCTCTACTCTTGACATCCGGTTACGTCCAGGAGAATTTGATGCACATCACTGATTGGTTGCCCACTCTCTATCACGCGGCCGGAGGTGACGTCAGCAAGCTCAAAAGACCAGACGGTTTCAATTTGTGGGAAATGTTGTCAACCAACGGTCAGGCAGTGAGAAGCGAGATTATACACAACATCGACCCAACGGCAAACTTTGCAGCTATCAGAGTGGGCGAGTTCAAGCTGGTAAATGGACATATCTCGGGCGGCAAATATGACTCGTGGTATCCCCCACCGGAAGCCGATGCTGTCGACATCAAACGGTCTCTCAGCGGCAACCCCTTAAGTGACAACATCGCCATCGTCGGTCAGCCTATTGAAGTGAAATGCGGACCTAAACCGCCGGATGCTGAGTTCAACTGTAAACCAGAAGTAGCTCCCTGCTTGTTCCACATTCCCAGCGACCCGTGTGAGTTCCACAACATTGCTGCGTCACATCCGGCGGAAGTGCAAGCAATGTTGCGCAGGATAGATGACTATAGGAAAACGATGGTCCCGCCCTCCAACAGGCCGATAGACCCGCGGGCCAATCCCGCCCTTCACGGTGGTGCATGGGGCCCATGGCTCAAGGATGAACAAGGGTTGATCAGCATACCAACTATTATCGGCAGACAAGTTTAATGGTGAATAAAAATGTTTCTTAATCGTTGTTTTCTGTCATGTATTCAGCAATCAATATTCAGGTGCCCCCTATTTGAAAAAACCCAACCATAACACATTTATGTGAAATTGTGAGTCACTTCAGACATGTTTGTTGGGCATTAAAAAAATAATTTTCAACGATGACAACTAACTTATAATGGTTGGACAACATTCTGTTCCTCTGCAATAACCATTACCAGCCAAAAATATAGATGATGTTTTGTTATATACTCTTCAAAACTAGTAGGGGATACTTGGAAATACTTATAGTTTCCAAAACTGTAACAAATATTAGTTTCTAGTTATATTTGTATGATAACAATGAACGAATTGGAAACACATTAAATCCGTTATTGAAGTTAGCCAACGATCTTGAAGGACGATAGGGGGGAGATTGGAAATTTCGAAGTTGACGTTTTTGGATCAGAAGTGCATAATAGCGCCATGATTTGTCAAACATTCTTTCACTCGACGAGGTATGTTGCGTACGAGTATCCCAATGGCGATTTGAGGGAGCTGGCCTGTTACTCTCTTCTTGCAGCGCCTGGCCAAGTTCAACCAACGTGGTCGGCGGCCTATGACGTTGACGCACGCGTCTCCCTGTGAGCGTTGACGATTCGTGCGCGATGGACACGGGAGTTGTCCTGAAAGACGAAACGTCGACCCACAAGCTCTGCAAACAGGACAACAAAGGGTGTCAGTTTGTTGTAAGGGGAAACAGTTGTTTTCTAATATTGTTATTTAAACACAATCATTACCAACACGAATACTGCATTGCTATCTTTGCATTGCACATGGTTTATATCTTGTCGTTGTCAGTTGGTGGGCGTATCTTGGTCATGTGACGAGGTAAAAAAATATTAGTTTAGATAATCTAATGATTATCATCGATGACTTGATCATACTCAAGTCATACTTCGCAACGTTTCTCATAGTAACAGTACGACATTTTTCGTTATAGGCTAAACGGTACGAGTTATTGTATTGTAGTCAACGTATCTGCTGGTGCGCTGTCAACCGAACAATGAAACTTGCTTTGATAACTGTGCTGCTGCTTGTGTGTGTGACGTCAGAGGCGAAGCGCCCGAATATTATCTTCATTGTAGCGGATGATCTGGTGAGTATAATCAATAACAACAGGTTGGTAAGTGTCTACACTGCCGTGACTAACTGAAGGAATATATGTAACACTGAGTCATCGATTTTTCACGTTATGCCTCGGAGATCAATAACAGGACGATTGTGAAAATACAAACATTTTCACACACGTACCATAGCAAAGTAAATCTTATATTTCTGTTTTAAAAAAAACAAAATCTTTTTACGAAGATGACTGACTGATGAATGGTGAATATGTTGCCTAGTGTAAGCGTCATTTTATTGCAGTGGATATAGGACTTGAATAATTTAGCATCTGTGATCTGTCATGTGTATCTGAATGTAGGCGTATCGCTGAAGACGCCTTTGAAGACCATTTGATATTTGGGTGGGGGTCCAGGTTGTTTTTGGGTACAGTCATGTTTTTTTCTTCTTCATTTTGAGAGGTGTCAACCCATACACATATTGACCATACAAGTATGTTTATGTTGTGTTTTGTTCCTCGTAAGGGAAACTTAATGGGCATGTCACATCACAGTCAAAAACTGTACCAGCCCTATCTCAGCCGGACAAGTTGGGTCAATAATCTTGTGCAAGGATACGTCACAGTGACTTGCATGATATGGCATCTTGAAATGGAGGATTTGAAATAATTAATATTAATTAATAAGTGTTACAGGCATATTGTCATGCACATGTCTCGATGTCAAAGATTATGGCTTTGCTCATGAAATATTGTGTGTTGATGATGGTCATATTGCGGCCGAAACTTTTGTTTGGAGGATGTTTTTTTTTCTCTCCACCCCCTACCCCCAAGCTCCACCCTAGAAATCAAATGGTCCACCCCTCAGTCGTTGAAGACGCCTTCTTGTTATGTGCTGTATCGTTTTCAATATTGTCAGGGTTGGGGTGACGTCAGCTTCCATGGTTCAAAGATCAGCACGCCACATTTAGACAAGCTTGCATACAATGGCATCCTCCTCAATAACTACTACGTGTCTCAACTGTGTACCCCGACTAGAAGCGCCATCATGACTGGCAGACACCCAATACACACAGGTGAGACGGACACCACACACACACAGGTGACACAGACGCCCCATACACACAGGTGAGACAAACACCATACACACAGGTGAGACGGACACCACACACACACAGGTGATACAGACGCTCCATGCACACAGGTGAGACAAACACCATCCACACAAGGGAGACAGACACCCCATACACACAGGTGATACAGACGCCCCATTCACACAGGGGAGACAGACACCCCATACAGATCTGCATTTTACTGAGATTGCCGTGCTCGTGGGTTTCACTAAATAAAAAGGGAAATATCTACGGCTTACTGTGCCACTCAGTTCCAGGTACGTCACTGGACTTATTAAACTTATAAAACAGACATATTCAGAGTAAGTTAGTGAACATTCTACGTGGCTCAAGCAATATAACCTGTTTGTTGTTTAACGCCACACTCGGCAATATTCAATTATATGGCGGCATTATGTAGGTAACTGAGTCTTGACCAGACATCAGTGGTTGACATAATGAGCATCGATCGCATTTGTGACACGATGATATGCAACAACCAATCAGCGAGTCTGACCACCCGATCCAGTTAGGCATGGGTTATTGCAGATAAGGGAAGCAACATTTCCATCGGCCTCGGAGAATGGAGGATATTGAGCTGCCAAGAAGAACAGTATGCTGTCTGGAACTTCGACGTTTGCGCGCTAATCACGAACTAAGCTGCAATTATGGAGTTACATTTTGACTGGACTAACGAATCTATGCATAGTCCAATCAAAATCGTGGATTTACAAATTCGACATCCGGTTCGCATAACTGCCGTGCAGATTTCGGCCGATTGCAAGATTTGCAGAGCATGTGTTTCATCATATGTTGACAGATATATTCCAATTCTTTTTATGTTTTTAATCAAGGTGATTACGTGATTTGAAACACTTCGGGAGGTAAGATCCGTTTCATTACAATACAGATCTTGATTATCGATCAGACTGGACGCCGCCACTTTCTTTGAAACAAATGCAAGTGATATGAGAGGTGGAATCTGATTGGGTGAGTGAGTGAGTGAGTGAGTGAGTGAGTGAGTGAGTGAGTGAGTGAGTGAGTGAGTGAGTGAGTGAGTGAGTGAGTGAGTGAGTGAGTGAGTGAGTGAGTATGGTTTTACGCCGCTTTTAGCAATATTCCAGCAATATCACGGCGGGGGACACCAGACACATTGTACCCATGTCGGGAATCGAACCCGGGTCTTCGGCGTGGCGAGCGAACGCTTTAACCACTAGGCTACCCGACCGCCCCGGAATCTGATTGGTCAATAGGAGGGACATAGAAGGGACATAACTCGTAATAGTCACTGGTGGTGCTACGATAGAGCCAAGAAATCCAGCCTAGCTCGGCAAGGGTGGAAACTGGACTTTTACAGTCAGTTAACACCCCACTGCCTCGAGAAGATGAGGTTTACCAGTTACGTCTGTACAATGTATGTCGCTACTCTTTTCACGTTTTGTGTCCGCAGGTCTCCAGCACCGAGTGATAAAGGAGTCCGCTCCTTATGGCCTGTCCCTGAACGAGACCATCATGCCGCAGTACCTCAATGAGCTGGGGTACGCTTCCCACATGATCGGCAAGGTGAGCTAAACACTGACAGTGGTGCCATTGGTCAGGGTACTGTGAGGACCAATTGTGTTTATATTTATCATAAGAGAAAGGTCAGTGAATTTAAGATTTTTCAATCTGTTAAGTTTGTGAATTCGGACAGTAGCCGATCAAGGCAGTCATTTTTCAGTACTTGCATTCATTCCATCGTTGTACTGTTTGGTGTTTGGTTGATTTCAATATTTTTTAAATAAATAATATAGCTATTTTTATTTCTTTTTACTTAGAATTCTTTTGCTTAAACATTTGTGCGAAAACAACTGCATGAATTCTTTTCAAATTTAGGTAACAGTTTCCATACTAATAGAAGAGATGCAGTAAAGCGGTTGATTTTGATATGCGGGTTTTCAGAGAAAATATGAATGTTACATCTTTTGAACTTACAATGTTTTTGTACTTCACTATTTTTTTTACCTATAACTTGAGAACTACTACATGAATTCTCTTCAAATTTAAGAACACTTTCTATACTAATAGGAGAGGTCGTGCAAAGTTTGATCTTGATATGTGTATTTTCTGAAAAATATTATTTCTTTGCATGTTTTTAACTTAGGCTTTTCTTTACTTCAACATTTGTACGACTTATAACTTGAAACCTAATTCATGGACACTTTTCCAATTTGGGGTACAGGTTTTACACCAATAGGAGAGGTGCACTGATTTCCATAAGCGGATTTTCAGAGAATATATTGGGTGGTTTTCAGATTTTGAACGACGCATCTTTGAATGATGCCATTACTGTATTATATCATTTCATTTTTTAATAGAAACCGGCTGAAACGTTAAGGCATCAATATATCTCCACTCTCACAATTGTTCTTTAGTAGGATGCTTGAGTCGAAGTCGGGGGTATGAGGGAGCCCTGCTCACTTTTTGTCATATTATCTTAGAGTGACATGTACACGATTAATATTTTAGGATGATCTAATATAGGCCAATATGTGAAATTCGTAAACTGTTGTTTTCCTTGTCCCTGGGCAGGTCAGCAGGTGTGTGTACCACGTTAAGTCGATCTAAAAACACATGTGTATATCTCCATGAAAATGGCAGCATGATTTCCTACATATATACAATATTTCAATAGTTGTTTAGCTGTTCAGTACTTCAATAATTAATACCTTACCAGCAGCGGGTTCGTTATTCAGACTTGGTGTAACATGTAGCAATAATTACTGTTTAATTACTCAGAACATTTAGCTGACGAGCTTGGTCATCATGTCGAAAAGTGCAAGGTATTCTACACCTTAGGACGGTGAATATTGTTACAGAAGTGGCAGATGATCTCGATAGTCGCTCCCAATAGACAGACGGGCAAAAGACACTTAACCACTTTAAAAATGAAATTGCAAAACATTAAAAACACAAGTTCAAACTAAATCAATGCAAAACATATCGTCCAAACACAACAGTGCATTATGCAGAAATTGATACACGTCCACGGCACGTTGTTTTTATATGCAAAGGAAATGCGATAAAGGTGAAAAACACGTGCCTCTTGGGCAGCCAAAAATACACATACAATAAGGGTACATATATGACACGGACGTATGTCAGACAATCCCACTGATAGAAAAACCAGCACAGAAATGCCACGACTGACACCCGAAGAACGCGAGCGGGCCCTTGGTATGGTACAGATAGGAGCCACTCATGCCACTTTTGGTTGCTCCCGTGTTGCTGTAACTAACCTGATGCAACCAGACAGATCGGGCAGACATCAGACAGGCCAAGAACAGCCAGACCCAGGGTAACTACTCCCAATGAAGACAGATACTTGCGTATTTGCATTTTCAGAATCGATTCCTGACAGTGACGTCATCAGCGACGATTGTCTTAGGGCATATGGTTAGTCGACAGACAGTGGCCATGCACCTCAGGGCTCAGTGACTTAGAGCTCACATACCTTACAGAGGACAGTTATTGACAGCGCAACATCGTCGTCAGAGATTGGGATGGGCCCGGACTGTACGTCGTTGGCAGCGACGTGACTGGCAAAGGGTCGTCTTCACTAAGCCGGTTCTGTCTGTTCAGAACTGATGGAAGACATCATGTTTACCGCCGAATGGGAGAACGAACGTTGGTATGTTGCGTTTAGGAGTTCGTGCCGTATTGTGGTGGGGAGGTGGTATGGTGTGGGGAGGAAATTGTTGGCAGGAGAGAACACCACTGGTCATTTGTCAGCTCAGCGTTACATTGATGACATTCTTCGTCCAACTGACCTACCCTTTCTACAACAGCTGCCAACGCCCGGCACCTTACAGCCCAAATCGTACAGAACTTCCTTGCAGCCAGCAACGGCAACATGTTGTCGTGGCCTGCACGCTCAGACATGTCCCCCATAGAACACCGCATGGAAGGTCATTGATCGTCATGTTCGTCAACGACCACATCCTCCAGCCAACCGACAAGAACTGATCCAGGCCCCCAAGAAAATGGTGACGTATCCCACGTGACGTAATCAGACGACTGACTTCTGTGCGATGGAGAGTTTTTGCGTGTCTTGTGAGCAGGGGGTGGTCATACACACTATTAATGTGACATGTCATTGAACTTGAGCGATTTTAGATGTGTGTGCCCTTTGTCCCTTAGGTTGAAAGCTTTTTTTTACTACCTCACCTCAATTCGGACAACTGTCATGCCAGTATCGGATAATGTATGGCTGTCACTTTAGATGTTGATTTCGTTGAGATTTTTATCTTTTCAATACATTTTACTTCATGCATCTAAGTATTGTGTTTTTGTAACTAGAGTGAACAATGGTAAAGTTTCTTTAGGCCGTCAGTTTACGTTGGAAGTTGTAGGAGTATGTAATAGAAAGTAATTAGTATGTTTATCAAGATGGAAAGTTCCTTGTCTGGAGATGAGCCGTGCCATCTTGATAAAAAATAACTTAGAAATATTTTTTTCAAGGTGTTACCGTAACAACAAGAAATGTTCTACGTGTCTGTTTTGTGTGATTCAGGGAGATGTAATCGAATCCCCGTGAACATCCGGGTTAGAATTGGTCTTAAGAGGCGACTAACGGGATCTGGGAATCAGGCTCTCTGACTTGGTTGATGCATCTCATCGTCTACCAATTGCGTTGATTGATGCTCATAATTTCAATCACTGGATAGTCTTGTCCAGACGTGAATAGTTACAGACTGCCGTCGTATAGTTGGAATATTGCTGAGTGCGGTGTTTAACAATCAAAAACAACAACAGCACGCTCTCCACAATTACACTGAGTATGTTATCATGTACACCTTTTTATACAAGTCTAGTACTAATAACAGTAATCTGCAATGCCTGTTATAGTGGCACTTGGGCTTCTTCAAAAAGGACTACGTTCCAACTATGCGCGGGTTCGACTCCCACTTTGGCTACTACACCGGGAAGGAAGACTACTTCGACCACACAAGCCAGGGACCGGGGGTGTGTACCGACTTGCTGCGTCTTTTGCTTCTACATACTTGTATTCAGGGCGACCATCGAAAATTGTGTGTTCAAAAGCATAGAAATGTATACAATGGTATATGGTATTGTCTATTTGACACACTAAATTGTCTACTTTAGTCCGTCAACCATCAGCCTGCCACCCGGTTTATCACAAATATTTTCCATTAAATACACAATTACGAGACGAAAGTTGGTTATTTTCGAATAATACTCATTGACCTAACCAAAAATACCAGTTCCGTTATACTGTAATGACCGAATAAAGTTTTTTCTTTTATTGCTATCACGTGATTTTGTAGTCGACGGACTTTAACAGAAATATGAGTAGATTTTGCACACTTAAACTATTCGCTGGCTTGACTACGGGTAAAGGAGCAGTTAAAAAATTCGATGTGGGATAAATATCTATATTCCTTAAGTTTATGGGTGGGGGTGGGGTGTTAATGTCCCTGCATGATTTCCATCCGACAACATCAACTTACCTGATTTCTCAATGATTTATATTGTAACCAAGCTAGGAAAACCTATTTTATTCATATCCTGTTAGGAGTTGTCATTAAATATATCCAATCTCAAAACTTAAAAAGGTTTTTTTATCCGATATCGAACTTTTGAACTGGTCCCTAAGCAGGAAGCTGATTGCACATCGTCGTTTTCTGAATACATTGTCGACTCGTACTCATAGCGAAAGTTTAAGTGCAAAAACTACTCATATTTCTGCTAGTCGAAATTTTAGTGTACAAAATAGACAAATAGCACACAAATGTCTATGTTTGATTGGTTGATTGTGCCACCGGGCACCTGTGGTGTGAATCGTTGCTCATACTTTCAGTCACTGGTTTGTCTTGTCCATTATTTGATTATTTGTTTGCAGACCACCGCATTAGCCGTCATAGTGTTGACTGCGGCGTCAAACAACATTTATTCACCATCTATTAGGCTTCCATGGCCTTTTATATACAAAACATTCTATAGCCATCAGTACACGCATACAATCTCATTAAAATCAGATCTTAAGTTTCGCTACCGCTAAACAAAGATCTGAGGACATCCCATTACGGGTCACGTCAGAACGACCTTTCGCGAATTTTGACCGACCAATGAAAGGACTGACAAGAAATCGACATTAGCCAATCAGAAGGCAGCTTTCTCGAGCTTTACGACACTAGTTTCAAACTGGCGACTACGCTTCGAAACATATTTTGACGTATTCTCGATTAAAAAAACTAAAACTCACCAGAAGAACACTCTGGAATGGCTTACAGATGGCCTAGATTGTATGGATATAATCATAAAACCCGTAACTGTCGTTCGGAATACCCTGTGTTAAATATTTCGTGGTTGCATGATTAGAAAACACATTCCGACAGTCACTTCCATGATCTGGTAAGCGACGCTCTGATTGGTTTAATGAAAGGTCGTTCTGACGTGACCCTTAATGGGATGTCCTCAAAATCTTTGTTTAGCGATAACTAAGATGGAATTTAAATGAGATTGGCATACAATACTAGCAATAACCATGCCATCCTGGGTGTGCTCTTATGTTTCGTCTGTTTAATATTATCGATTAAGTATCTGTTGTGGCAAACAAAGTGAAAGTTTGGTCTGAATGTAGAGAAAGGGACGGGTTTTGTGTTTCAGGATATGTGGGGGTTGGACTTCCGCCGAAACCTGGACGTGGTGCGCACTGATGATGAGCAGTATTCCACAACACTGTTTGCGACAGAGGCCAGTGACATCATAAGAGCGCATAATCAGTCAAAGGTGGGAACCTGGTTTTATGGAAACTAAAAAGGAAACCTTTACGCAATAATACATAGTGGTAAACATGTCACAAAGAAGAATGTTCTTGGTGGTTGATAAACATCGTTAAGGTAGTGAAAATGTTTATTTCGTTATTATTTCTTTTCAAAATAATATTTCTTTATATTTGTACAGTACAGTTTCGCTTACAGTGAGTTAATTCGTGAGCGTGTAACTCCGGGTGTTCAAGTATACCAGTCGGAGTTTAAATACTCTCTGTCTGTCACACGCGCAGCCGCTGTTCCTGTATCTGGCCTTCCAAGCAGTGCATGCAGGGAATTATGGCGGAGAAGATATTATTGCAGCACCACAGAAGTATGTCGACAGATACCAACACTTCAAAAATACATCGAGGAAACTGTTTGCTGGTTAGTTATGTTTTTTTTGTTTTTTTCTCCCCAAACCGTAAAAATATGACGTCATTGTCTGTGGGTGACAAGAGTGTGACAGTGGATTAAACGTCAACATCGCTAATGCTAAAACATTTGATTAGATTTGTATTGACGTATTGTAACAAAACAGGGCTATTTCCTAGCCAATAGACTACCAACGTCAGAGTATGGCCATAACGAGAAAACTGGTTTGAAATTCCTCTTGCTTCACTCTGGCGATATCCCAAATTCGGTTTTTGAATTATATAACTTGCTTTCTCGTCCTTGTCATAATCCGATATTGGAAGTCCATTGAGTCTTCTTTAAACTCAATAAAAACACGCTTCTTACACACCTGTTGGCGAGAAACAATTTTGAAATAACTGATATGAAATATATGTGTGAGATCGAATTGACTACTCCATGAGGATGACTTCAGGTCAGATTATGACGGACTACTTTCCTGGTTGTGATTCATAGATAAGTTTCTCGTGCTACAGTCGTATTCACCTACGTCTGTGTTGAAACTTAATGGTTTCAGGGTGTAAGGTTTTAGAGCGTTTGTTAAATGTTCTTTGTTATTATCTAGTTTGCATTTTCATAATATGACAAATATTGCCTGGAACATATTTTGTGGAGTGTCAATCTCATTAAAATCAGATCTTAGTTCTCGCTATCGCTAAACAAAGCTTTTTTTAGCGGCAGCGAGAACTTAGATCTGATTTTAATGAGATTGGTGGAGTTTAACACTATGTGTGTACAGCAAGCAGCAAGCCGGATGACGTCATCCATGGCCATTGTGTTACGTATTAATGCGCCTGGCGATCGTGAGAATAGACAAACATGCATTGACTAGATTTGGTGCAGTTTAAGGTGTGTAAGAAACAGGTTACTGCACTCGTGCCTGTAATATAACATTTTCCTTACAACTCATTTCAAATCGTATCTAACTCGCTTTGAAACAAGTCGTTGTGAGATAAATGGTATCTGACAGACTCCCGTGTAGTAATCTCTTTCCTTATTGGCCTTCAATAAGGTAATTTATATACATGTACTGTGTGATTGATTCAGGCATGGTGTCGGCGCTGGATGAAGCTGTGGGTAACGTCACGGCGACGTTGCAGAAGGCGGGGATGTTGAACGACTCCATCATCGTCTTCACCACCGACAACGGTGGACCCACCAATGGCTACGACCACAACGCCGCATGCAACTGGCCACTTCGGTGTGTATAACAGCGTTCCCCGATTAGACTTACTATGTGGAACAGGGGAAAAATTTTTTTCTAAAAAGTGAGCAGGCTGGTTTTCTTTTAACCTAGCAGTAGGGCATTCCACTGCCCAGAACAGGCCCGTCGGTGATGGACAGCTGTTGCTGGATTGTTACCACATCTATGCTAGGATGCATGATTGAAAAAACGATTGAAAGCCTATTTCTAAGCATAAGGTCTACACACTTTATTACCATTTTATCAAGTCTCAATTTCAAAATAATACAAACTTAATAATCCCAATTTAATCATACAAACTAAATTTAAATGTTGTGCATGTTGTAATATCCAACAGAATGAAGGATTCTATGAACAATGCCAGTGTTAGATATTATCTCTATATATTCTCTCTATGTTTAATATGAAACAATTGAAATAATCTCCATAAACACTCTCTGTGATTAATATGAAACAAATGAAATAATCTGAAGGTATTATAATGACATAATATCATGATTGAAATTGCATTACTAATCCTAACCTGAAGTAATCCTCTACAGTATACATTCAGTGAAGAAACCTATGAGAATATTTTCTAACATACCAACATATCATTATCAATTTTGTGCAACCAATTCAGGAAACAGTGGCGTATATCAAGACGGTCCATTTGAATTGTGACTTATCATGATTAGTTGTCCTTCGTCAGAAGTTATGTGATGTGCAGATCTGGTGTACAATCGGCGTCGTATTTTCGACCATCAGCATTGACAAAGTAAACACAATTTATGGATAACAACTTTATTTACTGTTAAGGCGACGTTTCGGTATAGATCCTTATACCGTTGTGAAGCTTGTGTCTACTTTGACATCCGTCAACTTCTAAGTAATGCCTATCAAACAATTCATTCGACGATCAACATTCTTTTTTGGATTTTGCGATTCCCCATTTGCGTCACAGATCTGCTGGCAAACCCTGCAGTGTTGTACTTGTACTGACGGTATGCTGTATATGTCCCCAGGGGCTGCAAGAGCACGATGTGGGAAGGCGGGGTGCGGGGGAATGGCTTCATCTACAGCCCTCTACTCTCTACATCCGGGTACGTCCAGGACAACATGATGCACATCACTGATTGGCTGCCTACACTCTACCACGCGGCCGGAGGTGACGTCAGCAAGCTCAGGAACCAAGATGGCTACAATCTGTGGGAAATGTTGTCGAACGATGGCGAAGCTGTTAGGAATGAAATATTGCATAACATTGATCCTATACAGAACTATTCATCTCTTAGAGTTGGGGAGTATAAACTTGTTATGGGAGATATTTCAGGGGGTAAAGATGATTCTTGGTATCCACCACCAGAAGGAAAAGACACAAAGACTGAACATACCTCTGGGAGCGAGTCCGTGAAAACATTCCATACAAACGACCATCCAGTAAACGTCAAGTGCGGCAAGAAACCCGTGGATGCCGATAGTAACTGTCAACCGGAAGTGTCGCCATGTTTGTTCCACATTCCCAGCGACCCGTGCGAATTCCACAACATTGCTTCAATGAACCCAGACAAGGTTCAGTCCTTGCTGGCCAGACTTGATGTGTACAGGAAAACCATGGTTCCTCCCGCCTACAAGCCCTCCGATCCTAACGCCGACCCCCGACTTCACGGGGGTGCATGGACGTGGTGGCAATAGCACACTACAGACAGATTTAATCGTCTTCAGACAATTTATAGAGTGTATGTATCAAAAAAGACTCTTTTGAAGTTAAATATATTTTTATACTTTGCTGCAGTTGTTAAGGTGTGTTGTTATTTATTATGAGGTTTTAAACGTTATTAACTCTCTCGCGTTATATATAACTGTTTTGAATATAAGGACATCAAATAATAGTCTTTTCGTAAGTGAAAGTTTGAAGAACGACATTTGTCTTCAGAAACCTTCACAGGGAGACGTGGGTAATATAAAATTCGGAGGACTCATGACATAGTTCTACACCACGAGAGTGAAATAACCAAGGGCAGTGTGTACATGTTTGTACCACGGGGTAATAATAATGACACATGTTGTTTGACTTGGCGACATTAAAATGTCTGTAATATTTGATACTCTTGGATTCTTTGTTTCTTGGTGAACAGATGTTTATGTAATCTGGATATGTTCGTCAATTGCACAAGAACAGACCCTAACTCAACTTTCATTCTGACATTACATGGTAGATATTTGTCGGAACCCATGCTTGCCGTAATAGGCGACTATGATTGTCTTAAGAGGTGACTAACGGGAACGGGTGGTCAGGCTCGCTGACTTCGTCGATGCATGTTATTGTATCCAAACTGAGTAGATCGATGCTCATGATGTCAATCAGTGGATTGTCTGGTCCAGACTCGATTATTTATACACCGCCTCCATATAACTGGAATATTGCTGGGTGCGGCGTTAAACAACAACAAACAAACAAATCAATAGCACATGGTTGGATTTAAGATCAGACATTACTCCTCGCAAGAGCCAAACCTTCCCCAGAAAACACACAACGTTTTGGAATGTTTCATTGTAACATAACCTTTAGCATCGTGTAGCATCACAGCCGCCAGTATCATCTGGTCACTTTCATTTTTGTAAACAAAAACATATTGTAAGATCGTGATTAAAATCCAGCCCTGGATATACATATTAGAAACATACGTCAACAACAGCTGTGCCTCATGGCCGTCATTTCCAAAGTACAGAGTGACCGCTTAGAGAACCACATCATTAAATCAACAATATTAAAATGGAATTAGCACGAACTTCATATAAATATCAGCCCTGTCAAAAAGTGATGAGAATATGAGAGACATGTCAATCATGTATAACAGTGTATTATAATGCAAAGTTGCAGGAAAGGTGTTTGGTAAGGTTACACCATATCGCTGTAGAAACGTTAAGAAAACCACACAATTTTACCTTGTGGCAACGACAAAGAAACGTTGTGACAACGTTGTAGCGAAAGCGGTGTGGCAACGTGGCGAATCCACGACCAAGACCGATATTTACAGTTCACGCGTCTATGTGGGTCTGCCCCGATTGCCGGATGACCGGGTATAAGGTGGAAGGGAATGTCGGATCGGCTTCATATGACAATGTTCTTTATGTTAAGTAAGAAAAACGTATACTTTATGGATACCTTCTGGGTGCCGTTGTACAAAACAACATTAGCGCCACGACTGTCGTAAGTTTATGTTAAGGTATGGGAGTTACGATCACCTTAGGACTAAGATCGGTTTTTACAACGGTGCCCTGGTTTATTGCATATAGCGACGTTTCGATGTAGATTCTTGCACAATTATCAAGCTGGAGTGACAACAACCAAGTGATGAGTTGGTTGGTTTGTTTGTTTTTTGTTTAACGCCGCACTCAGCAATAATTCAGCTATATGACGTCAGTCTGGACCAGACAATCCAGTGATTGATATCATGAGCATCAATCCACGAAATTAGGATCGATGACATGCATCAACCAAGTCAGCGAGCCTGACCACCCGATTCTTTTACGGCAAGCATTGGTTGCTGAAGGCCTATTCTACCCCGGATCTTCACGGGTCACCAAGTGATGAGAGGTATATATGCACGACATGTTGTGATAAGGAGCAGATTAACAATGACAACAAAGGTAATAGATAAGAAGCAGATAATCGGATGAAACTCAAATGTGCTGTACGAATAACAAATGACCCGCGGGCCAATCCCGCCCTTCACGGCGGTGCATGAGGCCCATGGCTGACGGATGAACAAGGGTTGATCGGCATACCAAATATTATCGGCAGACAAGTTTAATGGTGAATAAAGATGTTTCTTAATCGTTGCATTCTGTCATGTATTCAACAATCCACATTCAGATTGCCAGTTGATGCTCTTGAAGCAGAAGAAAATGTATGTGTTTTCGTAAACACTTGTAATACATAGTATCCATATCCTCTCCCCAATTTTCCATCGATACTGTAGAGGTCATGCAAATTCAAAATCATTCAAAATCGATGTCTGTAAACATATTTATGTTTAATCACGTGAGTATTTTTTTTTTAAAAACCCACACCTTTATTTGATTCGTGGTTCTCTTCAAACACGTTTGAAAATTGGAACACGTTACGTTCTGTTAAGAAAAAAGTGTTTTGTTATGTGAAATATATTGATAAGACACGTAGTTTGGAACGCAAGTTATTCTTTATGTTGGAAGCATCCACTCTACCCATTAAACAGCTGTAGATGGTGCTGATGAAGAGTTGTTTCCCTTTACTGTTGTGTCAACAGAATCGTAGCATCAACATCAAGAACGCGGCATTGCTATCTGCGCGCCGAGTAGATTGTTTATATCTTATCGCCAGCCTTCTTGGCTGAATATGTTGAAGCCGACTTGCATACATAACTGGAGGTTGACCTCGGCATAAAGTAAGTTATCGCTATATTATCACTGTACACTGAAGCAACGTACACTTTCCTGGTAGCTCAAGGACCGTTGTCAGCTGGCGGGCGTATCTTGGTCACGTGACGAGGTAAAAAAGATCTAATTTTAGATACATTTAGTCACGCTATTCGTTGACTTAATCAAACTCCAGTCGTATTCAGCAACTTTTCTCAAGGTAACCGTAGGACGTTGTTTGTTACGACATTAATCATATTGTATTGTAGTCAACGAATCTTCTGGTGCGCGGTCAACCGGACAATGAAACCAGCTTTGATAACTGTACTTCTGCTCGTGTGTGTGACGTCACAGGCGAAGCGCCCAAATATTATCTTCATTGTAGCGGACGATCTGGTGAGTATAATCAATAACAACAGGTTGATAAGTTTAACTTAAGGAAAATAATTTATGTAACACTGATTCATCGATTTTTTCACGTTATTCCTCGGTTATCAATAACATGACGATTGTGAAGATACAAACAATTTCACACAAGTACCACAGCAAAGTAAATCTTATATTTCTGTTTTAAAAACAAAATCTTAATAAGAAGATAAATGACTAAAGAATGGTAAATATTTTGACTAATGTTAGCGTCATTTATGTCAGTGGATATAGGACTTGAATAATTTAGCATCTGTGGTTTGTCATGTGTATCTGCATGTAGGCGTGTCATTGAAGACAGCTTCTTGTTATGTACTGTTGAACACAGAATAACTTTCAATTTTGCCAGGGTTGGGGTGACGTGGGATTCCATGGTTCAAAGATCAGGACGCCATATTTAGACAAGCTTGCATACAATGGCATCCTCCTCAACAACTACTACGTGTCTCCAATATGTACCCCGACTAGAAGCGCACTCATGACCGGCAGACACCCAATACACACAGGTAAGACAGACACCACACACATACAGGTGATACAGACGCCCCATACACACAGGTGAGACAGACACCCCATGCAAATCTGTATTTTACTGAGAGTGCCCCACACACAGGTGAGACAGACACCCTATACACACAGGTGAGACGGACACCTGATACACACAGGTGAGACAGACACCCTATACACACAGGTGAGACGGACACCTGATACACACAGGTGATACACACACCCATACACACAGGTGAGATGGACACCTGATACATACAGGTGATACACACACCCCATACACACAGGTGAGACGGACTTCTGATACACAGGTGATACACACACCTCATACACCCAGGTAAGACAGACACCCCATACACACTGGTGATACAGACACCCAGTACACACAGGTGAGACGGACACCTGATACACACAGGTGATACACACACACCCCACACACAGGTGAGATGGACACCTGATAAACACAGGTGATACACACACCCCATACACACAGGTGAGACGGACACCTGATATACACAGGTGAGACGGACACCTGATACACACAGGTGATACACACACCCCATACACACAGGTGAGACGGACACCTGATACACACAGGTGAGACAGACACCCCATACACACAGGTGAGACGGACACCTGATACACACAGGTGATACACACACCCCATACACACAGGTGAGACGGACACCTGATACACACAGGTGAGACAGACACCCCATACACACAGGTGAGACGGACACCTGATACACACAGGTGGTACAGACACCCCATACACACAGGTGAGACGGACACCTGATACACACAGGTGATACACACACCCCATACACACAGGTGAGACGGACGCCTGATACACACACCCCATACACACAGGTGATGCACACAGGTGAGACGGACACCTGATACACACAGGTGAGGCGGACACCTGATACACACAGGTGAGACGGACACCTGATACACACAGGTGATACACACAGGTGAGACGGACACCTGATACACACAGGTGATACACACACCCAATAGACACAGGTGAGACGGACACCTGATACACACAGACAGACGCCCCGTACACACAGGTGAGCCGGACCACCGTGACTAACCTGGTAACCCGAAGTTAACCCGGACACGTTAGGTGTTGCAGACTATTAAAATGAGTGAACATTCTTGGTTGCACCAGCAATATGGTTGGCTAGTTTGTTTGTTGTTTAACGCCACACTCAGCAATATTCCAGCCGTATGACAGCGGTCTGTAAATAATCGAGTCTCGACCAGACATCATGAACAAAATTTGGGGATATTATAACATGGTCAACCAAGTCAGCGAATCTGACCACCCGATGCCGTTAGTCGCCTCTCACGACAGGCATTGGTTGCTAACGACCAATTCTAACCCGGACATTCTCAGTCTCAGAATGTATAAGATTTTAAAACTGCCAAGAAGAATAGGGCCCCGTTCCACAAAACAATCATAGCGCTATGACGACCGTAACTCCCATACTGTAACATAGGTTTACGACAGTAGTAGCGCTATGATCCCTTTGTGGAACAGGGCAGTGTATGCTATTCTGGAACCGGTGCACACTGATCATGCATGGACGTGATTGAGTTGGTTAAAGATTTTACGTCGCATCAATAATATTTCAGCCAAGATCTACAATACGGTCAGTTGTCTTTAATATCACCACTCATGCAGTTATATTTAGACAGAAGTGCAGGCAGCATTATCCTTGGGATACCAGTCCCGTT